GATCTTGGTGGTACCGGGTGCCGGGGCAGATTGGTGGTCAAGCTCGAGGTCAGACAACTCGGATGGCACACCTTCGGGCGCTTCCTTCTTGCCGTTGGCACTTTGAGGCGGAGTGATGGAGACGGATTCGAGGACGGATTCGCCTCCAAGCGTGTCGCGCTGGGACTGGTCGAGTGCTGTCGCCATCATCGAGGGCGGTAGAGGGAGGTTGGGGAAAGGATTGAGCGGATTGCAGTTGCCGTCGTCGGATAGTGCGACCGCTGATCGACGGCGAGAAGGGAGTGTTTCCCAGCGGTCGGGGAAATTGGGAACAAAGCTGCGACCGAGCAGAAGGGAGTGCGATAATGTTGAGGTAGAGGGCACCAGTATTGGTGTGTGAGGGTTGTTGGTACACTTTAAGGAGTGTACAATGACCGGTAGTTGAAACGATTGCGATAAGCACTTCTCGGATGATTGTTTTTGCCTGAACTGAACTGAACGGAAAACGGAAATGAAACTTAGTCAAGTTGCCAAGAAAAACAAGAATTTGTGAGGCAAAAGATGACAGGGACAGCAAGATGTAGGTGCAGTCAAAGGAAACCCTTAGAGCAAATGATCATTTCCATAAACTGCAAAAGCAGCGGTAGGTTCTCTATGGAAAAAGTAGAGGGAGGAATACCAGTAATAGACCAATCATGCAGGTGCCGACGACGCTCGAAGGTGGAGTGCACGATGGGCTGATACTAAAAGGAGAGGCAGGGGCAGGTGGGCACAGGGTGAGGAATGATGGGCTTGAAATTGGACAAATCAGAGCACTTAGATGGGAAGGGTGGGAATCATCCGATCAGAGAGCAAAGTGGGCTTTCGGGCGACTTTGGCCTGGGCGTCTAGGAGCCGCGAAATGATTTGTACCGTATCCGGTCTCGGGTAAAAGGATTTCTAGGCCTCAGGGGGAATACGTACAAGTAGATCGCAAACAAATTCAAGCTCACCAAATCACTGAAATGGCAGTCAAAGCCTGCAGATTGAAAGGAAAGGAAATGAAAAGAAGTAAGGTGATATCACGATAGTCGAGATAGAGCTTGGTCAAAGCACCTTGAAGCTTTGGCTGGGTCACATGACGAATATGTAATTGAAGATTATGTGATTGCCATATCACTTCCAAGTTTACCTGTTACTTTACCGTAATTTACTCCCTTCCGCACTCTTCCACACAAAGATGGGATTGGTATTGTCACATGCCATACAATGCTCAGGCAATCTCGGATACCATCGGAGCCGAGTGTTTTCTTCCTTGATGAGACCAGTGATCAACATTCATACATCTAGTTAACTACTCGTGTGTTTTCAATTAAATCCAGGGTTTGTATCCTAGTAATTTGTTAATGAGCTTAACTTTTTTTTAAAAAAAAGAATTTCCTTTATGGGTTCGATTTCGACGGTTAAGTTATATATTAGGTTTAACCAGACTACTATGTAACTATGTATATATCTAGCTGCTCACTAGTCATTATACATTGTGTGACTTCAGTTATAAAGATAGATATAGCCCCTCGACTTTGTATATACGATTGGTTCATCCCTATACTACCAAAACTATAGCACTTATCCTCAGTTTTTTTTTCCGTCCTAACTTTTAAGGTTTGATTTTAATTCTGCAGTGATAAAAATAAGATGCTTACTGAGGTAGTAAGTGGGCATTAGAGCCGATTACGTATCAGGTGCACCTATATGTAGTATAATTTTGGGATTTGACAGCTTTCCGATACGTCAAAGGTTTTCTTGAGCCGAGTACGTATTGGAAGGGTGAATATGTAAGCTTCACAACGCACCTATGTAGGTATGTATGCTGCTAACTACGGCATTAATATATGTCTTTAAACAACGTGCTTTCTAGGTACCGTTGTGCAACTCATTCGTTAGAGATCAGCCGAGGAGCGAAAGTTCTATCCGCCTTTGGCAGTAGGGTTCGTCGTCGGAGACTCATGGCTTTTGTTTTAAGATGAGAAAGAAGGGCCTTCAGCCCCAGCCTAATCCCCAAGGCATTTGTTTAACTAGGTGCTCACTAGTGCAAGGCATACAAATGACTTGCTTTTTCCTAGAAATGAAGGCTTTACCTCTGCTTTGCTTCTTCCTACATCGACAATTTCTCGTACCTAGCATTTATAACTTAAGACTCATATAATACCCTCACTATCTTCTTCTCTATCCCAACGCTATCAATTCTATCATTCTTAGTAACGAGAAGGAACCTAACGATGTTTACTATGCCGTCACGCCTTGTCAAAACCTCACTAAGACCGCTAGATATAAGAATATTAGACTATACCTCTATCTAGTATAATGTTGACTGATCTGCCTAGTTTACCCCGTGCCCGATATAACACGCGGGTTTCAAACCTATTTTACTTACCGAGAATATCTATATATCTATCCGGTATCAGAAAGTGAATCTTACAGGGATAAATCTTACAATGACGAGGCTGCTGATAACAAGACTACCGACAATAAACCCGTGGACGACGAACGTGCTGACCGTGAATCTCCTAGGAATCCCTTGAAGGAATACATACATACCGCAGTCCAGGAGACATAGGAAGTCCAAAATGATCGAATGACTTCACTCTTAGCTGATACGAAGTTCTCCTCTTAGATTTTTATGTATCCTAAGCAGCATGAATGCGTCTATCTTTCCAACATACCCCTAGGCAGGGTGGTTCAACATATGGTGACAAAGATTCTCGAGACAGACTCACAAAAAAAAAAAAAAAAAAAAAGAACGCGCTATCAAGACTTTGTCAACAACTATGAGAACATCGAAGGTCTTTTGCTAGGTACTCTAATCAGAGACACTCTAGCAATTTTTCAGGGTCAATTAATTGGCCCGAACGAGCTGATCGAGATAGGTGGCAATCCAGAGAAAGGCCCTAACGTAGGACTCTATCTTCATATCCTTCTTATACTAGGTCTTATATATCTCTGTACTGGGCAAGCAGATATCCTTTCCGAGCGAATAGGATATCATAACGACCCATCATTTCGAAGAAGGTACCCTTCGCATCATTGCAATATATAGGAATGGCTCGAAGAAATTAAAGGACTCACCTCTGTTTTTGTAAAGGTTGTGGCACGAGAAGTCAAGATCTTCAAAGAGTCGATCACGTCATTGAAAAGGATATCGTGAAATAGTGGAATGAAGGGAAATTGGCCATATAGAGATAAAAAGGATACTCATCTAGCAAGATCATAGTAACAACTCATGGAGGAGACCGAAATAAAAAACGGATTTGACGTTGACCTAAGCGATTTCTAACTGTGCAGAGCCGTATCAAAAGCGCACTAACCTCACCTAATACTAAAAAGTCAGGCACCCGGCCCTTGGTCACTATGGCCCTTCGCAGAGGACGAGCGATACATAGTTTAGCTGCTAGGAAAAATAGGAATTATGGGCCTAAAGTACCAAATCAAGGTACCTCATTAACTTATTAATTCCCGTATCGTAAAGCACCGAACGATTTTGCGGAACAAAAGCCAAATCAATGGCCGAATTTCATACTTCAAAAATTCCCGAATGGCAGACCTGAAACCTCCGATAGCACAATTGCCGACACTCCGCGGTCAAAAAAATAAGATAAAAAGTGATTCCCATTAATAATGTTGTAAAAAGACAATTCACAGATACAAAGCTAGGAGATAGTAAAGTACATCATATCATTGCAACTACAATATGAACCCCGTCAACACCAAACCCTACCAGCTCCCAGCTGATGCCACCTGGTTTGGTAAGCGGACAAGATACTATCCTCAGGTAGATTCGAGCTAGAAATCTGACTTTACTGTTTTTGATATAGTTACCGGGTGTTCAACTGGTATTGGCCGTGCTCTGGCGACTCATGTCGCCTCCGTGCCAGGTCAGCGTCTGATCGCAACTGCTAGGGATATAGCTAGTCTTTCGTACCTCGACGACAATAACCCGGCTATCCTAAAGCTTGCCCTGGATGTTACGCAACCATCGGCCGTCGATGCAGCCTTCAAGGCGACCGCCGCGCATTTTGGAGACAGTTACTACATTGATGTCGTGGTGAACAATGCAGGCTATTCGCTTTCGGGCGATACTGAATCCGTCACTGAGTATGAGATGCACGACGAATTTGAGGTTAACTTCTTTGGTACCGTCCGTGTTGCCCTGAAAGCCATCGAGGTGATGCGTCAATCTGAGTCTCGCCGCGGCGGCCTGATATTCAACATTTCGTCGTTGGCGGGCATTTGCACATTCCCTGGTCATGCATTCTACCACGCGAGCAAGCATGCTGTCGAAGGATGGAGTGAGTCTGTTGCTCGAGAGATGCATCCGGACTGGAATAGTAAGTCACATTTCACCTTCTATAAACCTGAGCGACGACTGATATGTATTCGATCTTCCTAGTTCACGTTTGCATCGTCGAACCCAGCGCCGTCAACACGAATTTCGAAACCTCCAGCAAGAAGAAAACTAAGCCCCATCCGGCATATGCAGGCGATGATATGCCCGCTAGACAGCTTGAGATGTTCGTGAAGCAGGGGATCGCGTCCGGTGTCGGCTTTGAGCCCAGTGCAGTTGCCAATGCCCTATACAATGTGGCCAGTCGGAATGAAAAAGTTCCACTGCGTTTGCCTCTCAGCGTCACAGCTATCAAGCTCATTACGATGAAGTTGCAGGGACAGCTTCAGGAACTTGAGACCCACGGCGCACTGAGCGCTCTCGACGCTGATAAGGCACAGTTCGACCTTTGAGCATCGTTGTAAACCTTATTGAGCTTCATGTATGTAGAGCAAGGTAGCTCCTTAACAGTGATAGTATCTCTTTCTCCCATACTATGCAGTCCTATTTGATATGTGGGCACCACTAGGCATAGATCGCTGCTGATGTAACAAGAATCCAGAATCCATGCGCCAACAACAGACTCGAAATTTGTTACGCAGAGGCCGACTAAAGCTATATGTCCAGAAACTATTTCATGTATGCCGTTTTACTTTGTTCTCTACCACACCCTCTTCCATCGGATCTTCATGTCCCGGTCTGGTGGGATTCCGACGGCTCCGATGTGCGACTGATCATTTTGAGGCGGCCGGTCGGACTTGGATCCGTCGGGATGCACCCAGTCAATCATCTCTATCTCAAATCTGGTTACCAGCGCGGCAATAGTCATTAGGATTTCTTGCTTAGCAAATACCCTCCCGGGGCAGATTGATGGCCCTCCACCTAGTGTAGAAAACTTGTCAACAGCACAGCAATAACATAAGACGCGCAGTAGATACGTACCGAAAGGGAAAAAAGAAGACGTTTTACCAGCCATCGTGAATTCGGCCTTACCACCATCATGCTTTAAATGGCGACCAGCCCAGAACTGCGCTGCAGGATACTCAGACGTGCCCCAGACAGCTTCGTTGTACTGTCCAATCTGACTCGGCGCTTGAATGAGAGACCCAGGGGTCAGAAGATGACCATCAAGGTTGATAGGCTGGGTGACCTCGCGAGTAACGTTGATCGATATATGCAGACGGAGAGTTTCAATGTAGACTGATTGTAACAACGGCTTCGAGAGCAAGCTCTGGGGGTCGAATGTTCGCTTTCCAGTAACTAGGTCTACCGAGCTTGCGGCCAGGCATTCTTCTCGTACTGCCCGATATAGTTCCGGATCTGCGATCAACTCCATCATCGCCCACAGCGACATAGGTACCGAGTTGGCATTTGTGCCGAATACAAATGTTGCCACCATGCCCGCTGTAGTCTCGGGCGATAGATGATTCTTCGACCAAGCAATTAACTCACGAGCCATCCTAGACCCATAAAGGGGTTCCCACTCGGCATCGACATCGGGGCCATCCCAGTCGAATTCTCTATCGCCTGCATCAAGGTACCTCCGACACATCCCGTGGAACTCACTGCGGATCTTCCATGGCTTGGGACTCATCCATCGGGGTAACCCCCACATGAGCCGCGGTGCGAGACGAGCGAATTCCCACATGGCCGGCCAGAAGTCTGGGTTCAGCTCGACAATCCGAGACCCCATCAGGGCAACCAACGCAGCTTCAGCCATTTCCCTGTGAAAGAACTCGGAGAGACTAACCTCCCTCCACTCCCCTAAAGGCTGATTGGTAAGACGCTGGTTGAAGAGTTCCATATATTTGTCGCTTAGTGCATTGGCATGGTCCGTTCGCTGAAGGTATTCAGAGTAGACATGGTGCTGCCCATGCCATAGCCGTGCTTGCCCAGGCTTGACTTCGTGTCCTGTGATTTGGTTCTTGCTTCGACCGGACTTATCCGCTGCAAAGCTGGCCAGCTCCTCGGTCTTCGCACCCCAGACGTTGGCCATGACGTCGATGAAGAAGACATCTGGACTGATACTGTGCGAGGGTCTGTTTATGGCTTGGATGTTCTTCTCCCCGGAGACCATGTATATCTTCTTTGGGCCCAATCGGAATTTGACGATTCTGCTCTTGAGCTGGGCTGAACTATGGAAATCACTCCGTTAGTTGTGGACTAGGTAGACTGACTATATAGGATGGGTGGCTCACCTGACTCTCTGTAGGAAGCCATGCATGTCAGTCATGTACTGATAGGTGTTGGAAATCATGGATCCTCCCAGCGAGGGGGGTTCGCTGGCATTGTGCTTTCCACCCCACCATGTGGCAATGGTGGCCACAGTGAGGAATAGCACAGCCCCAAGAAACAGTCGAGTAGGGTCGGTGTCCATTGTTTTGAATACTGGGTCTTAATTTTGCTAATAGGGTTAAGTTTGTTCGTACTGAATCCTTATTAATGCTGTCTACAATGTGCCGATCGTTCGGGAGTAATCCTGATAATGGCCGATTCCAGTCAGCCGACTCACCTTTTTCCTCCGACGTGCCGACTGACTGAAGGATCAGAGTTCCAGTGTGTTTTGATTAGAATCTAGTTGTAAGTTATTTGATCTATTGCATTACTGTAATAGATCAAATCAATAAATGCGCTCTACCAAGCAAATGCCACCACAAACAAAGCCAGTATGAAGACCCTAAACTCCGACATCAGCCCCTGTTCTCAAAGTAAGGTCCGAGCACAAAGCGATTATTAAGGTGCTGGCTGAACCTAAATGACCACAAGATAGTCGCTCACTTCAACACCCCCAGAGCAGCGCAACATCATCTTTTTTCTGGGTACGCACGAGTTCTCTGCAGCCCGGAAAACCAGGACAATAGATCCTTCCAGCATTTCTTAGTAGTCAATGGTCGTCTCCTCGGGTTCGTCGATTATAATGCGCTGACTCTCGAGGGTCTTCTCCAGCCCCAGAAGTCCGCGGTGGCTTACGGCGGCGGGACCACTCCGGGCACGTTCGCCCGTAAGCCTTTGGAACTGTAGGTTAGACATATCCTATTTGCAATGGATGCTGATGCAAAGATAGAATGGGCAGACGCCACAGTGTCTTACCCAACCAAAGACTGAATGCTAATCCCGTTTCGCCTTCAGTCTTACTCTCTGACCCTAGTTATGGAAGCCGAAGCCTCGATTTTACAGCCATTTAGTGTCGACAAACCATTTAACTCTGGATTTAGTGCTCAAATTTGTAAAGCAAAATTATCAGGCATTCGTTGAGGGCTTTTCACCACTTGGTAAGCACTAAACGACACCTTTAACCTGGGCGTGGTCCGTCCCAACTCGAAAGTTACATACACTGCGCCTTCAGGATATCGGGCCCACTTCCAACACTTCAGCACAGCAGGCGCCAATAGGTAATTTCTATTCGGGTAATATGGGCCTCTTCTTCGTATACGAGGTTGCTGGAAAGGATTCTTGAGAGTCGGCTTTTTCATATGGCCCCCAAATTCAGCTTCAAAGAGATGGGGCCATTGCGAACGCAGTTCATGGCATTGGTATATAAGGTGATAGACAAAGATGTATATCGGATATCATCCTCAGTACGACATTGCATTTCATCTCAGCTATGGCTCGCTTCATCTGGGCTCTCGCTTCGTTTTCACTGTTCCTGACCCTTGCGTCTGCAGGGTCCTTTTGCAAGCCAATACCGGGAGATAAGGACTGGCCATCTGCGGCAAAATGGAGCCAGCTGAACAATACCGTCAACGGGCACCTTATTGCTACCGCTCCACTGCCAAGTGTTTGCCACAATGGGCCGATTGGTACCTATGATGCCGATGCCTGCACAGCGATCCAAGACGAGTGGACTCTCAGTACTACTTTGTGAGTGGCCGTTGTCCTGCTGAACTATTACTATATTCTAACCCTAGCAGCATATATGCCCCGGCCGAGGCTATGGGTCCCTACTTCCAGAACCAGAGCTGTGATCCCTTCAGTGCACAGAATCAGCCCTGTCTTCTGGACAACTACGCCAGCTACTCACTCAATGTTACTGGGGTCAGTGATGTTGTTGCGGGAATCAAATTTACCCAGGACAACAATGTCCGGCTGGTTATCAAGAACACCGGACATGAGTATGTTTAGTCCTGCATCTACCTTTGCACCTTAGTATACTAGCTAACCACCTATAGCTTCATGGGCAAGTCCACCGGTAAGGGATCGCTCTCCCTCTGGATGCACAATCTCAACACAACCACCGTAATTCCAGAATATAAGAGCGCAAACTACACTGGCCCGGCCGCAAAGCTTGGCGCAGGCGTAGTAGCCGCCAACGTATACACCACTGTCTCCGAGGCAGGCTACCGCATCCTCGGCGGCACCTGTCCCTCTGTTGGACTGGCTGGAGGGTACACCTCCGGTGGCGGCCACAGTCTTCTCAACGGGTTATACGGGATGGCTGCAGATGCCGTTCTAGAATGGGAAGTAATTACGGCATCCGGCAAGCACCTCATCGCCACCCCAACCAGCAATGAAGACCTTTACTGGGCCCTATCCGGCGGCGGGGCCGGAAACCTCGGCGTTGTGCTCAGCATGACAACTAAGATCTTCCCCGAGGGCATCATCGGCAGCGCCTCCCTGGCCTTCAACAGCACAGACCCCAACTACTGGACTGCAATGGAGGATCTATTTATGTTCCTCCCCGAGTATGTCGACGCGGGCCCTAACACCTGGGACTTCGTGATTACCCAGGCAGGATTCGCCTCACTAGCTCTGACCGCACCTAACCTGAAGCCTGAAGGGGTGCAGAACCTCCTCCAGCCCCTCCTAGACACCCTAGACGACCACAACATCTCCTACAGCTTTACCCCGGAATCCTTCCCGACCTACCATGAGTACTTCAGCAAAAAGATCGGAACTGGGATCAACATCGAGCCGGCGAATATTAACCTTGCCTCACGCCTGATACCGCGTTCAGCTGTGCAGAACGTCACACAAACCGCCAATATCCTAACAGCAATGAAGGCCTTCATTGACGCCGAGTATTGGGAAATCGGCTGCCACGCCTTTAACGTCGCAGACATCGAGCACCCCGAGAACGCAGTATTCTCCAAGTGGCGCGAGGCAGTGGCTAACTGCAACATCGTCGACTACTGGGAATGGGATGTGTCGTGGGACGAGATGATGTCACGCAAGTCGCTGCTGGTGAACACACTAATTCCAGGGCTGGAGGCGGCAACGCCGGGCTCAGGAACTTACCTGAATGAGATTGATGCGCAGTATAAGGGAGATTGGAAGACGCAGTTGTATGCGGAGAATTATGATCCGTTGTTGCGCCTCAAGGAGAAGTATGACCCGCGCCATCTGTTTTATGCTCGGACTGCTCCTGGAAGTGACTACTATACTACCGATGGGGCGGGGCGGCTTTGTAAGGCTTGATGGGGTATTTGACTTCCCATTCCTTTGTGAAACATGTGTGAAAATAACAAGATAGTAACAGATAATTTGCTCCTAGAATCAGTGTTTAAAAAAATTTCGGACCCGTTGGACCCACTGGTTATACTTAGACTGCAGCAACAATCTACTATCCTATTTTATTTCTAGCCGGTAAGTATTGTTAGACAGTACTATGAAGATTATGCAGCAGGCAGATCTTGTATTGGAATTAATTGTAGATAAATTGGAACTATAAGATAGTGCCAGAATTAGAATGTAAACTGTGTAATTTATTCCAGCCCTGTAGATTCATAAAACCCCAATTAATTGTAAGAGAAATTGAAAGAAAGCCTGATATGGCTTGATGCTACCAGATTCCATTGACTGAAAGCAGCCTGAATTAAAACGCATTCATGTAATACGACATGATGCGAGTTGTATGTAGGTGAATCAAATTGCATCGATGCCGTTAATCTCGATTCCGCAGGAGTTTACCTGAGAAGGGTTTTTGGCATGTTAGAACTGCATGGCGCATACATAACATCAAATTAGGGTTAGTGTTGAAAGCACCCCAATTCCATGTTAATTGCTATGTTAATTACTGGAAATTAACTGGATTCTCAACGGATATTTATAAGACTTGTGAAATATATATATCCTAAGGAATTGAATACCTGCATTATTATATTAAAGAAAATTACCACACTCCGAGGTCGATGTATATAACTCAACCCGTAAGTTTTCAAAACTCTTCAAAGTCCCAAGGTGGCTAGGTATTACCTAAAAGATAGCCTTACATAGCTATCCCTGTTGTTGAGATGTTAGGTTGTTTAATTGCCTTAGCCATGTGGTTTGGAGCCCAGGGCAGCGCAGCTGGCTTACATGTCCAGCTTACTGAACAAGTTACACCCATTAAATCAACCACAAGTAATCAGCTAAGTATTAGACCCATTACGCTTTGCTGGCTCTAGGCACAGAAGTAAGTAAATAAGTGGCATTGCATTCTGATATAATCCTAACCGCCACAACAAGTGCATCCAGCTCCCATGGAAAGGAACCAACCTACTAGGATAACCCATCCAGGCCAAATTAGGCCCCATTCTGGTCCACAGCACTAAGACCCTTAACCGCGTCCACAACCCCCAGGCGCGCATTTAGGCTCATCGTAATCAAGGCCGTAGCGGTGGTGCTAACAGGCAAGTAGATCGGGACCTTCTCACCGGAACTGGCGACGTAGAGGAGCAGTTTGGCGAGGTCGGCGGGTTCGACACCCCCTCCAGATGCTAGGTTTTGCTCGACGTAAGCCTCGAGCATGCGCGAGGGCATCGAGGGATTCGCGTAAGCCGGGTGGTCGGCGGTGCGCTTCTTGCTGGATGTTTCAAAATTAGTGTTCACGGAGCCAGGCTCGACGAGACAGAAGTGGACTGGAACAGAAGGTATGTTAGCGTAGCTCCCTTACACGACTAGATAAGTAGGAGCACAGCAGGTAAGACATACTGTTCCAGTCCGGGTGCACTTCCCGGGCAACGGACTCGGTCCAGCCCTCTACAGCCCACTTGCTGGCGTGGTAGAAGGATTGGCCGGGGAAGCTGCAGACGCCGGCGAGAGACGAGATGTTGAAGATCAAGCCGCCGCGGCCGTCGGACTCGCGCATAACCTTCAGAGCCCGGAGCGTAACGCGTACGAGGCCGAAGAAGTTGGTTTCGAGCTGGTCGTGCATTTCTTTCTCGGTCACGGACTCAGTGTCGCCGGACAGCGAGTAGCCGGCATTGTTGACGACCACATCGAGGGTGAAGCTAGAGCCGAAGTGGGCCGCAGCGGTAGTGAAGGCCGTTTCGACTGATTCAGGAGAGTCGATGTCGAGAGGCAGCTTGAGGATGTTCTTGGAGTCTGGGAGGTAGGATAGGCTTGCGGGGTCTCTGGCTGTGGCGATGAGGCGCTGGGTGGGATTGCTGGCGACTAGAGTTGCTACCTCTCGCCCAATACCACTGGAGCAGCCCGTTACTGGAAGAAAAGGTGTCAGTCAGAATGCTGGTCTAGGATCTTGGCGAATTTGCATACTAAACCACGTGGCATCGGACGGTAGGTTGTACGGCTTGGTGTTGACGGGGTTCATCTTGATGGTAGGCTATAGAATAGAGACTGAAAAGTGTTTGCGTGTTAAACTGATTGTGATGCTAAGGCCGATAGCCCCCAAAGATCGGAGTTTTTATATTGCCTCATACTCCGGAGATAAAACCTTATAACCGCCGATGGTCCATCTCCCTTTAAAGTGACCACCGAGGGCTGGCCTATCTCCTTCAAAGTAACCAATGACAAGCAGCACTGTGAGCTAGCAGGTGCACGATGGACAGCTGATTTCGGGGGTTTTCTCCGAACGACAGAGTATTTCCGAACAAAGAACTCGAGCTCAAGGGGGAGGCTGGAGGACACCATCTGGACAGGAGACCGGATGTTTATGATGACCTGTAGACTGCAAGTTAGCTCAAATCCTTGTCATTGTTTATGCCCGTTCTCTTGACTTTCCGATAGCTATAGGAGGTTTTCACCGGAATTTGTTATGAGAAAGGTACCGGCGTACTTATTCCACCATGCTTTTGCAACAACCAACTTCTTACACGAATGAATCGTTTTCACCGTTTCCGTCACTATGTCGCCTCCACAACTACAGACTGCCATTAGACAGACCCCCCTTGGGTCCGGCATCAATCTTCCCTTGGTGATCGATCGAGAGACCCAAGTTCCCAAACCCCGATCCGAGCACCATGTTCTGGTCCGCGTCCTGGCCGTTGCACTCAATCCCAATGACCATAAGATGATCACACACCTGAACATGCCGGGCAGCATTGCTGGATGTGACTTTTGTGGCCTGGTGGAGTCCTCCAACGGACGCGCCGTACCCGAGTTTCCAGCAGGGACAAGAGTCTGCGGCGCCCTGTTCGCCTATAACCCTGCCCATCGAGACAACGGATCCTTTTCCCAATGGCTTGTTGCGGACAGTCGACTGTTGGTTAAAGTTCCCGACAACTGGACTAACCTTGAGGCCGCTTCGTTGGGCGTCGGATGGTCGACCTTGTGCCTGGCGTTGTCGGATCCTGAGGCCCTGTCACTAGAGGGCCTGCCGACGAAGCCGGGTCATAAAGAACAAGACCCGGTGCTTGTATACGGGGGTGGTACGGCTTCAGGCACACTGGCCTGTCAGCTGTTAATGCTGTAAGTACAGCATCGGGAAATGCATAATCGTGATATCATCTCATACCGCAATAGCATGGGATACACCCCAATAGCAATCGCCTCCGAATTATCCGCAGGACTAGCGGTCAATTATGGCGCCGTTGCTACAGCAAGCTACACGTCTAAGAACTGCGTAGATACCGTCAAGACCTTGGCAGGGAAACCCATCCGCCACGCGCTCGACTGTATAACAGACATGGAATCTGTGCCAATCTGCTTCGCCGCGCTTGCACGAACAGGTGGCCGCTACGCGTGCTTGGAGGAATGCCCTGAATCATGGAGAACACGACGGGCAGTGCGCGTCAAGGAGGTGATGGGGTTCCAGATTCTTGGGGATGACATGGACTTGGGGGTCTCGACCTACACGCGACCGAAGGACCAGGGACTAATGGACATCGGGATGGTGTGGGCGAAGGAGATGGAGATACTGATGGAGACGAAGCAGATCAAACCGCATCCTTTGAGGGAGGTTTCTGGGGGCTGGGAGGGCATTATTAGGGGACTTGAGATGCTGAGGAAAGGGGAGGTGCGTGGGCAGAAGCTTGTAATTCGAATTCCCCAAGAGTAGAATAGGTTCTATCACTGTTTAGTTCCATATCAACTCGTTGGCTTTATGAGTGTCCAGCCTATCTCTGCCTACTATAAACCCGTAGATTCTCCCACATCATCTACATCATGAGGAATTACTAGCCCCGGAACGGTATATTCATTTTGTGTTCCTCATTCAGCTTTCTTACTCCTTTGCTGTGCGTTTATGGAGGTAGTAGATTGTGTTCCATAGTTTATGGCCTAGATAACACCACCGATGTTGACGTACCTTTGTAACTACCACACATCCCCGGGTGGACAGTTCCTCCACCCCCGGGGCCGTGGACTGTTACCCTGAAGAATGTCCGACCCTTTTACCTCCGACCACCCTTCCCGCCTCCAACCCGTTGAAGAATTCCCGTTATAGGGTCCCTCTCCGATGGTCCAAACAATGTGTCGGAGAAAGCCAATGAGGCTGAAAATTGCCCTCCAAACCTATCAGGATCTAGGTACATGCACGTAATTCCCGACTTCTACACTGCGTCGGGTAATCTTCGCAGGCCAATCGCAGCTGCATGTTCTGATATCGCTCCTCCACGAGGAGCACGAGGAGGGGTCTATCATACTGTTTATACTTATACATAGACATTGTGCCTTCTAATCAGACTCCAAGCTTTCATTCATCACAGTTCAACATCCTGCATTCACTCAACTAATCATGTCATCCACCACGCCAATAAACGAGCCCATTGCCCTGGTTGGCAGTGCATGCCGCTTCGCCGGCGGAGCGACATCATCGTCAAAGCTCTGGGGGCTGCTGAGCAAACCTCGCGATGTCCGCAGTGAGATCCCCAAGTCCCGGTTCAATGCCGAGGCCTATTACCACCCCAATCCGGCCTATCACGGACACAGCAACATCCGCCACTCGTACCTTCTGGAGGAGGATGTTACCACATTTGACACCGAGTTCTTCGGCATCAAACCCATTGAGGCCAAGGCCATTGATCCCCAGCAGCGCCTCCTGATGGAGACGGTCTATGAAGGGCTGGAGTCGGCCGGTTTGACGATTGATGCCTTGCGCGGGAGCGATACCGCTGTCTATGTTGGCGTTATGTGTGCTGATTATGAAGCTAACCTGGTGCGAGATTGTGAGTACGACCTTGTAGGTGCTTCTGCCGCCAGCTGACAATGGGACAGTGAACACGGCCCCCACGTACAGCGCGACTGGTGTTGGACGAAGCATCATGTCCAACCGTATCTCTTACTTCTTTGACTGGCACGGGCCATCCATTACCCTCGACACTGCCTGTTCGTCCAGTCTTGTTGCAGTGCACCTGGCAGTTCAGTCCCTCCGGTCTGGTGAGTCCCGTGTCGCTCTCGCATGCGGGTCCAATCTCTGCCTCGGACCAGAGAACTATGTGATGGAAAGCAAGCTTAAGATGCTTTCTCCCGATGGTCAGTATTGAAACTAACCCCTGACATGGATTAAAACCTGACTCCAAGAACTAGGCCGCAGTAAGATGTGGGACAGAGATGCGAACGGCTACGCCCGCGGTGACGGTGTTGGTGCTGTCGTGCTGAAGACCCTCAGTGCGGCGATTGCAGACGGTGATGACATTGAATGTATTATCCGAGAGACCGGTCTGAACCAGGATGGTGCCACAACGGGCATTACCATGCCCAGTGCCACAGCACAGCAGGCCCTGATCCGCAGCACGTACCGCAAAGCAGGACTTGACCTACAGAAACAGTCGGACCGCCCCCAATTTTTCGAGGCCCACGGCACAGGAACCCCAGCCGGAGATCCTATCGAGGCCGAGGCAATCGCCAGAGCATTTTTCGGTGACGAGTATGCCACAAAGCAAGAAGGCGAGCCCCTCTATGTCGGGTCCATCAAGACGATTCTCGGCCATACAGAGGGTACAGCCGGTGTCGCTGCGCTGATGAAGGCATCTCTGGCGTTGCAACACTCAACTCTTCCCCCAAACATGCTTTTGAATAACCTCAGTGATCGGATTGCACCCTTCACAAAAAACCTGCAAATCGTGCAGACACCCAAGCCGTGGCCAGAACCATCCCCTGGGCAGCCACGCCGAGCCAGTGTCAACAGCTTTGGATTTGGAGGCGCCAACGCCCATGCCATCCTCGAAAGCTACGAGTCTAGTTCTAACTTGAAGTCCTCGACCGATGCTGAACCCCCCGCCGTCTCCCCCTTTGTCTTTTCCGCCCTCTCTCGCCAATCGCTGGCCGTCAGTCTAGGAGCTCATGCTGAATACTTCGAAATGAACCCTTCAATCTCGCTAACGGATCTGGCCCACACTCTACAAAGCCGCCGATCAGCGTTCCCCTACCGCGTTGCCTTTGCCGCCACGTCCGCCAGCGATCTCACATCGAAGATCCGGGCAGAGCTAGAAGGCACAAAGATGGAGGAGCTGGGCGTGAGATTCTCAACCACATCTGCTGGCAAGCGAGGAAAAGTGCTAGCGGTCTTTACCGGCCAAGGAGCACAATACGCTCGCATGGCCGCGGAGCTGATTGAGAAATCCAGCACAGCAAGGGATATCATTCGCCAGCTCCAAACCCACCTTGACGAACTCTCCGAGGAGGTGCGACCTGACTGGTCATTAGAGACGGAACTCCTCGCCGCGGCAGAGTCGTCCCGCGTGGTGCAGGGTGCATTCTCCTCACTGTCTACTGCTGTCCAGATTCTGCTCGTTGATCTCCTGCGCCTTGCGGGTGTCCAGTTTGATGCTGTCGTCGGCCACTCGTCCGGCGAGATCGCCGCCGCGTACACCGCTGGCTACCTAACGGCCCGAGACGCCATCTATGTCGCCTACTTCCGTGGCCACCTCCTCTCACAAGTGCTCCGTGCCAATCCAAACGCCATGAAGGGAGCAATGCTGGCAGCTGGCTTGTCGGAAGAAGATGCCAGGGCACTCTGCGAAGACAAGACCTTGAAGGGGCGTGTTGTGGTTGCGGCTGTGAACTCCTCCTCAAGCGTGACATTGTCTGGCGACTCGGACGCCATAGACGAGGTCAAGATTATCTTAGATGACGAGCAGATCTTTAACCGCAGGCTCAAGGTCGACCGCGCCTACCACTCACACCACATGCAGCAAGGCGTTGCACCCTATGTTAAGGCCATGCGCGCTGCCGGCGTTCGCGCCCTCGAGCCTAAGGCCAACTCCATCCCCTGGGTATCCAGTGTCTACGGCCGTCAGGTAACCCCTGACATGGCGCTCAGCGCTGAGTACTGGGCGGATAACATGGTACGGCCAGTGCTGTTCCACCAGGCATTGAGGGCGACGCTCGAAACCGGCGACTTTGATCTCGCCCTTGAAGTCGGCCCACACCCTGCTCTAAAGGGACCTGCCAGCCAGACGGTTCAGGAAACTTTTGAAAAATCCATACCCTACAGCGGAGTCCTCTCGCGCGGCTCGGATGCCATCACGGCCACGGCATCGACACTCGGTTTCCTATGGTGCCATATTAGCCAGCAAGATCTTACTCTGGATAAATACGACGTCGCTGTGAGTGAGATCAAAACCCCCAGGCGCGTTGTTAAGGGGCTCCCCGCGTACCAGTGGAACCACGAGGGGTCGTACCGACACGAAACCCGCGCATCAGCCAAAATGCGAGCCGCCATAGCGCCGTTCAACTCACTGCTAGGAACGCAGTTACCAGAAAGCTCGCAGCAGCGTTTGAGCTGGGCTCAGCTTCTCCGCGCAAGTGAACTTCCCTGGTTATCCGGTCACCAGGTCCAAAGCCAGACTGTCTTCCCAGCAGCCGGGTACATCTGCACAGCCTTAGAGGCGGCTACGGTGCTAGCAGGCGAACGCAGCATCCGCCTCATCCAGCTCCGGGACTTTGTAATCCACCAGGCCCTCACCTTCAGTCAGGATGACGCCGGAATTGACGTGGTGACATGTCTATCTGACATTCGCTCTACCGGCGACATGCGCCTCCGCGCCCAGTTCACGTATTCAGCCGGCCTTCGGCCAGAGGAAATGGTGCTAGTCGCACAGGCCGAGCTCGAGATTGGCCTAGGCTCACCGTCAGATGCCACTCTCGCCGCACGCGCCCCAATCCCCCCACACACCATCGCCGTCGACCCAGAGCGCTTTTACACCTTCCTCGCAACCCTCGGCTACGGCTTCCAGGGCCCCTTCCAATCCCTCAACAGCCTCCGGCGCAAGCTAGGGAAGAGCATTTGCGGCGTGAAACCCGCTGAGCGAGACGCCTTCGGCCCCCCATTGCTTGTCCACCCGGCAGAAATGGACGGCGTTATCCAATCACTCATTTTAGCCTACAGCTACCCGGATGACGATCAGTTACTGACCATGCACCTCCCCACAAAGATCGGGTGTATCCGCGTCAACCCAGCCCGCTGCGCATCTATGACAGACATGGTCGCCGACTCAACCCTGGACACACGCGACTCTCCAGGCTTCCTTGGCGATGTCAGCCTGTATACTGCGAGCTCGCCACATGCAGCGGTACAGATGGAAGCTGTAGAGCTTGTTCCACTTGGCTCCAGCACCAGCGGTGGCGACCGCAAGGTGTTCTCAAAGTACCACTGGGTCAAGAGCAGTCTCGACGGGGATCTGGCCGCGGCGGACACGGTTGTCGGCCAGCGCCACGAGGATACTCTGATGGCGCTAGAGCGTATTTCCACCTACTACTTGCGCCAGTTTGACCTCCAGGTTCCTGCGGACTCACCTCTGCGAACCACGAGCCCGCATATCCATTACCTGCGCTATGCGCGGCATATTACCAACCTCGTTGAGTCTGGAAAGCATCGATGGGCACGAAAGGAGTGGCTCAATGACTCGAAACAGGATATGCTCGATGCGACAGCAGCGTTCGCAGATCTCTCTGATGTGCGTGTTATGCATTTGGTCGGCGAGCAGATGCCACGGGTTTTCAGGGATGAGACCAACATGCTCGAGGAGTTCCGCGTGAACAACGTGTTGGATGACTACTACGAGAAAGGATTTGGTTTCCTACAGTCCGGCTTGTGGATGAGCAGGACGATCTCGCAGCTTGCGGAGCGGTACCCTCATCTAAATATTCTTGAGATCGGCGCCGGCACGGGTGGTGCGACTAAACGGATCTTGCGCCATCTGGGCTCTAACTTCTCCAGCTACACTTTCACTGACGTGTCTAGCGGGTTCTTCGAGAAGGGTGCCGAGGTGTTCGCTGACTACAAGGACCGCATGGTCTTCAAGACTTTCGACTGCGGCCAGGACCCTACAACCCAGGGGTACACCGAGGGCAGCTACGACGTCGTTGTAGCCTCGCTGGTGATCCACGCCACACCCGACCTGGAACTGACAATGAAGCACATCCGCAAGTTGGTGAAACCAGGTGGATTCCTTGTCGTTGCAGATGGCAGCAACAACGGCCAACCTCATGGAACCGGAGGCTTTATCTTTGGAACCCTCCCCGGTTGGTGGCTGGGTGTGGACAGCGGACGGCCGCTGTCACCGTTTGTCTCGACGGCAGAGTGGGACAGGCTTCTTCGGCTGAGCGGGTTCGCGGGCATTGACTCGACGGCACCCAAAGGGTTCGAGGATGTTATCGGCATGACGGTGTTTGCAGCGCAGGCTGTCGACGACAAAGTGAGCTTTTTGCGTGAGCCCCTGAAGCCCCAGGCGCTGGAGACGGCTCCCATCAGCAATTTGGTCATTGTTGGCGGCAGTACAGCGGCGACGCAGCCGCTATCCTCGTCAATCAAGAGAAGCCTGGAGGATAAAACGCTAAGTTTGCACGTGTTTGAGAAGCTCACTGAGGTAGACTTCAGTGTGCTTGCGCCTGACTCAATGGTCGTGAACCTTACGGAGCTCGACAAGCCGGTGTTCGATGGTATCACGCCAGACGAGTTCTTTGCTTTCAAGAGCATGTTTGCCCCCAATGTGAAGCTGTTTTGGGTGACCAGCGGCCGACTAGCCGATGATCCCTTCACCAACATGACCGTGGGATTCGCGAGAACCGCTGTCCATGAGATCTTGGGCTTGCAATTCCAGAACGTCGACGTCGCTGATCTGGCGCACGTAGACCACAACCACATGGTCGAGATGATCCTCCGCTTCCAGAAACTGGGCAGCCTCAGTGAGGCTGAGAGGGACGAACTGCTTTGGGCAGTCGAACCGGAGATTGTTGTTGAGAACAAGGGGCAGGAGTCTGTTCCCCGTCTGCAGCCTATTGCTGCTCGCAACGACCGATACAATTCTTCCCGACGGTCCATCGTGCACCATTGTGACATCACCGAACGCCCGTCGGTCCTTCAGCGCGATGCCGAAGGTTGGTCGCTGCGGGAGGTGTCTAGGTGGCGGGTCCCTGCAGACTCGAAAACCCACAGCAAACTCCAAGTTAGCCACGCTGTGAGCTCTGCCCTCCGGACTACACACGGCCACAGATTCCTTGCACTTGGCCGCGATGTCGAGACCAACGGCCAATACTTGGCCTTGGTGCCGTCCCTGCAGTCCGTGGTCGAGGTGCCAAAGCAGTCTCTCATCGCATGTCCCCTCTCGACCTTGTCGGGCGCAGATATCGTGGCCGACTGTGCGGCACGATTGATTGCGATGGCAATTATTGACCCACTTATTGACGGTGAGGCTGTCCTAGTGCATAACCCAACCGAGCTCCTAGCCAAGGCCATCACGACCCAGGCGTCAAGAAAGGGAGTCCAAGCCCTAATTATCAAGGACTCCTCGCACGAGCTTTCCGGTTCAGCGACAACATTGGCACCTTACATGAGCCATGCAGAGATCACACGGCTAATACCCTCCAATACCGCCTGTTTTGTTGAACTGGACATCGAGACCTCGGAGAATGCAGCCACAATCCGATCTAGTCTTCCTCCACACTGCAGAACAGAATCTGCTTCAACTCTGTACTCGCCCAGTGGATGGGAAAGCAGCAGCCTGTCTACTAGTTCTTCGCTCGCGCAGTTGCTTCAACGTGCGGTAGATAGCATTGAGATTGGTACCAATGGCACAATCTCGTCCGCCGTAACCATTCACGATCTTCTCCAGCAGGCGACCCTGGGTGATCCCGTCGCCATAATCGACTGGACCCAGTCATCCTCTTACCCTGTGCAAATCAGTCGCCTAGACTCGGTGACCTTCTTCAAGGGAGACAAGACCTACTGGATGTGTGGTCTTTCCGGCGCCCTGGGCATCTCGCTCTGTGACTGGATGATTGAGCGTGGCGCCAAATATCTGGCGCTGACCAGTCGTAACCCCAATATCTCGCCTAAGTGGATCGAGGACCACGCGCAAAACGGCATTTTTGTGAAAATATTCCCATGGTAAATTCAGTGTATAGACTCATCTGAAATGGTTAGGACTGACGTAAACAGCGACGTGACCAATGAACCCGCCCTCATCGCCACCCACCAGCATATCGTCAAGACCCTGCCTCCCATTGCTGGAGTCCTGAATGGTGCCATGGTCCTCCGCGATGTCTCCATCCAAAATATGTCCTTCGACCAGATGAGCGACGTGTCCCGCCCTAAAGTCTACGGCAGCATCCACCTAGACCGTATTTTTGCAGCCACGCCCCTCGACTTCTTCATCCTTTTCTCCTCCATTAACTGCGTGATCGGTAATCTCGGACAGGCCAATTACTCGGCAGCCAACTGCTTTATGACTGCCCTCGCCGCACAACGGCGCAAGCGCGGACTCTCCGCCGTAGCCATCGACATCGGCGCCATCATTGGCGCAGGCTACATGGAGCGCGAGTCCAGCAAGGCGCTAGACCTCACCGTCTCGAAAATGGCACTGATGCATTTGTCTGAGCAGGATTACCACCAGCTGTTTGCTGAGGGAATTGATGCGGGGCGTCCAGATAGTGGTGATGAGGCGGAGCTGATTACGGGCTTACTGGATATTCCTGCGGCCAGAGGACCTAATGCGCCTAGGTGGCAGGCGAACCCTACCTTCTCTGCGTTTGTAATTCATGAGACGCAGGAGAGCGGCGCAGTGGGTGGTGGGGATGCGGCGATTTCTATTCGGGATCAGTTGGTGGAGTGTAAGTCTCCGGGTGCTGTTCTGGAGGTTGTTAAGGGTAAGTCATGCTCTCACCTCTACATCCACATCCACGTGGTTTATGCTAAAGGTTATTAGGGACATTCGCCGCCCAGCTACGCAACGTGCTGCAGATGACTACGCCTGACGAGGACCTGATGGCGCTGCGTAGCCGCGACATCGGCCTGGACTCGTTAGTCTCCGTCGACATCCGCTCGTGGTTCCTGAAGAACTTCGAGGTCAGCATCCCTGTCCTAAAGATCATGGGAAACGACACTATGGCCGAGCTCGCCGACTTTGTTGCCAGCCAAGTTCCTTCTACTCTTCTCTTGGGGCTTAGCGGTGGGGACGAGGTCCCTCCCCCTGATTCTGCTGTTGCTGTTGCTGCTGCTACTCCCGGTTTAGAGGCAAGGAGCGATGACGACAATGAAAGGAACAGTTCCTCGGCTGAGGACTCGCAGGAAGACTCCTCCCCATCCAGTAGCTCAAACACGAACACAGAGCCCCCCACACCGGCCATAACGCGCCCTCCCTCGCGCATGCAAAAAGCATCTGCAAATGGCAAGATCGACTGGGAGGCCGAAATCAGCCTCCCTTCTCCAACCCTAGTCGACACAGACCTCAATCCACCAGCACCACGCCCGCACGTTATCGTCCTCACAGGCGTCACTGGTCTCCTTGGCCGCCACCTGCTCTCCCAGCTCCTTGCGGACAATGAGACGCACGAAATAATCTGCGTCGCCACCCGCCGTCTCACAGCACGCCTCGCATCCGGCGAGCTCCCTCGGCACCATAAGATAACATATTACTCAGGCGACCTAACCCTTCCCCTTTTGGGATTGTCCCGCACCGATGCAAAGACCATTTTCACCCGCGCCGACGTAGTCATTCACAACGGCGCTGACACCTCGCACCTGAAATTCTACCATGCCATCAAAGCTGCAAACACAGATTCTACCCGTGACTTGATCTCCTTGTGCATGACCCGCAGGATTCCAATCCACTATCTCTCCACTGTCGGTGTCGGACTCTTCGCGGACGTTACCTCCTTCCATCCTGTCTCAGCGAGTAACTGCCTACCCCCCGCAGACGGGTCAAATGGGTACATTGCCGCCAAGTGGGCTAGCGAGAGGTTGCTCGAGGAGTTAGCAGAGCAACACGGGGTGAATGTATGGATTCACCGACCCTCAACGATCATCCGAGAGGGCAAGGACGCAGTCAACGCTGCGGCCGCAGTGGACTGGATGAATGCCTTGGTGAACTACATGATCAAGCTGCGTGCTGTGCCGGCGTTAAAGAACCTACGGGGGGCGCTGGACCTGGTCTATTCGAAGAATGTAGGAGGGAATATTCTGGAGCGTGTGTTCGGAAATAGGATTACGCCGGAGAAAGGCGGCGTCGAGTATGTCCATGAGGTCGGGGATGTTGTTATCCCGTTGGAGAGGATGGATGAGTTTGTCAAGGAGAGGACTGGAGGTGCGAAGGTTGAGGTGCTTGCTGTTTGGGTGTGGGCTGCACGGGCAGTGGACGCTGGGTTGAACAGAGGTATTGCTGCCTTGATTGAGGGGATGGATGACCCCGGTCAGCCAGACTACCCACGGATGCTGCGCGAGTAGAGCAGTTTTTGATGTTTCTTTTTCTTTTTTTTCACCTTCGTTTCCTTGACAGAATGAAGGATTGAATTACCATTCTAGCCAACTATATATATTCGATGATGTTGAATTGTTTTACTCGGCCGAACAGTATGGGTGGTAGGACAGGTCTCTTGCAAATATTTTGATTTAGGTACCTTTTCTATGGGATACACATATAAAAGGTACTTCAAGTTCAGAATCATTTAAAAGATGTGATCATACCCTCATGGCTGGAGCTCTCCTCGTGCATATCTTTCTCCAGCTTCATCCAAAACTGGGCAATCGATCTGCCTGGCTGGTACAGTAACTCTCAAGTTTGGCTTCAACATGATTTGCACTTTCGCTCTTTTCCGGTGCCACTTTCAGGAGCTGGTCTGTTATAGGCGCTAAGCTATTTGCTGTAGATAGACAAGGTCAAAGCGATGCATTCTGACGGGTTTATTGGATATACCGAGTCATGGAGGGGTATTTAACCTAGCCCTTTGGAAAGACTTGCTTCTCTAGTCGCCGAACGTCTATAGAACAGCGCATTGTGGTGCTAAACCCAAAGGGGAAAGCTAACCCGAACAGGCAATTCATAAGTCCGCAGTTTACAACTGTACACTTCTAATGGATTTTAGAAATGAAAGATATGAGATTAAAGTTAAGCCCTTCATATTCATTCACTTTTCTATAATTGAACAATGTGGTCAGGATACATACATATACATGGAATTGCAGCTCTTACGTGGCTGCAAAGTGTTTTTGTACATAAGCAAATCCCAACTCAGCGGTATGACAAGGTAGATCTAAATCTAAACTTGAATTAGATCCCTACGTCTATATCCTGCTACCCAGCTGCTAAACCCTGTCACCAATGTCTACACATCTCAAGGTGGGAATTGGTCGGTAATGAGACCAATAAACTCCCTGATTGTTCACCCGATTTGATAACATACATGAAAGCCCAAGAACCTGCATTTCAAAGTCGAATTGTATCATCTTGACCGCGTGAGGCGAAGAATTTGCAATCAGGTGCGAATGACGGGCTCTCTACGTGGTCCCCGTGCCCACGAAAGACCCTTTTGCGCCTGAAAGACTTCGTATCCGACACTTTCATGATGTGACTCCCATTGTGTACTGAGAATGTGTCGGGTAGATAATTTCTTCAGCACCCCCGCCGCCATGTTGGAAAAAGCAATTACTACAGAACTAGTGCAGGCCAGCGCTAAACACGTGAGGTACAATTCAAAAAGAGTAAGAGATATAAAAGATCCTAGCAAAACGGGGACGAACCTGAGCCTTCTTAACGCCTAATATCCCTATCTTCCTTTCTGATCTGCTATCATGACATTAGTAAAGCGCAAGAAGTGCTGAATAGATCAGAAGAGTTGCTCCAGTAATAGCAGTGGTTAACGCTCAAAAGTTGGTACTAGTGTTATAAAAAGGCAGAATCCGTTTTTGGGACGTTGCTTGTATGGCATGGTCGCACACCTTTGGAGTCAGGCCAACAGCGTCAATGTAGTTGCCATTTCATCAGATTGCCAGACCATAGCGCTCCCAACGGATGATCATTCAACTTCCCTGTGGAACTCCGCTTCGGAGGCTCATGAAAAAGCGATTGACCTTGCAGAAAAAGTGAAATCTGTCACATTTTCCGACGATGGAAAGACCTTGAGAACCAATCTGGGATTGGTGAATATCTCCTCTAATCCGTTAGAATCCTCGCAGCTCCAGAGGAGCTCCAAGGGAAAGATCAGTTTTTCCAGCTACTGACTCTGCTGTGATGACGATGAGCTCATTTTGAGTTCCACCTGACAATAATGTCACGACTATCGAAACTAATCAATCTACTGTTATTCTAGGACACGAATCCGACCGAATCACATATCTAGACCTTGATATATAGGCAAGGGGTTGGATATTAAATTTCAAAGTGCCTATTGTATGTGAATCTTATAGAAAAAAGGCTATACACAAATCAAAAGATTTGCATTAGACCCATTCAGCCCCAACTCCCGAGACTCGGGCACGTTGAGCCGAGTCATTATGTTCTATCAACGCGTATATCGAGGGATTATAACTCTAGGACTCTCGCTCTCTTCTCTTTGAATGCGGAAATAACGCCCAAACCACCTGTCCTACCAACAGCCTGCTCTATCTCAACCTGCACCAAGGCCATGCAAAGAGCCTGCCCCCCTGCCCCACTGAAAAGCCCACCCCTCTGCTCCTGCCCAAACCTTCCACCTATCGGGGTCGCACACACCTCCTCGGCATCCGAAACCCGGAGAGAGTCAGGCAGCCCGAGAAAAGCCTGAATGGGCGTAATCTGGTTGTTGAACAACACCAGCAATAAATAAGCTGGGAGATGCCGGGCAGGTGGGACAGGTAGCCCGCCGAGGGAGAGCACTGGGGCGGACTGGAGAGCCGTATCCAGGGCCGCGGGGTTAGTTGTTACTTGCGCTAGGAGCTGCGCAAGAATGTAGTCATAGATATGAATGAGAATGAGGTAGCAGGAGAGGATGATTAGGAGGTCGGGGCTGCTTAAGTGAGGGTTAGGATGCGATGAACAGCGATCGTGTGGATCGAGGTCCGGCGGCATAAGGGCAGATAATATGTCCACAAATTCAGCAGCCATAGTTGCGACAATGGCGAGGGGGTTGGAGGAGGGACTGGCACAATTAGTGCAGGACTCAGAAGACTGAACGTGGTGAACATAGGCGACGGGTAGCACCTTAGTAAGGTCCCAATGGCTGGATTGGAGTCGAAACAGCTGTTTACATAGGGTGTGATGTACATGTGCCAGTTGTATGCGGTATTTGCGCGATGGGCCGGCGTTATCGGCGGAAGGGGAGAACTCAAGGGCAGGTGTGCTAGGCGAGCGATCGCCGCCTATCCCTGAATCGGGAAAGTAGTCATCAGGGTAAAGGTTTGCGATATCGGTCGACCCCCAAAAGCTAGACGGGATCTCGTAAGGCACGTCCAGGGCGGCGAAGTCGAATGTATCGTCCACGTCCACGTCCAGCGGACCTAATGGAGCATAATCATTGCGCCGAGGAGACCCTCCCGCGCTGCTCAAACTTGTAGCAGCGGCAGCTTTTGTGGGTCGACCAGGCCTCCGGGACGAACTGGTAACACATTCGACTTGGGAGCGCACACACCGCAAACATGCGTCGGTGGGATGTCCATTGACCCGCATGCAGCCCAGTTTCTGCGTCCGACAGCGATCACATGCTGAGCGCTTGCTCACAGATGGTTGTGAAGAGTGTATAGTGCCAGTATCAGTCATGGCTGCTTGGACATCAACTCAAAACCTACACTGTGTCAGAGTTCCTTAAGTACATATGTATCTGTCTTTAACAGCCTCAGAATTATACCCCTGCTTGCATGACGCGGCGACAGCTTTACGCTATGGACCATCACTTAAGGGTTATTCTTATGGCCCCCAATACAGGATTTCCGTCCTTAATTCCGTCGGTATCTACGGAGTACGGGACTGAGCTGGGGTTGCATATATCTGCACGTGGTCAGATTTTAGTTGAGCAAGGATAAACATTCGGTCTTACATTTATCCGCAGGCCTAGACCTCGCTAAGATCCATCAGGAAAAATAGTATTATATAATCCTTATTGCATAAATAGATTACTTCCCCAATTTTAACAATTTCTCGTCTCTACTCCGTACGATACACTCCGTACAATCTATGTAATATATTGTAGTTGGACCAACTTTATTGTCTATAGCCCAAAAAATTCATATTCATCTTTAGCCTTAGATATAGATAAACGAGGGTACCTTGCCAAATATGAATTATAAAAAAATCGCATGGTAGAAATGAGATATAGGAGATAAAGTGAAGTTATGTATCTTATAGTACAAAGAGGTGGTAATACAGAAACAAGTGAAGTTGAACTGTGGTCGGCCTCGAAAGATGCCCCCTGAATTAGGTCGTGTGGAAAATAATTAAAAGGGATAATTAGTCAGAAAGCTATGGATTATCCATGGATCCATAAATAGTTAGATGTTCAGGATATTTAAGGATTATATATGACCTAATGCATCGATTTACTGGTGCCGGCGTTCCGGGACCGCGCTGCACTAAAAGGTGACCACAGTTAGTTACCACGTTAGCTACTTGCATGATGAATTTGCACACTGTACAATTAGTTAATCATCATTCCATGGCATTCCATGGCCCTATCAGTTTCAAAAGATGTGTGAATATACAGTCTATGACAGAGTTAATTCGCGTATTAATCCGATCACTTATCACTCTAACGGAGTTATCGGCGGAGTATACAGACCCCACGTCATATACTAATTTCTGACTGCGTATATTGCTTTGTTCTGAACTGGAGGTGTATAAGACAGCTACAACCACTGTCCAGCTCATATACCCTTACATAACCGCGGTAGCCCTACAACCTTTTGTCATAAACCAAAGGGCAACATTTGAATTCCATGATTGCCCCTACAACTCGGGGTTACCCATCACCTCCCTCTCGGGGGTGTGGCATTAGTGAGCCGCAGGATCATCACTGGCCTCCACTACCCCATACTAGCTCCAAGCTGCCCGCACGGACATAAATACTACATGGTGGCGTTAACTGGTGAAAGTACGCTGTTGCTTGACCAACGGCATATTTCCTGTGTTTCGGCAGTGTGAAACCCAGTGGTCCGGCGCGGTGGATCACATATGAAGATCACTAGTTACCAATACATTAGCCAGTCTCTAGATTCTGAAATAGCCTACGCTGAATATTAGATAACCTTTTAAACAAACTATCTGTAATAGACTAGAGTGGCCACGGTATGAGCCAACAGCATGCTATATCCCACTGCGTGTGAAGATGGGGACCATGTAAGATGTTTGTCTTCTACGAAGGGAACTAATACTCGCTGTGTTGTTTCATTGGCTGAACCTGTTGCAGTCGGTGAATTAATTGGATCTATTATTTATGCCCGACGCAAGTGCTATGGGAGTAAGCGAGGATTAAGTTCAGGATTCAAAGTCTGTACTTTAAAAAACAATCACGCCAAGGTCAACTTGCAGGGTTGGAGGACGATAAATAGCCCGAATGTGATAGTAGCTGAGAGCAGAAACAAGAAACATCTTATAAACGCCCGAACTGGTCAGGCAAAGCGGGTTCTAGTTGCTATAAAGGAGTGCCATTTTCGGCGCAGATTTGGTGAGTGGAAATAAGGAGAACAACTGGCTGAGGCTCGGCGCTAAGATCACCTGGGCAGGTGCGGTGTGATGGGGCGATGGTAAGGCAACCCGTTTCTGGGCCAGAAGCTGTCATTTTCGGCATCATTTCCACAGGTCCTTATATTGTTCTACTTATGGATGTATACATATGCATATATCTAAAGGTATTGCCTGTTCGAGTTAGTGTTGCCTTTCTGGGTTTAGCGTCTCAACACAGTACCACCTTGGCATATAGTTCTTTTCACTTCTCCATTCCCTCTATCTTGCATGCATCTCTGCACCCCTGCAATTTTGATCGTCCAACCGGAACACCCAACCGTAGTACCCACCCGGCCCCTAATTTATTTCCTGGTCGCAAGTTGCGGCTGGGTCCTGTTTGCCTCTATTGTTGCAGCTTTTAAACCATGATAATCTGGCATCTAACGTACATAGCGGTTCTAGGAGCATGGTCAGACTTTGAGGGTACTTTTTCGAGCGACACGATAAATTATCCTCCGAGAGTGTGTTCATATTACTCGTTCTAAACACCGGTGAACGCCCGTTCAACCTGGCGACATGCTCGTCTATGGCTCAATAATCTACTATTTCACCTACGTCCACCCTGGTACCTTCCAAGTTTGTTCATGCAACCTATACCATTTCAGCTATCCAACTTGTCACTTTAACCATATTCGGTCGCGACCTGGCTTTCTGTTACATTGCAGGTGCTACGCCTTGTCGTTCTTATTTGATGGTATAGATGCCTCGTTGGTCAAAGTTATGACATCGAGGCTGTGCAAGGCGATATTTGACACGGCCGGTAGGAACGAGGCGGGACATCGAGCACATTGGCACCCTGTACTCTGTATTTTCGGGATTCCTAGCTTATCTCACGACAATACTAGCAAATGCCGAAACCCGCGCAGATTTGCTGATCTCCAGCTGATGTTCCACCAATCCTCAACCCCAACCATGGTCGGATAACCACCTTATAAAATGAAAGACCAGGTGCGCGAGTCGATGGTCCTATATAATAGGCGTTGCTAGCAGGTGATGAGAGCTGTATCTGATCTATAGCCTCCCCAGGATCTGGCGTGGTCTCGCATCTTCCGCGCAAGGAATTGGATCGGGGTGCCAAGTAGATTTTCACTTGTCACGCATGATTTTATCGTAAGGCCAACCCTTCCCTTGTAAAGAATACACGAACTACGTAATCCCGCATTGGTTATCCCCCTTTTCTTCTGTTGGTGCAGCCGTTCAGTGAGTTTCCCACTCTAACACTCTTTCTCTACCCCTTACCCTCCTATCTCGAACGCTAATTGTTGTATAGCCTTTTTAAAAAAATAAATATGCAGCCTCTGCAACACTTTCGTATCAATTGCCTCAACTGAAGACATCTAATCCCCTGAAGCCAGTTCTTCTCTATATTCAGCGTTAAGGAGAAGGTTGGGGGGGTGGGCTTGTAATCCCATGACGCCGGACATTGAGGGCCAGCGCCAGTATTCTCCAGGCTTTTTGCTTTTTGTGATAGCGATAAAATCAAGCTCTTTGACTGACGGAAGTTGATAGTGTCGCAACGAGCTAGGTTTGGGAGATATTGTGTAATGCCGCTAGCTATGGACTAGACTCAGATATATAGGTTAGCTTCCCAGGACAATCATTGCCACTGATAAAATCCTATTCCCTCAGTCCTAATATGGAATTGGATGACATTTGAATCCAAGCTCGCTCGGAGGGGTTTCTTCTCACATTCTGCGTCTCCTGTGCGAAGCATAACCCCGGGTCTATTTGAAGTTGTTGTCTCGACATCAAACGTTCTAAGCACGGGATCATACCACAATTTTATATCGTATCTGTTGTATATGAACTTTGTAAAGGAAAATGTGCAAGTGCGGGCCATGTTGGTCTTACTTTGGAAATTAAATTGCAGTTCTGTGGATGTATGAAGGGTCCGGATCTCAAAATCAAATATTAGTTAGAACCATCAAGGCGCTTGGATCACCCTCTGTATCATCACTCTCTATATCAGCACCAACTATATATGTTATAGTTTTTTAAAACTACTGCACCCATTCTTCGAACAGCTTGGCGTCCAAATTAGTATATCCATCGACAACCTCCAGTCCCCGCAGGCGTTCCTGTTCAATGCGCTCCCAGGTCCACTCTTCGACATTCCACGAGTCACTATTCTCCTTTTGCTGCTTATCCAGTGTCTCCTGGCTAGGAATCTGGTCATTGTTCATCTTCAATACCTCCCGAACTAACGATCCATCCACGCCTTCCATGGCCGTAATACCTTCGCCACTAGCAGGAGTGCCAACGTCGGAAGCCTCAGCCGAGGAGTCGGCCTCCGCTAGTGCGGTTTTAGCCTCACTCTCCGGGGGCGGCGCGGGGAGGAATCCGCTAGCGCGTAGAAGCCGCTCCGGGGGGACAGTCAGCCGGCCCTTTTTGACGACGTACTTGCTAACGGCCACAGCAAGGACGACCTTTTCGCCGCCATTGCGGGGTGCAGGTCGCATGAAGCAAGTCAAGATGTACATCCATTTTGCATCCCAAGAGATCACCTTGGAGTGCATCTCATATAGTTCGAATGGCTTAATTTCGCGCTTGAATGTGCAGTAAACAGATCCGAGCACGATCGAAACCGGCTTGCGCCTTGGTGCCGGCTTTCCCTCCTTCTTGCTCACGGCTAGGAACTCCTGGTCTAGCTCCTTGCTCACATTGCCGACACCAGGACTGTAAATTCGGGTCACGAGCGCTGTACGCGAAATATCCAGATCCGTGAAGTAAGTGCTGTTTGATTTGTGCAGATTGTAATCGGTCTCTAGCAACGGCGTGCGAGATGTGACCATGCATGGCACGAAGATGGGATGTGTTGGTTTGCCCCGGGAGTCCACGATAAGTCTCCCCTTGGGGAGAAGTGGCGCACCAGGTTTCAAACGTAGGTTGCCTACGAAGTAAAACAGCACGCGGAACTATTAATTCGGTTAGTAGTGTAACATATCGAGGGGAGGAAGTCAATTCTTATGATCGAGCAAGGGGTCAAGGAACACTTACATGCCAGGCAAATGGGAGGTTTTTCAAATTAATCACTGCCAGAAGCAAGGCCAGGTTCTTCCATGAGACCAGCGACATTACGCCAGCTAGTATTTCGCGGGTATTCTCCATAATAAAACACCCAGAAATTGAGCTGTATGGAAACGACCAGAGAAAAAAACGTCCGGCTGTTTTGTACAGGTACGCTGACAAGACTTGAAATTAAGATATACTCGGGTTCATCTATAGGTGTCTCAGGAGATGAGATCAATTGGAATCAGGCAGAGTCGGCCAAAACACATTTAATGAGAGACAGAATGTTTCACAAGGAATGAATTGGCGGGCCTAATCTCACCTGAATTGATAAGTCTCAAAGCCGAGCCTGCCGATCACCGATGGCGACGTGAATCCCCTTTTGTTGGGGCCGAGGCAGATAAGCCGGCACGTGATAGGTATTGTGATTACTCATGTGTCATCTGGACGGAAACTCCGGCCACTGCACATGTGTGATTACATAAGGTCATTTGCTGCACCGGTATATAGACTGGGCCCTAGGCTTCGCTTGGGACTACACATGCTCTCAGCCCCCGGGGCCGGGCCCACTGGCGCCCGAGTCTCCTCCAGGGCCGATCTATGGATCCCAACGTTATATGTCTTGGCGTTCACCATATGTTGTATAACCCTCATGGAGCTGTGATAAGAGATTCATGGGGAATTTGTTGAGCTTATTTAATAGTTTATACTTCCACACTTGAAAATAACCGCTCAAGGAAGGGGAAACCCAGATTTCTATTTGATCACGCCTGACTAGTTACTACTCACATAGCGAAGCGGTGAGAGTGCCCGGTTATCTTCCAGAAGTAGGCTACAGAAATGGAAATAGGGGGGGGGGAATACTGCTTGCTACAATATTCTGTATCATTTGGAGTGAATATAATCGCAACGGTGGGAAAAAGTTGTATGTGTTATTCAGGGGATACCACAGTGAAGACTAATGGATCAACCCAAAAAGGCTAATGGCTACATACGAAGGACCGATGCCTGACAGATCTACCTTTTGGGGCTAACCATTGTGATCCTATACCAAGAAGACGACGATGTGAGACGACACTTCAAAAATGTATAGAGGAAAGGAACTTCAAAAGATATGTATGAATATATTAAGAACAAAGTCCACCGAAAAAGATATGCACGAAAGCAAAACGACCATATAGATATGAAGAAAGTACGGAAAAGGGAGCTTGTTGCTATTGCTACTCTCAACTTTGTTTTGACTTATTGCCCAGGACACCTATCCTGTGATCAAGTCAAGATGAAACATAATCAAGACGTGCTTTCTAGTCACACGATTGATCTTCACACCGAATCATCCTTCTTGCCTATCTCATTAACTCCTTCTCTCACTCCACTGCTTCCCAGGCAACTCCAAGCGTTTTTTATCATTACTATGTGATTGATCGCTAGCGAATTTGGCCAACATCTCGTGTATCAGTCAGATCTTCCTTAGCCCTTCCTTCCTAGGTCTGGAAGAGCTCAACTTCTTCGTTTACCGTCCTGTCTCCTGCTTGTCCCTGGCAACTCGAGCCTTTGAACCTAGAAGAACCTTGGGCCTATTCATCATGTCCGACGTGTCCAACAATATCACCCTCGCAGGTTATATTTTCAAACGCCTTCATCAAGTTGGCCTGCACGCCGTGCATGGCGTCCCCGGAAACCACAACATCACAATACTGAGGGAAGCTACCGATACAGGACTTGAATTGGTCGCCCACCGTAGCGATCTTAATGCTGGGATTGTCGCAGATGGATATGCACGAGTCAAGGGCATTGCCGCTCTGATATGTTCATTTGAGAACATGCCATCGTCAGTCTCGACGGCAATCGCTGCCTCGTACCAGGATAGAGTCCCAGTTGTGCTCGTGATTGGAACACCTGAACGCAAGGCGCAAGCGCAGGCCTCCAAATTCCACCATTCATTCTTCGACACCCAGCCTGATGTTTCTCGACAACCCGATGAGTTCCAGATGCTCGCTGACTGCTTCGAGAAAATCACCATCACCCAAGAGTTTCTTGTTCATCCTAGCGAGGCGACTGCCCAGATTGATACCGCCATTCGAGGATGTATCATGCAGTCTCTGCCTGTTTTCATTGAATTACCGGAAGACTTAGTCACCAGTATGGTCCCGGTCAAAGGACTCGTTCAGCGCTTGGACTTCAACACTCCGCCTCACGATACTGAGATGGAAAAGACAGTACTGGCCAGTATCATGAGCAAGATCAAGCACGCACAACGGCCCATGATTCTTGTCGATTCAGGTGTTCCGTCTTGTGGTCTTATCAAGGAAGCAAACCAGCTGGCGAAAAAGACTAGATTTCCAACTGCTGCGACCCAGTTCAGCAGAGGCGTGGTAGATGAAACACTCAAAAACTTCCATGGCGATATCTCGGATTTCGACATATACGGTTCATACTTCAGATCTTCCGACCTGATTCTCCTTATTGGACCTCTGAATACGATTGAGTGGGCTCTTCCCGCCGTGTTCGAGGCGAAGACAGCAGAAACAGTCACATTCAACAGAAACTCTGTTGTTATCGGGGACCAGAAGTACGAACTCTTTTCTCGGCCTGTGCTTCAGCAGATTTCAAACTGCCTGAGCGAGAGGAAACTGCGTGATCTTGCGCCCTACCCAGATTTGCCCAGTGTCCGCGGTAGCATTGAAATGCTTCCAACTCAGAAAACGACTGCACTACTTCAACATGACATTCATTCCACATTTTGGCGACGGATGTCTGTCTTCTTCCGTCCAGGGGATATTATCCTAACTGAAACTGAAACAGCCCAGGATGGAGCACGCTGTTTTGTGTTGCCGCGAGATACAATACTCATCAATCCTGGTGCCGGAAAGGCACCCGGACACATACTTGCTACCACTATGGGTGTGGCTTTAGCGCAAAAAGACCTTGCCAAAACAAACTACCTGCTTTCACACGGACGAACCATTCTCTTTGAAGGAGCCAAAGGTTTCCAAAAGGCCCAAAATGGCTTGAAAGCCATTATCGATATGAAACTCAATCTTATCATCTTTGTGATTAACGAGGGAGTACCCATTGTTGAAAGTATAATGCACGCGATGGAATACCAACAGCAGGATTCTGGTCATTGGAGATACTCAGAATCCGTTTCATTCTTCGGAGCCCCAAACGAGACGCCTTACCCAGTCTACTCCAGCATAGCCAGAACATGGGGCGACTTTGATCTTATTATCCATGATAAGATAATTCAATCCCGGACAGGGCTGTACATCGTAGAGTTCATGATCAAACCCGGAGATCCAATGCAAAGCCCGTGTCTTCTCGCTGAAATATATGGCCCGCCACCGAGCCCCTTTTCATTGAAGAAATATCATCTCAAGCAGGATTGATTGGCGTGGAAAATGAGATCGGAAAGACCTTTGGACTCTGACATGTAAGATGCGATGAGATAGTTACCTTGCAATACAATGTTCAGTTATCACAAGTGCGTCCACAAAGCGTAGAGAATATTGAGGAAGATATGTAAGCACATATAGACAGAAGTAGACAATACCTCAACGAATACTCGCTAGGCTAACATTCAACCACCATCTATATTGTTGACAACTCTCGTACCATAGCCCACATAGTAAACTCTTCTAACGAATCCCAGTGTCCCTTAGGGCACCTCTGGCTACCAACAACAGTGAACCCCTGTTTCAGCCAGTAGGCACCACTGTCTTCTTTAGTAATCCGAATCATAATCCGTACAGGCATGTTGGAGAAGCACTTGATCGACACATCCATTATTAGCTCGGTCTTCATCCTCAACCGGATTTACATCGTGCCCGTCTTTGGTGGTGGGCGTCCAAAGGCTATCGTCTTTCTACTTCTTCATACTGGGAGTCCCGATCACTTCGGTCTTTGGAGGGTTTCCGTCTCCAACAAGCGCTACCGCGGTGAGTCCGTCTGCACCGAGCTCCCTCGGAGAGGGCGGAGTCGGTGAATAGTCGGGTCTTGATTGTGGCAAACTTTATTCTTGTAATGTGACTTATGCGGTAGCTGGCGTTCACCATGTATGTGAGATGTGAGATCCAGGGTTGGGGAAGAGCTGGCGATGCATGACCTTGATGTGGAAGGCCAGTTCGGTATCCATTTTTGGACCCGAAGTTAATAATTGCAGGAAACTAGGTAGTTTGGTAGACTCCAGGAGAAATTACAGCATAGATCATATAGAAAAAGGTACCCTGGTAGCCCGTTGCAACTTTCAATGTGGGATTGCAAGGAGTTAGAGAGTCACAAAAACCCTTCTCCCGGGTGGACCATTCCCGGGGTCATACAACTTGTCAAAATAATCTCTAGAGTAGCTGACGTGATAATGCGATCTACAAGTCTCTTTAAACTGTGGAAGTAGAAATTAAAGATGATATCTTCAGCTATTTGATCTGTAGGTACGGGGTGGTGCTACAGGCTTCGCTGTTGCAGAATGCAGACAAGGGGCACTGGTGGGCCACAAATAGCCCAACCACAATCAGGGGTGCCTGCAAGTCAGAGAGACTTAGAGCACATACTGCCAGTAGTGAGTATATAGATTCAAAGGAAAGGTTGCAGCGAGAACTCACCGGAATGAAGAGGCATGGAACCTGCTTCTCGTACTCATCCCAAGTCGTTCCATATTTGACTTTACATTTGTGGATATCCCTCATGGCACGGTGGGTAATCATGACGGCGAAGAAGATCGGGTAAAACCAGGGAAAGGGACTGTCGAACCCCGTGATCAGTGCCCACGACAAAGCGAAAAACATGTCGCAGCTGTAATGGACTTTGCGAGCCAATCCATACCACCCGTCAACAAAAATGGTATCACCCTTCTCTGTCTTAAGTGTCTTTGGGTTGTCAACCTGTCGCCAAGGAAGCTGGGGAAACGTTCTGCGGTTCACCAATTTGCCTCGCTCCATCATGCGGAAAGCATTCTTCTGGCTGTTTGCAGAGTCCCAGACCCAGTAGACACAAAGATATGAGACAAACAATACCACCAATGCAGTTTTGTTCCACGCATATGTCGATGGGTGGCGACGATCCAAGTACAGAACGCAGTGGCAGTAAGACATAGGGACACCAGCCATGTTCCAGAAGATCAACAAGAATCCCAGTTTCTCCTGGTACATGTCCCATGTGGTAGTGATGAAGTGTTCTGCCTTGGCGCAGGCATTGGCGTAAAGGAAGTGTGCCATGATAAGGAACAAAATCTCGCCAGAAACGTATCCGTAGAGTTCATATTGGCGAGTCGCAGCCGCGCAGCTCAAACCCAAGAGCATGAACCATGGGATACGGACTTCGTAGAACATTTTAAAGTCCAGGATCCCGAACATACGTGGGTTCAATTCGACTCCCATGAAGAAGTCATAGATTGGGTAACCAGTGACGCGATGCTGGGCGCCACGAGCAAATGCAGAGAAATAAGCGAAAAAGCTGGCGAGAAATCCGGAAAGAATCGCCACACTCATCAGAGGGCCGAACTCATCCAGGATAGTGTAAACTGGGAAAATTCCGGTGTAGTGCAGAGTTGCAACAACGGCGATTGTAAGGTACAAGCTACTGTAAGCCGAGCAATAATACTCCAGCCGCTTGCCTTGCAGATGGAGAAGAGGCTTCCCATAGCACGTGAATCCAGGCATGTAGATGTAGCAAGCTGCCTCAAAGATGTAGAATGTCCAGTAGATGCGCCACGCCCTGAAGTGTGGGAACGCACCAGTGTAAACAAGGTGACACAGATGCTTTCCGAAGACGGCCCAGGACTCTCCGTTTTGCGGCAGAGGTAGCTGCCCATCATAGTAGGTAGCGCCGATCCACATGTACCACATCAGCAACGGGAAGCCAGTCATAAGTGCCAAGGTTCCAAGTGAACCACCGAATTCGAAATGCTGTGCGTAGTCCACCTTGGGATCCATACCCGGGATCCAACCAGCAGCGAGTTGCGCTTGCTTGAAGTCATCGTGCGAATTTGGTTTGCCAACAACCTGATGGGCGTCATGTTTTTGGCGAGACTTGACTTGGTCTTCCATCTTGAGAACTTGAAATATGATATTAATTGAGTTCATGGAAAACCAACGGATGCTAACAAAGTACACTCACAGTCAAATGATGGTAAAGACCGATACAGGAGAAAGGGGAGAAGGAATGAAAAGGAGAAGCAGAAGCAGAAGCAGAACGATGAAAGGAAAACAGGATAAGGAGAGGGAGAGGAAAGAGGAAATAAATAGGAAGTAGCTAAGGAACCCCAGAATATGACATTTGGAAGGAGCCAGGCCAAAATGATACAGTTCCCATTTGGGTTTAGACCCCGATGCCTGTATCCCAATTAGGTTTAGATCCCGTTTCTATCCTTCAAAGTGATTTGATTGCCGTTGTATTTGCCCCTATTTACTTCATGATTCAGATAATCGGGTAATGAAAAACACTCTGAAGTGTCTGATGGTACGGGCTGTAGCTATCACTGGCTCTTGGTGTGAAAATTTCTAGCTTTGTTGTTGAGTACGCTGCATGCTGATAGTGTAAAACCCCAAGTCTCCAACACAGTGTTCGTTCTCGATTAATATCTAGTTAATAGTAGAAAGCTATCATCAATTCCCTTCAGATCCCCATATAAGGTTAGTTCAATACCATGACAGAAGCACTTAGGGCAAATGACGGATAAACAAATGTGACGTCAGGTGATCTTATCTATGTCGACAGTCGATATCGCATTAATCAGCAGTGCTTATCAACCCGGCAGTTTCCCAGTGTTAGACCTCTCCGCAAACATTCACCTCACTATGACTGATCGGTCGGTCCCATGAATTATCAGACCATCAGTATGGACGGCAATGCCTCCGAACAGGGCCATCGCACTATGGGAAGGCCGTCCTTGGGTCAGCCGCCTACAGATCCCATCGATGATCCCACACCAAACCACCAAGCTTCCGCCACATCCCCTCAGAGCTTCACCCCGCGCTCACTTCTCGTCGGTCTTATTATCGGTGCCCTCATCACATTCTCGAATACCTACTTCGGGTTGCAGACAGGATGGATCAGCACAATGGCCATGCCCTCGGCCTTGATTGGCTTTTCGGTCTTCAAGGTTCTATCCAAGTACCTGTCTTTCCCCTTCACGCCGGTTGAGAATGTTTTGATACAAACGGTTGCTGGTGCAGTGGGAACGATGCCACTTGGATGCGGATTTGTTGGCGTCATCCCTGCTCTGGAGTTCCTGTTGAAGCCTGGCGAAGATGGACCCGAAGGCGATGGCGGAGAAGGCGAAGGAGGTCCTCTAAAACTCGGCTTCTGGAAGCTGGTTATCTGGAGTCTGGGAGTTTGTCTCTTCGGTGTCGTATTTGCGGTTCCACTGCGAAAAGAGGTCATCGTTCGAGAGAAGTTGCGGTTCCCGAGTGGTACCGCCTCGGCATTGATGCTCAAGGTCTTGCATGGTTCTGGTAACAACGAAAAGGTTATAGCACCAGAGAGTTCCCGTGCGGGGATTATAAGCACAGAGGCCGAAGCAGCTGGCCAATCACAAGAAGACACAGGCCTTTTAAAGGATGGCGATGCTGAAGATCAAGCGTCCAAGGAGCAAGATTGGCGCTCGAAGATGCGACTATTAGTTGGATCTTTTACGGTGTCGGGTGTATATGTGAATATCCCCAAATTGGACTCCGCAAAATATATGCTAACAAACTTAGACTCTTTTCTCCTATTTTGTCCCTCTAGTCCATACCATCCCTCTGTTTGGCGCGGGCATGGCGAACAACTGGCTGTGGACCCTTAACCCGTCCCCCGCGTATATCGGTCAAGGTATTATTATGGGTCCATCAACGTGCATGCACATGCTCTTCGGGGCAGTCTTGGGGTGGGGCGTCCTATCACCGCTGGCTAAGACCCGCGGCTGGGCCCCAGGCCCGGTTCAGGACTGGAACAATGGCAGCAAAGCATGGATTGTCTGGATATCGCTAGCTATCATGCTTGCCGATTCACTTGTTAGTCTTGGGTGGCTACTGCTCAAGCCTATCGTGAATTACTCTCCAAGATGGGTGGCCCAGTTCCGATCCACTCGCGCCGGTCAGTGGATTGCACTTCGACTGCAATCTTCTCAGCACTCATATATCAACTACTCTGCTTTGGAGTCAGAGACTCATATTTTGTCTCAAGACAATGATGACACCCACCACACACGAATAACCACAAGTGAAGAGGAAGAGGAAGAGGAAGATGCACCGCCATCTCAACTCATATCGACTCGCACAGTAGTGATTCTCCTTCCCCTGACTCTACTCCTGAATGTCGCATGCATGCACTTTGTCTTTGGTGAAATCATTTCCCCCTTTCTATCGACATTGGCGACTATACTGGCGGTACTCCTATCCATTATGGGTGTCCGGGCTCTTGGCGAGACCGACCTCAACCCAGTTTCAGGTATCAGCAAGCTTACACAACTTCTCTTTTCACTCGCCACACCAGCATCCCACTTCTCCAGACGGACCGCACTAGTGACCAACCTGCTCGCCGGTGCGGTCTCCGAGTCAGGAGCGCTACAAGCCGGTGATATGATGCAAGATTTGAAGACGGGTCATCTACTCGGCGCAAGCCCCAAAGCCCAGTTCTACGGCCAGATAATCGGCAGTCTTGTGGGTGCAGTTCTCTCGACTGCCGTATACAAATTGTACGTGAACGTATATGAGGTGCCGGGCGAAATGTTCCAGACACCCACCGCGTATGTTTGGATCTTCACTGCTCGCCTTGTGACTGGTCAAGGGCTGCCCGAAATGGCTGGACAAGTCTCTGTAATTGCTGGTATCGTGTGGGCATTCCTCACCGCACTCAGGATCGCAGCTGCGTCCCCTTCCTTTGCGCGCAATGGGAAACCGCCTGTCTGGAGAGCTTGGATCCCCGGCGGTATTGCCGTTGCCGTTGGTATGTTCAATGAGCCTTCATTTACCCTGGCGAGAGCTATTGGTGGTATTATTGCATGGTGGTGGGCGCGCAAGCACTCTAAGTCGAAGACGGATAAACAAGTGGCCAATGGAAACGCCACTAGCATGGGATCTTCTATAGAGACTGAGTTGCAGGATGGGCAAATATCATCAACAACTGCTGAGCAGGCATCCGAAAAAGCAGATGCCGCCTCCTCGACTGTCGTCGTCCTTGCCTCCGGCCTCATTTTGGGTGAAGGTATCATGAGCATTGTGAATCTTCTTCTTGCAAGTGGACGCGTTCCACATCTCTGATCAGGAGAAGCGTGACGGACTGCTTTCATCGCCATGTACATGCTGCATTTATTGTGCCTAAAAGCGCGTATTCTATTTAGAAATGATGTTTCGGGACGACTTTAATTTAGACTTAAGTCATTTTTTCGGTTTATCTTTTATGATTTCCAATCTACTACCACTTCTTCAGTCTAGCCTGTGTCATATTATGCTGGCTTGAAATTGATACCACGAATTCCACATATACCCAGGACTAGAAAGGCTCGATGTAGTTGATGTAGGAAAGGCCCGTGCTCACACCAGCCATGCCATAAGCTTAAAGAAACAGAAACTTTTGGTCTGAAGTGCTCAATATGCTTTATGCTTAAACAGATCTCGTACTCTCGTATCTAGATCCATGTATTTTCTATGTATAGCTTTTGATATCAAAAGACCCCTGCTAAGTGCCCACAGCCCCAAAGGCCGGCACCGACCGATAGCCTGAGCCCGGCACCGGCCGAGCCCGAAAAGCCGAGCAAAAGCTTGGTAGCTTCCCCACTACGGCAGGTCAAATGATAACAATGACAATACTTATACTACGTATGTTATTTTCACCACTGGAGTTTCCGCATTTTGTACTTGACCACATAATACATTCCGTAGATTCTGAACTTACATTTCTTTCTAGTGTAACTGGTTATTGTATAGTTCCATTAGCGGTAATTACTAAGTTTCTGCGTGGCAGAAACCCCCATTATCAAATTTGGCCCATTGCGGCTGCCGTACCCTGAGGCCAACTCGGGATTATTAACCAGACCCTCACACTATCTCCGAGATGTTGACAGGCCTTAAATTTTCAAATGGACCCCTTTCGCCTTTAGCAACATTGTCAATCGCATTTCGACGCGATCCGAGGCTTGTTCCGACATCGGCATCGGCATCGGCATCTGGATTAATATCGATTTGCCGAAATAAGATCCTACTACATATGAATGTTTGCCCATGAGAGTAGCAATCTGCACTCCACGGTACTCCTCCCAATTATGACACGCATATGGCCGAAGGGCAGCCTTATAAACGTACAAGCCGAGCCCGAGAAGGATCAGACATCGCTTGATCCGGCATGTCTCGTCAAGTGGGATCATGACGATGTATTGAATCCTCAGAATTGGACTCCCCGGTACAAATGGTGGGTGACATTTCAACTGGGCATGCTTGCTTTGGCGGGCAGTCTGGGGTCGAGCATCACCACACCGGCCGATGACACCATCGCGAGGTATACTGGCGTGAGCAGCGAGGTTGCCGTGTTAGATGTATCGCTGTATTTGTGAGTGGGGTTCAATTAAGACAGTAGAGATAACGCTAACAATGATACCAGGCTTGGCTTTGTCTTCGGACCTATCATCTGGGCTCCTCTTTCAGAAATCTGGGGCCGAAGAATCAGCATACTTCCCGCCCTCTTTTGTCTAGCATTATTCTCCATTGGCACTGGCGTAAGTACAAATGCAGCCTCGGTGTTCGTCACGCGCTTTTTTGCAGGCTTTTTCGGCTCTGCCCCGATTAGCAATGTAACCGCCGCACTAGGCGATATATGGAGTAAAGAGACGCGCGGGACTGCAATCAGTCTCTATGCAGTGGCAGTGAATGGCGGCCCGGCGCTAGGTCCAGTGATCGGTGCAGCGCTCTTGTTGAATCCTCATATGGGATGGCGCTGGACCGCGTACATTCACGCAATCTGGGTCTTTGTCGTTTTCACTTTGACCTTCTTCTGTTTGCCAGAGGTATACCCGCCGGTTCTACTCAAACGCAAAGCACAGCGACTTCGGAAAGAGACTAGTGACTTGAGATTTTATCATCCCCATGAACATTTGAAACTCGATATCAAATCCGTTCTTACGAAGCAGCTCGCCCGTCCATTGAGAATGCTATTCACTGAGCCGATTGTCACTTGTATTGCCTTCTACGCTTCTTTTGTCTACGGCGTGATGTATCTAACCCTTGAGGTATTTCCAATTGCATTCCAACAATCCCGGGGTTGGAACCATCTTGTCGGTTCTTTGCCCTTCCTAGGATTGTTGATTGGTGTCATATCCTCGGTGGGTCTCAACATCTGGAACCAATATCGCTATAACCGGATATCCAGCGAGGCAAATGGGAAAGCAGTTCCCGAAGCACGACTCCCGCCTATGGCGTTCGGAGCGGTGTTCATTGTTGTAGGTCTCTTCTGGTTCGCTTGGACCGCTGAACCACCTCACCATTGGATCCTGCCGTGTTTGGCAGCTGTCTTCATAGGCATTGGATTCAACTGCATTTTCCAGCAGTGTTTGAACTTTTTGATTGATGTATATAAGATCTATGCTGCTAGCGCCACAGCGGCTGTTACCCTTCTTCGAAGTTTGCTGGCTGCCGGGCTTCCCTTGGCAGCTAAACCGATGATCAAGGCTTTGGGGATTGGGCCTGCTGTTTCCATTGTTGGAGCTGTGGCTGCGGTTCTATTACCAGTGCCGTTCTTGTTTATGAAGTACGGCCCAAAGCTGCGGGGATTATCAAAGCTTGCGCCTGAAAATTCTTAGACTTGTTGATAACTGTTTTGTTCCAAATTTTGTACTAATCGAGACCATAGCTGTCTCATCCATATGTATACTTTCATCCTTAGAAATAGTTTTGGTGTACCTTTGGGATGTAAACAGACAATATATCGTATTCTGATGTTATCCCTATCTCTGTAGCTAGCCACAATAGTTCAATCATAGATAGACTCGTGGTTATTGACTATAGACGTACTTTTATCATTTTGTATTGTCTTCAAGTTCATATCCAAAAATCAGTTATTGCATGCTATACATAAATATATGTCTGTTTTTCTTCAAATATGCCAAAATATACATGATAACAAAGATCCCCCACCATGAGACCAATGCCTTAACAATCATTGTAAGTAATTTAATCACAACTCTGCAGTTACTGATTGATTCTCTGGGTTTAAGGGTTACCAGGAATGGGCTCAAACTCAAATCTTACCTCTAATCTATGGCAGCAATTCCAAACGGCTGCTCGAGCGATACGGATCGTACCTCTAGGCAAAGATGATATAAGAAAGATGGCGGTTGCTTTTCCTAACTTTGTTCCGAGGAGTTCCTCATACTCACGAGTGCCACGTTCGATTATGAGGCATGGCTCGGATGTCGCAGCATCGAAACTGAGGTCATATCTGGGATAGGCTATCCGCCTGATATATGGTGCAGTCTCTTCATTGATGACGGTGCTATATATAATATGCCTCAAAGTGGTAATGGGATGGTCCATCACATACAGAGCCCTGGCGATTTCATTCCACTGAACGCAATCGTGCCTAAAAATAGAAGTAGCGAAAATTATGCCCGGTCCGATGATGTGTGCGAAGCTATTACTCATTCTTTCAACTCCAAAGCGCTGTAGGATCGCTGGGTCTTTGACTTTGCTTGAAAGTGATGTAAAGCGGTACCTATTATCTTCGGTAGTAAGTCCCATGGATTCAGGTTCGCCGCCCTCCAAAAGGTCGCCGATATTTTGGAAATAACTTTGTCCAACTCGGAAACGATCTTCTTCCGGGATGTTGTTCAACAGGTCATCTATGGTAATGGTTGCCTGGGAAATATTGCAGTTTGGTTCGTTTGGGTCTTCTAACCAAGCTACTAGTTGAGCTCCCTTTCTTCGGTATGTGGCCAGTTCCTCTTCAGTAGGCTTTGGCCACAAGTAGTCGTCCATGTCATAGCCGGAGCCACTAGAACTGGTAGCAGGAGGAGGAGAAGGGTTGAGCCTTGGAGGAGATAGTCGTGGTCCCGCAGGTACTGGTGCTGGAGTCTTCAAGCTCGCCTCATCGATACGTATACGCTTAGCAGGGGAGGGAGTATCTTGAGATGTAGAAGCTGGGCTCCATTCCTGACCTTCCTGTGCAATATCCTCGACGTGCCCCCGCTTCCTGCTGCCAGGGGGGCGCTCGCTAGCTTGTTCCCCTTGAGGCACGGGCGTTGTGGGTATCTTAGCCCGGGATTGCGAAGTGTCAGCGCGGGATCGTGAATCAAGTATTTCATCGGATGAGGTATCACCTTGACCTGCATCACCACTTTGTGGAAGCGCGGCCTGGCTTCGAGGGGGAGTTCGAAGGTGGGAGAGTAATTTATCACCAGGTTCGGCATCTGGTACGTCAATATCCCTGGGCTCGTTAATATCAATATCACTCATCTCAGGTGTGATTCCTGTGCGAGAGCCTTCTCTTGAAGGTGGGAGTGGGGGGTATTCCTCATCGGTGATGTTACCTTCACTGTCACCGGTGGCCATCTGAGCTTTACGCTTGTCCTTCCTCTTGGGCTTAGCTGGCTTCAGGCCTTGACTCGGCCGTGCGACACCACCTCGGTTTGAGACTCGACCTCGCCTTGCCATTCGAGTTGGCTTTGAGGATCGAGCTGGCCTTGGTGTTCGAATAATCTCTGAATCTTTGGGTGGTGGTGGGACTGGGGCTGCAGGGCGCGCAGGGTAAGCCACATCAGGTACAACATCAGGGCTCGGTGGCGGTTCATTAAAAGGGAGTAATGGGTCTAGGGAATTCCGGCGACGTCTGCTGCGGCGGCAGATGCCCAAGCACTTGTTGATACAGCGGCAGACTATCGTCATTGTTATTGTTGAGCTAAAGTATACGTCGGAAAATTGAATTGTTGGGAGTAGTTTGAATAAAATATAAGGCTGGTAAGAACTGTAGTATTGTGCTTGTTGAATGATGATGCTGGAATGGAGAGCAATGGACAAATATAGACGAAGTTATATACCTTTAGAATGTCTTTGTTTCTGCTTATCATGGGCCTGAACCCTAGCCACTAGAAAGACGACACAGAGACAATAAGGGTGACTAATTTGAAAATCCAAGGATAGAACTCAAGGAATAGACAAAGAGAAATCTAACAATGTTTGTCCAATTAAACCTATTAGTCTGAAGTAAATCAAGTATCATCAAAGAAAGGCTGAATCGCTCACCAAGTCCACCCTAGTTCCTCCAAGGCCGTCAAGCAACAATGAAATGTGTTATTGTCGAATATCAAAGTGATGAACATAGTGCATTGTTGAAGGACAAGCAAAAGCTAATATTAAGTTGTTGCTCAAAGGGCGAATAATAAAAGAGTTGGTAACTAGAGGTATTGTCAAAGAGCGCACACTATTTGTAGATCTCCAAACTCCCCATGCGTACTCTTGTTTGACAAGTCCATGAAATCACAAAGGTGACTACTTGGATGTGTTGGGAGACAATAGTTGAACAATCAGATTCAGTGCTTTCTCTGGATTATCCCATTGCTCAGCTGTAATTGAACCCTCGCGATGCTGAGACATACCCAGGGAAAGTCCTCTCATGCGCAGTTCATCATATTCAGCCGCACTTTGGCGAAGTTGTTTGATCAAAATTTGGATAGACTCTGTTTTTCGATGCTGGCTTTTCTTCAAGTTCTCGTTTTGCCAGGGTGCGCACTGCTTGAACAAAGAATGGAATATTTAACGTAGATCTTTGTCCAATGTCTGATTCCTTTCGTAATCTGCGCGATACAAATTGGCAGGGTGGAATCCTTGAACACAATGTATAAAGTGTTCCTCGAAATGGAAGCTGGACACCTTTTGGCGCTCGGCAGTGGCCATCGACGAGCTTAGTTTCTGAATCATGTCATGGTTGAATGAACCCCAGCGCTCATGCTGAAAAGGGCGAAAGTATTGACAAGAAAGGACAATAGGTAGCCTGAACTCTCGAATAAAGTCGAGGGTCAGGCCGAACATTTCGGGAATAACCTGATCACGCTTATCAGGATGTTCCTCTAACCTTTCATTAGTCAACATAGGAAATAAATCCATGATGATTACATCGTCAAGGCGAAGGTCGATTTCCTCTAGGATATTTTCTAGCCACTTTAGAATTCGAGTTGCTCCGACCATCTCATCAAATGGAAGGTGGTCATTCTTTGGACTTAAAAGCAAAATGCAGGGGAAATTGCGAGTCCCGCATAGGAGTCTCTAGAAATTTTCGAATCGTTCTTCCAGCCAGTCATGTTTTTGGTGGAGTTCTTTTGCTCGGTCGAAAAATGAATGTGTTGAAGCAATTGGCTCGAGGATCTTCTGGCTGTGAAGAGCAGGCTAGAGTGTAGTTTTTATAAGCTCGTCCAACGTGGATTAACTTGTGATGAGTCCCTCGTCCACACCGCTTGCACCAGTGCTGATTCTCAGGCGAATGAGTTCGTTACTGAGAACCTCCTCTGTATCAGTGGTCATTTTGATTGTGCATGCAGATTTTGTCGTCTAATGCCACCCAAAGAAATCCCAAGAGTGGAACCTGGGATACGTTGAAATAGGAGAAATACGAGGTGTTATACTCGTGATCAGAGTTTGATGTGCATGTCATGAACATATCATGATGTAGATATCATGCAGTTCGGTGGTAGCAAATAGAGGTAAACAGTATATTAGCCCAAGGAACATACAACACAGGCATACTCAAAGTGACGAATGAAGAAGCCCTATGGTGTTATTGGTCTTAGGTAATCTAAGCTGAGTTCTCGGGGGCAGGGATCAACATGTAGGAGGGTGTCAGATCAGAAGTTTAGCCCAGGTGAATAGTCGAATAGGGCAAGATTCAATAAAGATGATTCGAGTATCCCGGGACGTGATCTGTCTAGGCAAGCCGCATGTGTACATACCCAGGTAGTATGTATGTATGTCGGGTGCCGCTGACGTCCTCAATATATTAGTGACCCAGCCGGTACCCGAGAGCTGAAATCCCCTGAAGTTCCTGAGACATACGGAGTACAAAGATATTATTGATTTATTTCCCCTAGGTACTGTCTCTGATCAGTCCGGGGGAAACCAACCGGGTTTCATGTTGCCGGAACATTTATTCCCATCTGATGAGCCTCAACAGGCGAAGATTGCCTTTGCATCCACCGTACTTTCGGTGTAACATTTTCCATTCATTCGGGTCCATGCGGCGTATTTGGTGTATTTGGCGCATGTCATAACAAAGACCGGGATGTTGTATTCTGATTGGCCCAGAACACTTGCTTTGAAGTTATCCCGTCTCATTTGCTGACGGGTGGTTGCATCGGTCTTGGCTGGCTTGGCCATGTCATTTGCCGTCCAACCGCATTCGTTTTCTACACTCCATAATCTATCGGCCAGTGGCAGTGCCGAGGGGTTACAATCATGATGTGGTTCGGAGAAAAACGGAAATATAAAAAGGGACCTAGGGAAATAATATACCAAATATGGTATATCAGCACGTTCCTTTCAAGGCTTACGCCATATCAAGCCATGATGCAAGCGACTACCTATAACGCCGAGGTATTTATTTTCAACAAAGCGATACATTACATCTAAATTGATGTAGTTAGCGTTGAATTGCGTTGACCACTCACAATCGACAAAATCCGCCCCCAAAACCTACCCCCATGGAACTTCCCATATCCCCGCGTCGCCCGACGCCTTCCCCGTATCTTGGCCAGCCCCAGACATTGGAGCACACCCCGGTCATCTCGGATTACCGCTTTTGTCAATCCGGGGGAAGAAGAAAGTGGGCTATATAACCCACTGATCGGCATCTTCATCATGTTCCCCCGTATTTTGTTTCGATCTTCTCATGTTTGGGCATCATGTTCGGCATTCCGAAGTTCTTTGGCTGGAGAGGCCGGTCTCTCAACCTGGCTATCAGTTCCCTTGGTAGTCTTGACTTCTTGTACGATACTATTCACTAATTGTATTTTTCTTTTTTTTTTGAAACCTGCCACTAACCGCGACAAGGCTTTTTGGTTATGATCAAGGTGTCACGGGTGGTCTGCTAGACCTGCCATCCTTCATCAAATACTTCCCCGATATCAATCCTAACGATCCATCAATCGCCGGTGCCGAATTCCAACCCGTTCGATCGCAGCGCAGTTTGAATCAAGGCATTGCAGTCGCATCGTACAATCTGGGATGTTTCTTCGGCGCCGTCCTCACCATCTTCATCGGTAATCCGCTTGGTCGTCGAAGGACTATCTTCTGTGGCTGTGTAATCATGGCTACTGGCGCCCTCCTGCAATGCACCGCGTACTCTCTACCCCATTTCATTGTTGGTCGTATTGTCACTGGTGTTGGTAATGGCATGAATACAAGTACCGTACCGACATGGCAATCCGAGTCAGCAAAGGCACACGATCGTGGTAAGATGGTGATGATTGAGGGTATGCTCATCACTGGAGGTATCACTCTTAGCTACTGGATCAACTACGGTGAGTTAAATCCCAACTTTGATATACTCTCAATTTGCAATTACTGATATAGTCCTAAATTAGGCATGTCATTCATCGGGCATAAAGAGGTCGCCTGGCGCTTCCCTCTCGCTTTCCAGATCACATTCGCTATCATTATCTTCTGCTCTATTCTTAACCTGCCCGAGTCCCCAAGATGGCTTGTCATGCAAGGCCGGACAGATGAAGCTTTGGAGATTCTCGAGTGTCTAAATGAGAAATCTCGGGATGACCCCTACATCAAGAATGAGCTCATCGCCATCGAGGAAACCGTCAAGGAAATGAACAAGGGCTCGTATAGAAGTCTGTTCAAGATGAGCGAGTATCGAGAATTCCATCGCGTGGCACTTGCCTATGTCAATCAGATGTTCCAGCAGATTTCCGGGATTAATCTGATCACTTACTACGTGAGACTCTCTAACCCCTCAGCTAATATGTTAGCCCCATGCTAATGAAGTCAATTAGGCCCCTTCACTGTACGCCGAGATTGGTCTTGGAAGCGGCAACCTTCCAAAGTTGCTAGCTGCTTGCAACGGCACGGAGTACTTGATGGCTGCATTTATCCCTATTTTCATTATCGAGAAAGTTGGACGTCGTCCACTGATGCTGTTCGGCGTACGTCACCCACTCACACCCCGTGTCAATCTCCCATCAACTAACCAAGAACCATGAAGGCCGCCGGCATGTCGATTTCAATGGCCGTCCTAGCTGGCACCAACTACCGCTTGACCGTACTCAATGATAGTCGCGCCGGTATCGGACAAGCAGTGTTCCTATTCGTCTTCAACACCTTCTTCGCTATCGGCTGGCTCGGAATGACCTGGTTGTACCCGGCCGAGATCGTACCTCTACGAATCCGCGCCCCAACCAACGCACTAGCCACCAGCGCCAATTGGATCTTCAACTTCATGGTCGTCATGATAACCCCCGTTGCATTCGAAAATATTGGATACAAGACCTATGTCATTTTCGCTGTCATGTAAGATCTAAGATCCGCTAAGCCTGCATTAACCCATAACTTGGAACTAACTTTCGGACAGAAACGCATTCATGTTCCCATGTGTATACTTCTTCTTCCCTGAGACTCGATACCGTTCCCTGGAAGAGATGGATGCCATCTTCAAGAAGTCTACTAATGTCTTCAACGCCGTTACTATCTCCGTTAAGGAACCTTATCGCTACGATAAGCACGGCGAGCTCAAACCTGAGTATCTTGAGGAGGCCATCCGTCATGCGAGCGTTGATGTGCATATCGCCGGCGAGAAGCTTGATAGCGATGAGAGTGGTCATGAGATCAAGTCTTGAGATCAAGTCTTGAGTGATTGGAGGATGAGGTTAGTTGTGTATGTTGGTGGATTTTGTTTATACCCGTGGTGCCAGTGTGATCTGATACTAGTATCTTGCTGAGCCCGTTTCTATATGTATGGCTTTTAGATGTAAAGGGAGGTAATGACAAACTTTCTACGTCGAATTTTGATTATAGGGTCAATGTATGTTGATATATATCTACAAGATAAACTTTCCTTTTTATGATAGGCAGTAATCATTTTCTGAATTGGACAAATCACTTTGTCTTCGGCGCTCACTCAGACTGAATATATAGTGCACGCTAGCAAGGTATTAACATAAGGACATCGATAGGTGAAAATGGTAAAATTCGTGAGTAAATTGTAATTCTACATAGCTATGAATGTAAACTATCTGTGTTGGAACAAGTCGAAGGATCCGGGTATTCCAGCTCATCTCAGCGTGACACGCATATTATGCGAGGTCGATGTTAATCAAGGAACTCGAGGAAGATGCTTGCAACTTCGAGTCGAAGAGAAACAAAAAGAAAGAAAAATAAAAGGTCGTAGAACACAACCCATATAAAAAAATGAGGTAAAAGAAAAGAAAAGGTAGGTTCGAAAAGACGGCCGGCCTTTTGTTAACATTACAAGGATGCCAGTAGAAATACAGACAAGACGGTATGCGAGACACGGACGGAAGATTCAGAAGATGAAAACGAAAAGAAGGATAAATGATTCAGATGCGGAGATATGCATCTAGCGCAAAGCATAGATTGAAGGAGGGTTCGTTCGTCACGGACGCGGGCTGTAGGGGGGATATCAAGATCGAGGCGAACAATTTGGTCATATTAGGCAAGCTCATTTCCGTCCAGCGGGGACACTGACACGTCAGCGGGAATGCCTATGTTCTGCATAAGACGGAGGCTCTATGCGGAGGTGTGGGTCATTCAGATTAAGCGTCATGAGTGGGGACTGGCTTTCGCGAGATCGAGCCGGACGGAGAAGTCGGCGGGGAAGTCGGAAGGGCTGGAAGATCGCTGGTGGGAGCGGTAGTAGGAGCGGCTAGTGGACTTGGCAATGACACGGCAGCAGGAGCAGGCGCAGGAGCCGCTTGGGGACTGGAAACTTGCAGCGCGGCGGGGGCAGGATCAGCAGCAGCCAATGGACTTGAAACAGCAGGTGCGGCGGGCGCTGCCATGGGCGGAGCGACATTGCTGGCACTGTTGCTGCGTTGGCGTTGATTGACAGGCATCACAGGACGCTGCATTCCTGGAGCTCCGTATGGACCAGGGCTCATCGAGCGCGGGCCGGGCCGGGGACCAGGAGACATTGAACGAGGACCGGGCATACCTCCAGGTCCGGGGGACATCGAGCGAGGACCGGGCATTCCACGGGGTCCGGGGGACATTGAACGAGGACCGGGCATTCCACGGGGTCCGGGGGACATCGAGCGAGGACCGGGCATTCCACGTGGTCCGGGGGACATTGAGCGAGGGCCGGGAGACATTGAGCGAGGACCAGGCATACCTCCAGGTCCGGGGGACATTGAGCGAGGACCAGGCATTCCTTTAGGCCCAGGCGACATGGAGCGGGGAACTGTCGGGAACTGAACAGGAGATCCGGGACCGGGGTAAGGACGGCCGGGCGGAGGTCCAGGGAAGCCAGGGCCACCAGGGGATCTCGGACGGGCATCCTGGGGATAGAATCGTGGACCCGGGGGACCCCCGGGCATCATTGGACGACCGTCAGGGCCCATGATGGGTGGGCCGCGAGAGCCGGGAGGTCCAGGGGGCGGGCGGGCGCGAGGCATCATAGGACGAGCCGAGAGGCAAGACCGTGGAACAACTCCCTGCTGGGGACTGTTAAGGCGCATGCAGAGAGCCCATCCATCGTCGTACTCGTGAACCAAGCGCACAAGCGCCCCTGAGCGAAGTCCAAGCTCATCTTCCATAGAGGGGTTGAAATCCAGTTGCACACGGTAAACATTGTTAGGGGGTGGTGGGCCAGCAGCCATGGCGCCTGCAGCGCCAGCAGCGATAGCAGATGCAGCTGGTGCAGCTGGTGCAGCAGCAGCATCGGTAGGGATGGCAGAGGCAGCGGTAGCATCGGTCGGTATTGTCGCAGATTGGGTTGAGCTAGTGGGGGAATGGCCGCGTGACTCGGCGGAATGGTAGCGCTCGGAATCATTAGACGCTCGAGATGAAGCGGCAGCACCTGCCGCAACACCCACGGCTGCGGCACCGACCGCGGCAGCTGCGACGGTCGGTGTAGATGTACCAGATGTACCAGTGGCCGATTCAGACGTTCCAATCGCTGATTCGGCAACAGAAGGCGCGATCTGCGTAACAGGTGTAACAGGGGTGGTGGCTGGGTTGAAAGGATTGACAGGGTCACTGAAGGGGTCAGAGTGGCTCCCAGCAGACTTCGGCGGAGTAGGAGGCGGCGATTCGCCAGTAAGATTACGAGAGGCGACAGCAGCAGAGCCAGCTGCAGCACCTGCAACAGCAACAGTGGCTGGACTCAAAGCTCCGGAAGCACCAGCGGTGGCAGGGTTCAAGCCACCGCTGCCGCTCAGATCAGGTGCGAATTGAGTGACGGGACGAACATTAAGCTGCGGGGGAGTCGAAGGCGTCTGCGGCTTGGAAGGAGGAGGCGGTGGGAAAGCAGCGATACCCTCTGGCAGGCCTTCGCCGCCGAGTGTCTTCTCATTCTCCTGCTGATACCCCTCCTGGCTTCTCTTCTTCTTGCGGATAAAGAAGAAAATCAGGGCAGCGATCACACCAACACCGAAGATGACACCGATGGCCACACCAGCCTTCGCACCACCAGTCATACCCTCGGAAGTAGTAGTTCCAAGCGCAGTGGTCGAGGCCGATGCAGCAGAGTTACTGGCCGATCCTGTTGAGGTTGCCGCGAGGAGATCGTCGACATTCTGGGAAGATTCCGAGGTGGACGATGCCGAAGTAACAAAGGAGGTTGCTGTGATCGGAGCCTCCGACTCACTGGTAGTAGTTGCTTCCTTGGTGGTCGTTTCAGCCTTAGTAGTCTCGGTGGTCTCCTCCTTAGTAGTCTCGGTGGTCTCCTTAGTTTCTTGAGTGGTGTGGGCCACGGTTTCTTTGGTGGTAGTTGGTTCCTCCTTCGTCTTCGTCGTGGTCACCTCATCTGTAGGTTTGGTCTCGGTTGTTTGTTCCTTGGTCCTTGTAGGCGCGACAGGAGCACCAACACCGGCGTGCGCTTCGGTGGCAGTGGTGTGTTCGGTGCCGGTTACATAACCTCCCACTTCACCTACAAAGTCCGGATCCATGGTCTTGTATACGATCACGACATCGCCTCGCTCCTCGATGACTCCTCGTTCTTCAACATTTCCTCGCTCCTCTAATTCCTCCACATTGCGTGCATGGTTGTGGTGCGCATGCCCGTGCATGTTGTTAGCTCCAGTATCCTAGGATATCGTGAAGCGGCGATGAAGGTTAGAGAAGGAAATTCAGCGGGAATGGATCCTAAAGAGAGGGATAAGCCCAGATTCCAACGCGAGCGATTTCCGAGAATCTGCGTCTCTGGGTCGATTCCAGCTGTATGGAATGTGGTTGGAAAGAATGGATGACTGAGATCGAGCACCGCCGATCGTCAAGTCGAAGATAAAAGAAAGGACGTCGACTTCCAGGTCGTACAAATTCAAAGAAAGGAAGGAAAAGGATAAAAGAAACAAACAGCAACCTTGGAAAAGAGAAAAGCCTCAATACGAGAGGGCCCTGGAGTACCACGAGGAACGGAAATGAGATCTTGGGACCCTGTGTGTATACAATAACATTCTAACCCAAATAGGCAGCGATGATCTCTGTGTTCCTTATTCTGATTGGCTATCACATGGTTCCTGACCCGAAGGAGTTACCCGACCCATGGCCGAGAACCCTTACAGGCCCACTTGACGCTAACTGGCCTGGCAGGTTTAATACACTGGGACTTCGACGGCTTGGATGGCCTGTGTTGCACTCATCAACTTTTTTACTCGATACGTACGAAGTACTATGGATAGCATAGTGCAGCTTAAAATATCCAGTATATGATCTAAATTACAAATTCTTGGCAAAATACACGGGAAGTCTACCAATTCATCACTCGGCTCTTGCTAGCTCCGTTTGCCCGCCCCCAAACGGCACATTCGCTAAAGTGTAGCCCCCGAGGGGCACAGACTTCTCCATGGTTGTTTCACCCTAAGGGCAACAGCCACATTTAATTGATCGCTCACACAGCCCGTAATTTCCGGCGGTGCCGGAAATTCAATTTTAATCAAAGTCAATTTAATCAAAATAATGCATGGCCCTGCGTGATTGCCTCTCATGCAAGTCCCTCAGGGGCTACGCTGCAGCTCGGAAAAACTTTATTAATATTTTGTTACCTAGATGTAAGGTACAAATACTGTAGGCGGTACATCTTCATATTTTGTATTCCATATGGTGTACGGAGTATAAATTACTTTACTAGAGTAACTAGTTAGTTATGCATCTGTATGTTAATAATTCAGGTCGCAAGTTCCACGCTTGTGATTCACCGATCCACTCGTGCGGTATAACCCGAGGAGGCGCGATGAAGTGTGGCGTAGCTCCATCCATCTCCCCCCCCCCCCCAATATCATACCACTTCCTCAACTCCGAGCAAAATATGGATGGGCAAGGGCCTACGCCTATGGTTAGAGGTTATTGTAAGACATCAGATAGGTCACATACCTCTGTTGCGGAGAGTCTTTCGCTGCTCTCGTAGCGCAATAGGTGGCTGACTAGATCACGGCCATTCGAGGATGCACCCGGGAGGATGTCCTCCCAAGGCTGTGTGTGGAACGAGTGGAATTCCACTTTCCCCCAATCTGGCAAGACCTGGACTTCCTATTCGATTGTTATAAATCGCTTCTCCATTAGTGACAGATGGGATTCTTACCGGCCAGCGCTGTTCATCCGGGGTGCCCAGTAGTTTGAAGATGGAGAAAATCAGCGACAGATCGCTGCCCACGGGGCCAGAGTCGAAGAGCTGGTGGTGGCCGACGGCGATGGCTTCTGCCACTACACAGCCGGCGGCCCACATGTCGAGGGATGTTCCGTACTCTTTGAACCCAAAGAGAATCTCTGGGGGTCGATAACAGGTGGTGCCAACATCCGTGATTTTCTGCGTGGGTAGCTCAGATCCCGCATCACCCTGTTTCCATGAAATGCCAAAGTCTGCCAAGTAGGCTGGTCCATTGGGGGAGTCCATCAGGATATTGGAAGGCTTGATGTCCCGATGAAGTATACCCATGCTGTGGAGATGGGCAAGGGCACAGAACAGGTCTCGCAGAATCGATCGTGTTTGAGCGGCAGTTACCATGTCTCGCCGGAGCAACCGCTCGAAGTCATATCGCATAAAAGGAAACACTAAGACAAACCTCCCACCATCAAGATTAAATGTTTCAATCAATGGAATGATATGCGGGTGAGAAGCTTCGCGCAACAGCCGTGCTTCACGGTGGGCATCATGGGGGGCTATCATCATATGGGGAATAGTGACTTTCACTGCCCGAACAGTCCCATCTTCCAGCTTTGATCTGTAGATGGAGGAGTGGAGGCCACCATAGTGGTGGGAACAAGATCGATATTGACCGATCACTTCCCCAGTTGAGGTCTTCGGTTCTTCATAGTCATCCTCGACATGCTGTGGACTGCTAGTGACCAGCTTTTTGGACCCTGCTAATTCAGCTTCATCAATCGCCTTTAGGCAGATGGAATCATATTCATCCTGGATGGAACAGTCTCAGTTGAAATGATTTTTAACGCAAATTTTTAGAAGGCGCAGAACTCACTTTTGAGGTCGCTTTGTCATACGCCTCGGTTTCAAGCTCCTTCGCTTGGGCCATAGCTTCTGCAAATGCGGAGGCGGGCGAGGAAGAAGCTTGCTGGTAAGCCGCTGTGCTACACGCGAATCAATCGGGTGCTCATGTTGACATATACGGAAACGTCGCTTACAGAGACTGTATGGCTCGCAGCCGGTCTGTGAAGCCGAAATTGTCCTTCCAAGACATGGTGGACGAGAACCACTGCTAACCGAGGTAGTGAGACTTCTAACGTATACTGCCTTTCAGTTAATGCACCAATGTATAGCAAATAATCACAGCAAAGTAAATATAGGGGGAGATATATTCTATCAAGGCGAGTTGCTATCAGATTTCAACCTGAGGCAACAAGGTGTCAACATCAACCGTGTGGATGATGTCATGTGACCAATCACGCAGTAGTTACAATGCTGTGACGTAAATAACAGACATTTAGGTATTTTGGTTGATTGGAGACCGCCAAGTACTGTATTACCATAACACCCTCCGTCATTCCATCCCCATTGCCATCCTCGGCCAACATCGAATGACACGCTATCAACTGAGACTGGCATTCAATCCCGATCCCGCATTCATTTCCCTTAGCTGATTGGGCTATTCTTGCCGCGAGCACAGGAATCTCTTGGTTTTCTCTCCTATGTTATGCGCTCCGTGCGCTACCTTGCTCAACATCTCAATACCCCGGAATCTGAATCATGGACCTCTCACGGCAAGAGTACCCCAACCTGCTGGTAAGATTGAGCAACGCGAGCTTTATGGCTGTCTAGCAAAGTATTTAGATACTGATCATTGATGGTATTTCTTTTATTTAGGCCACCCTGCATCCCGGCCAAGCTACGACCGTCCTGAGCGATCGCATTCGAGTCATTAACAAGGTCAATGCGGATATCGCGGATTATTTACAGGTATGACAACCTGCGACTCGACCCGACCAGATTGCTGGAGTGGGATATACAACGGGGAGCGACATTGGTGTTGACAAATCGGCGATAGGAACGACGCCGCGTTGAAGAAGCATACGCCCAAGGGTTACGGAAGTTAGCGCATCGGCCACAGTTGGACAATGGAGCTGCTCTTGGGTAAATTGACCTTTCCCTGGAAGATCTATGTTCTTTGCGCCCGGAGATGATTCTGACCTGTGAAACTAGCATTTTCCAAATCCCTTGGCAACGCATCATCAGTGCCACCGAAACCCTCGCAGTGTCCCACGAGACCCTTGCGACCAAGATCGAAGAGGATGTCGAACGACCTCTGAGGGAATTTAATACCAAGAATCCAGAGATGAAGTCGATGCCTGGTATCCAGAGTAATTTGGCGGGGTTAGCGAAGAATGTGGAGACGGCACAGAAGAAGGTGGACAAGGCTAGGGCGAAGGGTGTCAAAGGCGCAGACAAACTTTCTAGCGAGATTGCCAATGCCGAAGAAGTCCATCAGCAATGGGATTCGCGGGCTCCCTTTGTTTACGAGCAGCTTCAGGCCGCCGACGAGACCCGGCTCAACCACCTTCGGGATGTGCTAACACAACTAGAGACACATGAGCTTGATCAAGTTGAGCGTGGTCGCCAGGCCGCTGAAAGCTGCTTGAATATTCTCCTCAATGTGGAAACAGCGGATGAGATCAAAACCTTTGCTGCTAGAATGACGGGTCCGCGGGTCCCTGTGACACAGACCATCGCCAGAAGTCAGACTGAACGGGCAGAGACGCCTTCCACAATTGAACCACTATCTGAGCGAACCCAGACTGCGCCGCCCGAGCGTCAATTTTCCACGCCATCAACAGAGGCACCGCTTCCGCCTCCTCCACGCTACCAGGATGATGCGGCAAGCCAACTATCAGAGACAACCGAGAGACCTGCTGTCGCTCAGACAGCGCCAGGTAAGTTTTACAATTAGGTTACGATCCCACTCTAGATGCAACATTGAAGTTCTCACGATTTATCTAGTACCCGAAGCACAGCCGCGGCATACTCCCTTGGGGGGACTGAGACGTCTTGGCACTGTTATGAATAGGAGAAAGAGCATTGTCGGACCCTCGGCTGGAACTTTTGACCGAAAGGCAGAGAAGAAACGTAGTCCCTTTGCTGCATTTAAGCGAGCCGACTCCTCTCGCGATATGCAAATACCTGAATCTCCCCCCATGACTGCCACTGACCGTCCAGGGACATCCCTCACCGATCAATCATCCTTGCGGAATCCTAGTGTGTCGCAGGATCACGCCGGATTGGACACTGCTGCAGCTGTGCCGGAAGTGCACCCCGAGACCCCCGGAAATGGAGCTGCGCCAGAAGCTCTTGGGTTCACCAATAACCATGTCAATCAGGTAATTTACAAACCAGCAATTTAAAAGTTGAAGTGCAAGGATCACGGACTAATCTTTTGTTTAGCCACAGGTTGATTCAGAAGGGTTCACCCAGCGCCCTGCAACCATTGACGAGATCACGCGTGCGCAAAACGAGGCGGCGGGGTAGGTGACCTTGTGCCAATTGTGGTGAACAAATGCTGACAATCACTACAGCCTAGATGAATCTGGACTGAATTTGACGATTCGAGATCAGCCCATTTTCGAGGATGAGAGCCAAGCGAAGCGGGCCATGGATGATATGGCAAATACCCTCCGAATGGTTAGTGACAGGCCTCAATACTACTTAGGCATTGTGTATAATACTTACTTTCTTATACAGCGGGCTCCGCAGACAGGAATGAGACGCAATGCAGGCACCATTCGCGGACGCCGTGATGTTCGCAATACAATGTTCGTTGCTTCACCTGGCAATGAGCTTCCACCATCTTCGGCAGGCTCGGAGTCCCAGCCACCAACCTCGCCAATTAGGCATATAACATCCCCCAGCATTGCCCCCAGCACTGCTACCGATGATCACACTTTATCGGATACCACCTCGGTTCGCTCCGGACACGCTACGCCTGGCCCGGGAGCTTCGGTCCATCCTGATCTATACGAATTGGGCCTGAATGCTTCAGTCATTGAAACCATCAACGCATGGTTTTCAGAGGGTAACGTTAGCAAGTCTTTCGTTGTTGGTGAGCTTGCTCTAGCAAACAACCCTACACCTGGTACTGCGGTAGACCATACACGCATCAGACTGGATAACTTCCAAGTGCTGGAAAAGGTAGCCGCCAACCCCCACTTTGTGCAGGAGGTTTCCACAGACGCTGGCGATGACAAGCGAGGCGAATACGATATCCAGCTGGGCAGCATTTCCCGCCCCATGCCGACAGTCGCATTTAAATATCAACTGCATATCGATCCGGCCAATCCCTCCGCCTACTGCCCCGTGATATTCAAGCCAGTCTGGAACTTAGAAGAATCACAGGCGAGCGCTATCATCTACTATACGCTCAACCCATCCTTCCTCTCCCACACAGCCGACTCAATTACCCTCAAGAACTTGGTCTTGACCATCAATTTGGACACGGCCACCGAGGATAAGACTACCAAGCAGCCGCGCGAGTCAGTTGCCCATGCCATCAGCGCCGCCATGTACCCTAATACAGGCGCTACCTTCCGTCGCAAAACCTCCACCGTCACTTGGAGAATCCCGGAGCTGGAAGTCAAGGCACCCACCACCCCAGGCGCAGACAGCAAATTCCTTGTCCGCTTCGTGACGTCCACCCCCGGACCCCGCAAGGGTACAGTCGAAGCAAAGTTCGAGCTCCGCGGTGCTGAATCCTCTTCTCAGCTTGGCATCAGCCGTGCTGCATCAGACGCAGAGCAGAAGGAAGCTGACCCTTTCGCCGACGAGGGGCGTGAGTCCCCACTGTCGGCGGCTTCATGGCTAGGCGTCCCGACTACACGCAAGCTGATCGGTGGGAAGTATGTCTCTTCCTAAATATGTCTTGAGCAAGGCGGGATGGAGCTATCCGCGCCTGGTCGTATATATTCCCCTCTTTCATGCAATCGTTCTTCTGTTATCTGTCCACTGTTTGGATTACATGTCAGGATAGGCATCCCTACAGATAGGGCCCCAAACTGGACCATTACAATCTTAGCATGATGCCATTACCTCTTTTTCCATTTGTCTCCCTTTATCTTCCCCTCCTCGTCTCTTGTGTTCCGAGTATGCAAATAGCGATTTTGTTATTTATGAATTTTGCTTGTTGTTTGTTGGGTTTGCTTCTTGTTTTGTGTAGTTAGGCATTTACTTCGCGTACATATGTATGTAGCTATTTTAAAGCACAGGGTGATTATTGGGTAGTGGCTGGGCACTTAATCATGCTTAATAGGCATTCTCATGGTCCATCAATGCCTACTTTGTGCAACATCCAGCCTCTATACCTTCCCCTTTTCCTGTCTCTGCTCCTCTATTCTTGATAATTTTTATAACAATATCGAAAGGAGAGAAAACTGTAATTTACCGAATAGCTGTACATCAGAGAGATTTATAGCGCTGATATCATGAATTATTTAGACTTAATGCCTGTTCTCCTAATGTCTGGGAGGATCTCTAGCTCCACCAGGACTGCCAAGTCTACTGCAGTGATAATAGAGCTATCAAAGAAAGAATATACGATCACGACCACTGCTCCTTGTTCTCCTCAATCCAGGCTTTGAAGTCCTTCATCCCAGGGTAGAGCTGACGGCATGCTGCAACATCACCTCCATACCCTTCATGTTCAAACCAACGGAACATATCGCCCACGGTTCCCTTCAACAAGAACTTGACTGTAGAAGCCACAGGACAAGGAGCCATGGGCATAGATGATCCTACGATAGCCTTGAACATAGCTTCAGCCTCTCTTTGGGTTAGCTCATCGCCCACCAATGTGAGGCCACCATTGCGGTACTCATCAGGATTCATGAAGCTGTATGCCGCAACCCGACCAATATCCTGGGTCGACACGAACTGCAGCTTCTTATCTCCCATTTGTTCCCACATGCGGGCGAACCCTTTCCCATGGATATCAGTAGTGAGATTCTCAAAGAACGTCACGGGCCGTAGGATCGTGTATGTCATCTGTTGCGGGCTAGCCGCGGCCCTCTCCACCAAGTGCTTCTCAATGTGGTGTTTGGCAGCAAAGTTTTTGACTTTGGTAGGATTAACGGGCGACTTCTCCGGCCCGCCGCGATCACCCGACGAGTAGACGAAATGGCGCACACCATGAGCAACCGCGGCGTCGACAATTGCCTTGCCTTGCTGCTCCTCGGCGTCTGAGTTAACCTGCACGCTGTACACGCCCCAAACAGGGCTGACTTTTTGGAAGATTGCCTCGGGTTGGGCTATGTCGCCGTCCACGACGGAGACATTGAAATTCGCGCCCAGTTTCAGCGCGCGGGGGCTGGTCACGTCGCGCGTTACGGCGACGATGTTGAACCCGGCCGTGTCGGGGGCGGATAGGAGGCTCTGGATGAGAGCGCCGCCTTGCTTGCCGGTGGCGCCAGTGACTAGTACGGTCTTTCGTGGGACAGACATTCTCAAATTTGAAATGGTAAATAACGAGGGGTTGTTATGTTGTTATAAATTGAGGCTGGATGCTTCACCCCACTTAAAGGCTTATTGACTCGGCATGTTTCCGGGCTGTAATTGCGCTAGGCCAATATTGGAAAACGCTAGAGCTAGTAGGGGGATGACTGCATCAACTATACGAGCTAGTTTGGAATGAATGTCGTAGAAACGGTCCGAGGCGCACTGCTGGCTACCATAGATACCGGCGTACTCATTGTTTTTCAGGACTCCTTTCACCGCATGCTTATAGCTCATCGAGATTTCCTATACCCGGCAACTCAAGCACGCCAATATCAAACTCGAATTACTGCACCACCCTCGATGCGAAAATTAGGTTTACTGTGGGCCCGGGGGACGGATGAATTGGAGTCGGCTCACAGCGTCCGGGGCTATATATAGCTTTGGAAGAGTATTGGTAACAATTCGAGATGCGTATCCCCAAACAAGCTGTCCATGTTGTCGATTACTTCCTGAATTCTGAACTGCAGTGTCATAGACCTCCACTTGTTTCCTAGTCAACCTTTTGATCAAGCTGGAAGTCCGGTTTTTAATGGAAAGGTTATATTTCTGAATGAGTTTACAGGTTATATGTCTCCTGTGCTGTCTCGACTTTTGCCAAGTAACGTTCTATCACGGTTAGTATGCATCATAGTTGTGAAGTCGGCCACGTACTTGCAGCCAGCCATCTCATGCCCAGATAGGCCAGTAGGACTTTTAAGGGACGCATCGATGGCTCCGGATCGACACCCCCAGCTAGCCTGGTATCGTTAAGGCACACCATAGCGGCCTTGTATAGACAATGGGGGAGAAACACAGACAAAGCCGCCATCTCACTCGAGGGAGACGTTTCCGCCTCTCGCGTAATCTCGTAGACGAGAGACTTGAGAATATTGAGTGACGTATGAATACAACACTCATTGTCGGGGATATACGTGTGAGATCCAACCTCTAAGGCTTCGAGCATGGCACTAATTAGTAGCGTTGGGGTTAGTCACTTAGTTCTGAACTTGGGCTGGTCAGTATCACCTTCTACATATTGCCAATGCGCTATCCGATAGAGGATGTGGATTAAAATCACCGCTTTGGAAGGTCGACAGAAACGAAGTCAGGGATTTGAGGATCTGGACTGCCTCGATGCCATCGAAAAGGGAATGCGATTTGGTCAAATGGATATGAACCAACACCTGGTTCAAGAGCTGGGATGCGTGAGCTAGCTTGGTGAATGGATCCATTTTCACCTTCGGGCAATCTTCAGTGTCCTATTTTCGGATTGGTTTTTAGACGAAGTTGACTTGGGGATTCGCAGTCGGTTAGTCAGTCACTTACCCTGTTGCACCCCACCGCGTCTATGGGTCGTCCTCTGTAATTACTGGGTGCTTGGCCATTTTCCAGCGAGACATATCTACCAGGTGCTCTTGTTTCAGTATGGATACGATCTGATGTGCATCCTCGGGGGCTAGATCTGACCTGTCAGTGATGGCGATGCCACGCCAGGTCTGTTGTGCCTCCTCGGCTTTCTGTGGATCCCGAAAAACCTTGCGCGGGTCATCGCAAGGGGCATTTATCCCCAGGGAGATTGCGGTGCGTACATTGGCCGCGGTGGAGACATATGCGGCGGGATACATGGCATGACCGATCTCGAAGATCGTCAGGAGAAGACGACCCTGCAACATTTCCAACGAATTTGTCCCCATCGCTTCGAGAAGAGCCACAAAGCTCTTGAGAGAAGCATACCACGATCGGGTCGAGAGAGGAAGCTCTACTCCCACAGGCTCCTTACAAACAAGGGCCATGCAGAGAGTCAAGAAGCTCAAGTCGGATGGGACAGTAGCTGTCTGGACGCGTACATTTGATAACCGGATATTATAGCAGGTCTCCGATATAATAGGGAACCATGTATGTACAGTTCGGAAATATAAGGCTGTAGTAGCTTGCAGTTGCAATCCATCGCCCACGATTAATGAGACCTGAGCTCCGAGTGTATGACGCAGGTTGGAGGGTGTCAAGTCGGCCCAATCTGGCAGAGGCAGCAGACGAGGGGCTTGAACTGGAAGGAGATAGTCACAAGGCTTATTCAATCTAAATTGCTTAGCATACATCGCCTACAGTCTTTGGTGATAAACGCACCTTTTACAAAGGGTACAGCGTGGAAGAATCTTGTCACATTTTCGTTTCTGTCTCCGACATCGAAGACAGGCCTGATCGGCCGACATGGTTACATGTGCGGGTGCGGAGGCTAAGCCCTTAAATACCATGGGGTGGGGATAAGATTCCTGCCCGAGGTCCTCTGTATCAAGCCTAATCGGGTTTAGACTCCGCGCCCACATCCGCACCTGCATATCTAGAACAGAATCTAGATCTATATATATTACCAGGTCTCCATCAAATGTTATAAATGCAGGCTTTCCAGTATTTCCAATTTATTGCATTTCCATAGAAATCGAGATGATTCGCAACGTTGCCATTGCAGGGGTATGTTGGGCAATCATTATCTGGTTTTTATCATGACTTATAAATCATACTTAGGCTTCTGGAGCCCTGGGCTTCCCTATTTTTCATGCACTTCTCCAGAGCGAACTCTTTAATGTGACTGTTTTGGCACGCTTATCGTCTCAAGCACAATTCCCGGCGTCTGTCAAGGTAATCCGCGTGGATTACATCTCGGTCCCAGACCTCACGATGGCTCTGACCGGCCAGGATGCCGTGGTCTCGGTCCTGACAACCAGTGCCATGGAGACACAGATCCCGCTGATTGAGGCCGCAGTGAAAGCTGGAGTGAAGAGATTTCTTCCCTCCGAGTTCTGTGCGAACATTGGCAATCCAAAGGCAGCCAGTTTACCTGTCTACCACTCCAAGATTGCGATACACGACGTCATCCAGCAACAGGCTCGGGACCACCCCCATTTTACATATACTTTAATTCGAAATGGACCTTTCCTCGACTGGAGCCTGGGATATGGTTTCTTTTTCAATCTCAAGGGAGGATCGACACCCTTTTATGACGGCGGAGACCGTCCGTTTAGTACAACCACCTTGGCCACGATCGGCCAGGCCGTGGTGAAGGCCCTATGTCACTTGAAGGAGACGCAGAATAGAGCGGTATTTGTGCAAGATCTCGTCACGACCCAGCGGAAGATGCTGGCCATTGCCCAGAAGGTTGCACCGGATCGCAAATGGACCCCGACAGACGTGAGCACCTCCGACATGGAGACCATGGCGCGGGACAAATACGCCAACGGGACAATGGATATGGAAGCCTCGATGGGGTTCTTTTGCCGCTCGGTCTTTGGGGAGGGATACGGGGGAGAGTTCCAGGAGGTGGATAATGAACTACTCGGGATATCGTTGAAAACGGACGCTGATATGGAAGAGTTAATGCTGGGAGTCATTCCCGGCAGATACTAGTGCTCATTTCAGCCATGTCATGATCTTGGCTGTTTAAATCCTGCTCGCTCTATTTCCTCTCTTCATGTAACGCGTTCGGGAAGTGGGTGGGCCATGCAAGCCAGTCTGCCCGCAGGAAAATTAGTCTAAACTGGTAATCTAGATACACAAAACATTGTAACAAGATTTTTGTGCGAAAGCATCTGTGAAAAATAGACATCGAGAAGGATCTTCGGGCTAACTCACCAATAGATTAAGAAGACTATTCTTCGGTTAGTTGATGAATCTTGTGTAGGCAATGTGATGTATGCCCAAACTTGGCTCGGAGCATCGGAAAGTTCCACCTTGTACGCAGCGGTATAGCGCTTGGGGTTCAAACCCCCCTTTAGAAAGGGTTTAATGTCTGAATGCCTTATGTTAGAACGGTGCCCGCCCGAAGCACGGCAAAATTTGAAGAAAGAGCTATCAATCGATATAGAGGTGTCTATCGAGAGATTGTATAACCCCTGTTGTTTGTTCCAAAGTCTTCTAGTCTCTCAGATATTTTTCCACGCCCTGTCTACGCAGTAACTCTACGTCTTTCTGCCGCTCACTGTGTTTTCACGTTTTGTTCACTATTTGCTTGCATACGTATGAAAACAACCACCATGGTTGACTACAACTTCGCCAAAAGGACTCGGACCAAACCATCTTCGCAGCCAACAACCGCCGCTGAACACACTTCCACAGACAGCCAAGTAAACGAGCTACAAGATGGGGTTGCAAAAGTGGCGGGGACATTGTCCATATCTTCTGCTTCTGGGAATTGGCAGCACAAGTACTCAACCCCACGCTGGGGAGCAAGCTTGATCCCTCGTCTCCAGCATCTGGCACGCGAGTCTGGGTAAAGTAGTTTACCAGACGAACAGAATCGGGCCCCAAATATACACCTTCGCGCTCCCTTGGCGTTGTCTTTGAGAAATTGGGTGTGTTTGTATACACCACGGGTTCAGAGTTCCAAAAACCCACAGAGAATGTGGTAACTGAGCTCGCAACATACCTAACAAGGTGGCTTCGTGGAAATCCACATGGCAGACGTGTGTACATTCTACGCGACTTTGAAGGTGTTGCAGAAAGGGAGAAATGCTGCTGGTGCTGAGTCCCCCTGGCTCTGGCTGCTCTACACTTCGCATCTCATACTCGCTCTGTCCGACACGTCCAAGGAGGCTTCGACCGCGATAAATTTCTCAATACCGTACGTCGCGAGGTTATGATGGCCATCTTTGGCTTGGATTGTACTATCAACACACGTGTTGGAGATGACTTTGTGCTTGGTGTTAGTGATGGAGAGCGTAAGCGAGTCAGCATTGCCGAGGGTTCTCTGACTGGAGCCAAGTTCCAGTGTTGGGACAACTCTACGCGCGGGCTCTACAGCGCCAATCTTATCAATTTTTGCATCAATATGCACCTCCAGGAAGTCCTCCTTGACGTAACGTCCGTGGTCACCTTGTACACAGCAGAAGATCGAGCTTTCTTTTACAGTCAAAGTGTAATAAGATATTCTCTGCCCGCAGGTTGGAGTGAATGATGCCCTTTTGGTGAATATAGTGGACAGCCTCCGGGGCCTGGAAACACCCCGTATCCTCCTTCCTCCTATGGTTCGTTAGCTAGACATGCTACAATTTCTTATAGGAGATGAGAAAAGGCTGATATTCCCAGATGGGGTTAAGGATGCCACATGATAACCGTCCCGTGACAGACATGCTCGGTTTTACGCGGCAAGAGGTGAGTACTAAAACGGAAGAAAATATTTTCCAATACACATAATATAATTTGAAGCTTGTTTGGGATATTACATACACGAGGATAAGGTACTATGGTGAATTGTCTGCAAGACCCTTGTTCAGACAAAGAGAGGAAAGATGTAGGTATGCGCAGTGTTCAATTGATTTAATTACTGCATAAACAGATAGCGGATCATCAATGACAAGAAGCAACATAGCACGAATTAACATGTGCCGGGGAATCATAGAAATACAGATATGGAAGAGGTAAGAAAAAACCTAGCAAATATGATACTGATCCGACATATCACATCCTAGCAGCGCGCGTGGTTTTGTCATAGAAGTCCAAGGTCATGGCTGCCAGGAAACATGGAATATCCTTTCTTTCTTCAACCCAAAATTTGATGAGAGGTTTAAGTTCCATGGCGAACAGACTGTTTGGTCCGCCCGATATCTTCATAGTGCCGTTCTCGCCATCGAAAACGATGGAGTTTTCTTCGCCGTTGCCCATGCTGCCGGGACCAGAGTCTGAAGGTGCATCGCAGTCGCCGTGCCGATATGCGGAGGATAGGTGGAACATGGAAGTGACACGCACTCTACCATTCGGTAAGAAATCAAGCTTGAAGCCGAGGAGAGAGGCGACGGCTTCCCGGAACTCGGAAGACTTGGCTGTCCAGATCTCCTTCAGTCGGCGCATGCGCTTTTCTTTATCGGCAACGGTGCGCTCCATGTCTTGCATTTCGAGTTTGATGCTCTCCAGAGTGCTAACAGGGACGACTTTCACATCGGTCCGGCCACCACGCAGCTGCGCCATGAGGTCTCTGTTTGCAGACTGGAGAGTTGTGAGAGTAGTCATCTTAATTTGCTCGGTTTGGGCGGTCGGATTATCCCGTAGTTCAAGAACGCGGGTTCGTGACTTGGCCTTCAAAGACTTGATCTGTGACTTGGCCGCATCCAGTTCCCTGCGAGCGAGAGTCGTTGCCTGGTCTGATTTGGTGAGATGCTCCTGGAGTTTTCGGTTTTTGCGGCTGAGCACAGCAATACGCTCGGTTTCGGCTTCATTGTTGGTCGGAGAAAGAGGTCGCTTGACGCCTCTTGGTTCTTCTTCTTTCGGTGCTTCCTGCTTGGAGAGCTCTTCGTGAACTTTGTGGAGCTCACTGCGGTATTCATCGACAAGTTGTTGAAGCTGGTTTATTTGCTCAGACTTTTGTCCATCGAACTGTGACTGGTCGTCGTTCATTGTAGCCTCTTCCGCATCAAATGTCTTCAGTTGGGCACGCAGGTATTCAACTTCTTTGACTGCAAGCGCACGCTGGCGCTCCAGCCGAGCTCGAAGTCGGCTCTCCGCGGCACCTGGTCCTCCTGCAGAAACGGCACTTGAAACGCGGAGTTTCTCCAACTCCTGTTGAAGATTGTTTTTATCGCTTTCGAGGCTCTTGATAGCCTCGTCCTTCTCAAGGAATTGAGCATCAACAGTTCCGAGGCGATCGAGGAGCGTAGCGATCTCAATTCGCCCTTGAACCACCGCCCTTACGACAGCATCTGGTGAGTCAAACTCTGCCGGCTGGTCGTTTTCCTGTAGAAGACTGACCCAGGATTGCCGCTCATCTTCCAACATCTGCTTTTGAATCTGAACAGTGTTGAGTTCTGCTTCAAAGCCCTTCATTAACTGGAGCTGGTTCTCCACTGATCTCTTTTGTTCTTCGACGACTTCAACGTTCTTCGAGACTTTTCGAAGGTGACGCAGTTTCGTTGTTTGATCACGGTTTGCCGACTCCAGTTCCCGAATATGATTGACCTGCTCGGAAAGTTCTCTCTTTAATACTGTCAAAGTCTCAGCATCATTTCCTTCGGCCTTCAGTCGAATATTCTCCGCTTCGAGCTCGGCAACCTCGGCTTCACGCAGGGATAATTTGTCTTGTGTTGATTCCTGCGATGTCCTGGCATTTTGGATATCGTTCTGGAATTCTTCGATCGTCTTTTGTAGGGAAGCGCGGACTGTCTCTAACTCGTTGATCTGGTATTTAAACTGCCGTTCCTGGTCAGAAAGCCGAGCTTGAGTGTCGTCAAACTCTTCCTGCAAGTTCTGATTCTCGTCCTGGAGGCCTCTAATCTTGCGCTCAAAGGCAAGTTTGTCATTCAAAGTCTGATCTTGAATTTCTTTCAATTGTTTTGTGAGTTCGTCGCACTTATGGGTAGCCCGATTACTCGAAGATTCGGCAGCCTGCAGTAAAGATTGTCAGCTTGAGCTCGTGAAAATGAGAATTTTGAGCTGCTCACCTGAGCTTTCCGAAAATCTGCATCCGCTTTCAGCTGCAAGTCCCGGGTCTCTTTTTCATGGCGAAGAGCCTCCAACTCTCGTTCCTGCTTGACATTCTCGAGTTCGTATTTGAGCGTACTCAATTGGACGCGTAGCTCATCCTTTTCCGCGTCTACATGAACCAGTCAGTTTGCCGCCGAAAGGCCTCTCGAATTAGTCTGAGCAGGGTATGGTCTAACCATGAATGGGTTGATGGGACTGGGCTTGGGATTGGGTGAAACGGCCAGATTGTCGCATAGCAGTCGATCGGCGCATGGTACTCCGTGCACCGGAGGGTGTTGAGGGTGAGCCGAATCCAGCAATGAGCTGGGAAGCCGGTCGGCTGTTCTGGCTATTGTCCATCTATTAAGAGCCAGGAGAGGTCAGTTGTCGTGCAAAAATAACATGGAGAACCATTATATCTCACGGTAGGGTTTCGGCTGTCGTAAGCCCCACAGAAGTTCCTGTCTAATGGGGCATGAGGCAAGAAACACTGCGCAACTTATCCTAGAGCTGTATCAAAGGGAAGATGGTTAAGAGCGGGCACCGCCTTGTTTAGGATTATGTCAGCAGCGAACTGCACCCGAAAGGGGGTTAGCGCCGTTTTAAAAATTATTTCGATTTTGGCATCGAATTCTCAGTTCACCACCCTCACCCGTGACTCGTCTTCTTTCACCTCGGTCTCTCGTTCAATTTTACTCAATTTCTTCCGCTTAATACCCCACAATCGTCATCATGGGCAAGGACAAGGTCGAGAAGAAGGACCGCGCTGAGAAGAAGGAGAAGCGTGCGGAGAAGGACGGTGTGCACAAGGTCAAGAAGGAGAAGAAAGAGAAGAAGGATAAGACTGCTCTTGTCGATGCGGTAGAGAAGGAAATTGTCTCTGAGGCCATGGAGGGCGTCGAGGAGACCGCTGTCGCTGTCAAGGGCGAGGGTGAGGTCGATGCCGCTGTCGACCGCCCCGTCGGCGCTCTTGTGCCGTTCGCCAACCCATTGGTTGAGGACAAGCAGGCCAAGAAGGTCCTGAAGAGCGTCAAGAAGGGTATGTGCACTTTTTTCTTTTCAAAATTATACCTGCTTCTTTTACTATCAGTGGGCATGGTTGATTTTCATCAGATCTTCGGATCGCCTATGTCTACTGATCGCATGGTTGCGCAACTTTTTTTTTTCTTATCTCTAGATCGTCCATGCTGACATTTATTCTTCTAGCTGCCGTCAACAAGTCTCTCAAGCGTGGTGTCAAGGAGGTCGTCAAGGCTCTCCGCAAGTCTCCCATCCCCGCCGCCAACGCTGCCATCGGTGTCCCCAGCGGTGTTGTCGTTCTCGCTGCCGATATCTCCCCCATGGATGTTATCTCCCACATTCCCGTCCTCTGCGAAGATCACGGCATTCCCTACGTCTTTGTCACCTCCCGCGCTGAGCTCGGTGCTTCTGCTGCTACCAAGCGCCCTACCAGTGTGGTCATGGTTACCCCCAAGGCCGCCAAGGGCAAGAAGGAGGATGATGAGGAGTTCACCAAGGTGTTCGAGGAGCTTGCTGGCTTGACCCAGAAGGAGCTCAAGAAGCTGACAGTCTAAAAATGTTCTCGACTTGTCTCTTTTACCTTTTGTTATTTGCTCTTCCCACGCTGGTAAATGCGAGTGGGTTCTCTGGTTGTACAGGTTTCTGATACCGTCTGTTCAGACGGTGCATGTCTTATGGGGTCCGGCCTATGGGTATCTTTCTACATTTGCTCTTTTGTTCCAACTCGGCGTTATTTCAATGGTGTACGAAAAAGGCAAGAATTCCAATGAGATATCACCAACCTCATAGACTCTGTTCTCAGTAAGGTCTTGGTTAATTTTAATGGACATCCCATGCAAACCCCAATTATTGTATTGTCCCACAGGCAGCGTGACACCTGCATAGACCACGTTATGCCTGCGAGTTGATATTATCGAAAAGTCTTGACGGTATCATCTCCTTGTGCGATAGAACAACGGGTCACACATGAAATTGGCCTCGAGCCCCTCCAATATTCGATAATGCCGGCAGTCCAAGGAAGTCAGCCCTAATTTCTCATAAATGAATCAGTCATGGCATAGCGAATTTAAGAATTGTATATAGCAGGTGGGGCGGTGATGAATTAAATACACATACTCCGTACTCCGTAGTGAAGAGCCAAGCGCTGGGCATTTAGCCTTGCATCGCAAGATAAACTATCACCGTGGCGTTCTCGGTTCACGCCAATCAATATGATCAATCACTGCACCCCTCGACCTTGATGTTGAACAAGGGATGAAGTGCATACCCCAAGCGCAGCAGATACCAAATTCAACCAATCACCATGCATAGCACCCTTGATAAATCCGATCCTAAGCTTACAGATCTTCTAGCGTTAGCCTAGATCCAGGAGCATATTCGGTATTGGGCACTGGATTTGAGAATGGGGGTTTTCCCTTCGTCCTACCCAGCTTCTTCCTTATGCCCAAGGCACGGCCCTTGCGGTTGATCTCCTGTCCGATCTCCTGTCCTCAAAAAATGATATAAAGAACTGAATGCCCACGTACTGCGTTACGCAATTCATTATTTCTGCATATACTCGGCCATCATTCAGCCAATTCGCTCTTTATATCCCTGACGATGCAAATCAGCCGCCCCTCCATTTTAACACTCGCACTTATTTTGGCCGTCGCTCATTCAACTACATCCCACCCTATCCGAACTAGCAAATGGGTCAAAACAGAACAATTCCCAGATCCTAACGCCCAGAGGATATGGAAGGTGTTTGAGAAAGAGGGATATGATCTATTACCCGACCCACCGCACGTCAAATACAACGGGGTAAGTACCAAATCTTATAGTGTCGACTCGGCGACTTACCTATATCCAACTATAGAACCCAGCATGGCCTACCAACCAAAGCAACGAACCGGCAGAGCAAGACATACCAAACAATCGCTATAAAACTGAAACTTCCGAATCGGGGAAACCAACGGTCTTGATCCTGATCCCGGCATCCCCAGAAATACCCGAACCAATGCACAAGCCCTACGACCAACAAACGGATGACAAGCAACAAAACCAATCCCCAGAAGACAAGGAGATCCCAATCAATTCACCCGCTGCCCAGAGACAAGGCCACTACAACGATGTTCTACAATACCTGCACACAAAAAACACCATAAACAATGAGCACATACACACCACGCCTGCACCTTTCTCACACTCGTCATCGGACCATTCAACCTCTTCTTTTGCATCCCGCTTCTCTTTCACGACTCTAAGATCAAAAGCCACGACATTCCCGCAGTATCCTTTTCCGGAAGGTTTACCGACAGTGATTATTCTCCTGGTGATGGTTTGGATTGTTATTTTCATCATCGGGTTGCTTGAATTGGGGGATTATCTTTGGAGACGGAGAAGAGAGACTTTGGCTAGAGAAGGTGCTCGGCATCTGCATAGTCAGGATCCAGATGTGGGTTTGGATGAGACGATGAAGGTGCCCTTGAGAATAGTAATTGCTCCTTCAGAAAGCATCCGGCCACGTTGTATGGGAGGACATGGGTATGAGTTCCTAGAGTCCGTTCCAAGTGACTACGACTCCGACTCAGGCTCGGAATCCGATGAGGATGATTATCGCATCTTTTGATATATATATCCGATCTGTACATTCATTGATCAATCAAATCTTATACTTTTCTTCTGTGCTCCATTTGACTCCAATGAACTAAATAATTATATATCAGAAGTTTATTTCCGCCCTCCAAAAAGAAAAGACGTCGTGTAGAACATACACATTGGGGTGAGAACATTGGAGTAAATACCAACTGGAAACTAATAGGGAGTGAAGAATTGAAACAAATTTAATGAACATATTTTCAAGTGCTATTGTATATTACGCAATCATAAATCATACATAGTTCATCATAACCCCAGCGTAAGCCCGAGCTCAATCAGAGCACGCTCACTTCATTCTCCTAATAAAAAGATGGAACATCTCAAACCAAGGAGGCCTAAGCACGCTGATCACTCTCCAAGTGCTCGTATACAGTATGAGTATCAATACCCTTCTGACGAGGACGGGCAGAGTCGTTAGCAGAGTGGGCATTGCGTTGCTGGAACTGGTTGATTGCGTCACGGCCAGGGTCCTGGCTGGAGCCAATTTCCGAGTTGAAGCTAGCATTCTTGACATCGTCGGAGGGGAGGCCACCCGCTCGAATATCAGTCACGTCGTTGAACTGACTGCCACCACTACTGCCGCTGGCGGTAGAGTATTCGCCAGCCTTGATGCCCATCTCCTTTTTGGCCGCAGTTGAGCCACCGGCGTATCCAGAGTTGTCCATGTGTGCACCAGGGAAGTTGCCCTGGCCAACCACACATTCGGGGTATTTCTGTTCCTCGTGACGGTCCTGACGCTGGGCACCGAAAGGGGCGGAGGGAAGTTTGATGGAGGCGGAGCTGTTAGCGTTGGTTACTGTTGATTGGTTTCCTGACATGCCCATGGCCTCGGCGCCACGGTTGCCAGAGAAGCCGCCACCTTCGCGGATGGACTCCGCGGCAAGTGAGTCATTGGCAATTGGGCCAGACGGTTCTTCGATGCGTTGTTGTGTACGAGGATCGGTGGTCACCTTGGTGCCACGGCTGCCGTGAGGAAGAGGAGTGCCTTGAATATCCATGATGATGTGATGGAAAAATGCAAGGAGGTAGACCAAGGTATTGTAGAGTTGTTTGGTAGAAAAGAGAATGGGAATAGTTAATTGATGGACGCTACATGGCCGTCATGGCAGATCTATATAAGAAAGCAGTGAGAACCGCACGTTGAAAGTATCTGGTGCTCTCATAGAAACTGGTCGTATAGCAAAGAGCATTGATGTCATACTTACGTTGACTAGGAGCATTTACAAGATATATGTGAGCTTAATCTTGCTGGCTAGGAGCAGTCGCGTCAACTATTATGCTTGAGACACTCTGTTTGGTGGTTGGAGAAACCGATAGAACGGAGGGTGTGGAGGCATAGGCTCCCCTCTGATGTATTCGTGCTTCTAGAAGGTATCAAAAGAGGAAACCGGTGCGCCACATGCTCATCCAGGACTTGTCTGAAATGTACAAGAGTGGGCGTTGTTACAGGCAATTGACGTCAGGTCTAGACCCCTGACATGCAAACAATGCAAATATATTTACATTCGCCTGTACGAGTTGTATCCATAGATATGACCCTACATACATGTGTAGTTATCTCATATCTTAGCATCTGTTAAGGTAAGCTTGAAAGTATGGCACATTCTTTGTCGAGGTAGCGAATTGCCTTTGCATGTTTATTGTGCATATATATAGTTTGGCTTAAATTTATCTAGATTATGCTGACTCTATATGAAATCATTCAAAGCCACTTCCAGAGCTGCACTATCTGATAGCCCTCAATGAAACAAACGATCAAATGGTTGATTTCTACGATTCCATGTATAGTACACATATAAATCAGCGTGGAACTTTTGAAGTTCACTTGGTCGCTCGTAATGACTTTGACTAGCTATCGTACACATAATAAATCCTCATGATCATATGCTCAATTAACAGGTCATAGCATTAGAGGGAAGGTGATCCAGTCCCTCGATACCCTAGAGTCCAAGCTCGCTAGCACTACTGCCGACAGGCGCACTCCCACGCAGGCCACTATTATCAGGAGGGAACTCTAAACGTCCAGAGCCAATGCTAGTAATACGCTGGTCAAAGGAGTTCCAGTCACTGGCAACTGGGGGTTGATCAGGCAGAGGCAGGTTGGCCTTGACCTTGTCAATCTGTGCGGACTTGTTGGAGTTTTGGTCGATGATAGACTATAGAGAACATGTTAGGTGACCTGTTTTCTACCTGGTTGTTGCATTGCAGGTAGCTTACCTTCATTCTAGAGACATTTGAGTCCGCTGGGGGGTTGCCACCATGCAACTGGGAAAGCTTGGACTCGGCCCTGCGAAGGTCCTGGATGGTGGTGTGGAAGGTAGCGTCAGTCATTTTGCGGCTGATTGTGAATGTGACGAAGTGTTCAGATGTGGCCGGGTATGATTTTGAATCTGAAACATGATCTCAGGGAAGGCAACTGAGGGTTTATATATCTACCATCTTCTTTGTCGATGGCAAGACGCTGTGACATTTGTTATAATGACGACATGGCATCCAGGGCCATGGATATTCTCTTTACCAGAACCACCTGGGCCTGCTTCATCTTGGGAGTCTGATCTCTATTGGATATTCCAGAGTTTCGAGTTAACAGCAGAATCACTAACCTAACAAAACTCGGTGATTGGCGTCAAAGCTGATGCGCCATCTGAGGTGGCAAGCCTATTCATTTGCTTTTCATGACAAGATGCTACGCATGTCGTCTGATCCTAGACCTGTTAAGGAGTCAATAAATACCTTGAAGCTGAACGGTCAAGATGTCATAGAGCGATTGGAGATGCAATGCTCCTCATTCCCTCGAGTTGTCCATGTATCTTTTGGTTGTTCAGTACTTTCGACCGCGGTCCCGAGATTGGGAACGTTCGGTGAAGTAACCATGAAGGACACTCTCCTAAGTTCTATACAAGCCTATTGTATCGCCTAGCTCATGTGTGATAGAACAACAGGAGTCATCAACCCAGAAGGAGTAGATATACAACGGTTGGCCATAGTGTTTCGCCGTGAATTATGGCCAAAACACTAAACCTCCAATTCTTATCCTGAAGTTATCCTAGAATAATCTCCACAATACGCATTGGATATTAACCAAAGGCTGCAAGGAGTTCAACAGTAGTTGGCGCGGCATAAAAGCATGGGGCCATAATCTCACCGCCTGTCCTTTTTGCGCGGCAGAAAATGTTTCTTATCGAAAGACAGTCAACTCCGAGGCCTGTGGACATTTGGTGAATCTGGTCATTGTGTTAATCTGAGGATATTTTGCTCTTCGAAACATATATCCTACAATATGCCTCGAGATCCGTTGATCGGACTGGTTGGCAAGGTATTTTGTTCCCTTCCATTGTTCCATCACCCCACTAATCGCAGGTGCGAGGGGCATACAGCCGTCTAGTGGAAAATCCACGACATTGAACAGTTTGACCGATGCGACTTCGAAAGTCGGTAAGTGAACTGGAATGAAGTTATATTTAATCCCGGGAATCTGATCAATTATGCTCTAAACAGGAAATTTCCCGTATGTGTGCCCCGGTTGTTCTACACGAGCATCTCCGCCTTATCGCAGTTGATCACGCAGACCGTGTTGACACCCGGTAGCTTCACAACCATTGACCCCCAGCGAGCCATCGGATACCTTCAGATCGACTGCCCGTGCCAGCGACACAATGTTTCAGATCGGTGCCAGCCCAATTATGGAGGCTGCTACGAAGGCCGGCGTTCCGTGCCGATTGAGTTGCTAGATGTCGCAGGTCTTGTGCCAGGCGCGCATCAGGGTCGTGGACTGGGGAACAAGTTCTTGGACGATCTACGTCACGCCGATGCTCTGATTCACGTCGTGGATGTGAGCGGCACAACAGATGCTGAAGGTTAGTTGGGAGTGCTGGATTGAATACAATAGCGCACGCAAATCGGGTATTGATAAATATATACAGGAAAGGCTACTCGAGGATATGATCCATCAGTAGACATTGAGTGGTTGCGATCAGAGATCGTGCGATGGGTGCTAGGAAACCTGATGGAGAGATGGTACGTTTGCAGGTGCCAAGAACATGACAGGGGACACCTGCTGATTTATCCTTAGGGGTTCTATCAAGAGAAGACATCAGGCATTAAGTCAGTGAAGTTTTGCAACGCTATTTACAATAACACAGAACTGACCCTTAACACAGAGGCAAACCCCGTCGACACATTACAGAAACAATTTGCCGGTTATGGAAGTACACATGCCACTGTTGCGCGATTTATGGATAAACTTGCCTTAAAGGAGCCGTTGGAAGATTGGTCAAATGAGACGGTAGAGCTTGTTGTTAACGCTTTCATCGACGAGAAATTCCCCACAGTGTTCGCGTTGAACAAGATCGACCACCCAGATGCAGACAAGGTACGAGTGATCTGGCTAGTGCCCCATATATTGTGCTAACAGGAATTACAGAACATCAGCAAAATTGCGAAGATGCAAGATCCTCAAAGCATTGTGCTTTGTTCCGCTATATCTGAAGTTTTCCTCCGGAGGCTAGCAAAGCAGGAGTACATCAAGTATGTCGAAGGCAGTGAGTTTGTCGACACGCGAGAAGATTTGATCGAGATGGGCGACCCAGATGGAGGAGGTCTCAAAGAGATGGACGAAAAATTGAAAACGTATGTTCAGTGCTCATAGCAAGTTATAACATTGCTAACGACTTCGCTCTAGTCGGGTTGAGAACATGAAGGATATGGTGCTGTATCGGTTTGGTTCTACTGGAGTTGTTCAATGTCTTTCCCGAGCTGCAGAGCTCCTGGGCTTAGTACCAGTGTTCCCCGTCCGGAATGTGGCGACATTCAACTCTGGCACTGGAACTGCCGTATTCCGCGATTGTGTTTTGGTTCCTAAGTGAGTACTCCCTAATACGAGTCTGACATAGCCTGTCTAACATTCCACAGAAACAGTACTGTCGGTGATGTTGCTCGGAAGGTGATGGGTGATGTACCTATCAACTATGTCGAAGGAGTGGGTGGAACTCGAGTCTCCGAGGATGACATTGTGGCAGTGGGGAAACACGATGTGAGTGCCCCCGTTAAACTATACTATACGGTTGATTGACTGATTGACATTGCAGATCCTATCGTTCAAGGTTGGTCGGTAGACCAGCCCATTTATGTACAGCCTCTCTCATGATATGACATTAGTAATGGAAATGTCTTATGACCTCGTTCTTTTACCATCACAAACTTTTGGGGTATCGACAATGAAATGTCGAGTTCGAAGAACGCCATAGAACACCACAAGTTACTTAGCTTCAACTACCCTTCTGCAAGATTGGGACGCAGTCAGCGACATGAACCCCCAATCATTCAATTGAACTGACCTTTGGCCGCTCGTCATTCATGCCAATGAGCGGCTCTGGCGCTTTGGGATGCTCCTGTTTAGCCTTCTTTCCATACTTGGTCCCGCCCCTCTCCGTCATTCCCTGTGACTTGGTTTCGTCTGCAAGACCCTGGTTTATTTTCCTTTCCTTTAAACCAGAGGCCGCTGCCGCTGAATGTACATCCTCTGTGTCGCCTTTCTTAGTCCGCTTGCCTGTGTGGTCCTCTGCGGAACTCCCCTTCCAATCCTTGAAGATGGAGTAACTTCGGACCCCAGGTGGTGCACGGAGAACTGGCGGGTGTATGGCGGACAGTAACGGAAAGATAGCCCGCCAAGGTTGTCGTGAAATAGACATGCTGTGCAGCATTGACGTAGCAGAAGAGATACTGTGATTTCGCATAGCAAATTGCGAGTGATTGTAAAGATTTGAATAGGTAGAGGGCTGGATTGCATAATTATTTTTAGTTGGTTCTATGACGTCCCTACGCTGTAATGCTATTTTGTCCAAAAAGGGTAAGAGCCGGTTCGAGTCGGGCTTATCGATAAGACAATGATCGTCATCGGGGCGACTTTCATTTTAAGCGGACAACACGAACCTCTGAACCAATTCACAATGAAACGCGAGTACATCCCGATCGAATCTCTGCCAGCTTGGCAGAGGCTCAACGGGATCGTCGTTCAAGGCATCGCAGTTCACAAGATTGGATCTGATCAACATGGCGCAGACAAAGGCAGTGCCCTCATCGCAACAGAAGCCCAGACGAGCAGCGAGCACGATACAAATCCCAAGATCCTCCTAAAAATCCCCTCGGAATTAGTTTTATCCCTTGAGTCCGTTCAGAACCATGCCAAAACCGACAGATATTTGCGCGACGTGTTGGAGGCAGTTGGCGACTTTGGAAGGGTATGGCCTACTCGTTCCACAACATCTATTTACATTACGATGGGAAAACCAACTAAGATACACAGACAGCTAGAGGAGCAATCCTCGTATTCCTTCTCATTCAAATATCCCATAGCAGCCCCGATCTGCACACAGCACACGAGACCATTGGTATCTCCAATCCCTGGACCGAATACGTGAAGTTCCTGCCTCCATCGTTCCCTCTGCCTACCTTCTACACCGCCGAGGAACAAGAGCTCCTACAGGGCACGTCGCTTGCAGAGGCTCTGGATGCGAAGTTTGCATCCCTTGAGCGGGAGTTTGAACAGCTTCGCCAAGCTACTGAGGGTATTGCATGGTGTCAGCGGAGCTGGTGGGATGAAAAAAGTGGCGCATTGACAATTGGCGACTGGAAATATGTTGACGCCGCTTATCGGTCGCGCATGCTGGATCTACCCGGCAGAGGTCTGGCGATGGTGCCTTGTGTTGATATGGCCAATCATGTCTCCGGTGATGGGGCCAAGGCGCTGTACGATGCAGACCCGGAGGGGAATGCCGTTCTTCAGTTACGATGGGGCAAGACTCTCCAGCCCGGAGACGAAGTTACGATTTCGTGAGATTGCTCTACGGTGGACATGGTTTTCGAGGACTTGGCTGACACATGGCATGACAGGTATGGGGATGAAAAACCCGCATCTGAGATGATATTTTCCTATGGATTTCTGGAAAGCCGCACGACGGAAGCACGGGAAATATCCCTCAATCTAGATATTCCCGAGGATGACCCTCTCGGCATTGCAAAGAAGATGTTTTGCCGGAACAATTGGGGAGTTCGAATTTCGGCTGTCGAGGGCTCTGAAGAAGTAACGTGGGAGAGTGGGCTTGCGTGGATAGCATGCGTGAACGAAGAAGATGGGCTTCACTTTGGGATCGCACAGACAATTGACGGCGGCCGGGAGTTGGAAACGACGTGGAAAGGTGAAAAGATCCAATCAGCCAGTCATCTCCGCGAGCTTCTCGCTGTTGATCCCTTATGGGAGATTTTCCAGCTTCGTGCTGCGGTACTGCTTCTCGAACGGCTCGAAACTCAGCTCGGTCTTCTCCAGGAGACCCAGGAGATTATATCGAATATGAAAGAGGATAAAGCCTCTTTGGATTCCATGTTCCGATCTAGGATCTTTACCTCTATTACCCAATTCCGGATCTTGGAAGGGGAGCTACTAGAGAAGGCCATTGAGGAATTAATAAAACAGGTAAGTGATCGGATGCGTTGACTATCCCAGATGGTCATCTCCTTTCTAATTCCCCACAACTGACCATGACATGCAGAGAACAGAGTTACTGGCTTCTAAAACGGTGGCCGAGTATTTCAACGCACAGACAGGGGAGCCAGACGAACCCGATGACTTTTCATAATGCAAAACTAAGGGTCTAGAGCTTATTCATGGGTCTGAGGAAGACCGAATTACAGGCTAGAGAACACAATAATATCTCCGTGGACACGTTGAAACATCCGGGATCTTCCTACATATCCACCTAATGCGCAATCTTTGCTTGCCTAACAGCCTACAGCACCTAGGCAAGTCCCCGCCAGATCATCTCAAAAAAAAAAAAAAAGAAAGTTGCGAGCCCCACACCCCCGTAGCGTAGCGCATCAGACTATTCCATGTGTAAGCGCTACTAGCGTTCAATTGTGACGAAAAGACAGGAAAAGTTACAGCTATGACGTTTAGAGTTGAAAATCATGGAGTTGTAAAAGGGGTTGATGAATATCATGATCTACATGGTACAGGGTCGGGAGTTGCCTGCGGGGAAACCAGCCGGAACACCGATTATTCCGATATCCACCGGGTTAGCCATGGATGCATCGCGTGGCTTTTTGTAAATTCACACCGGTGACGTTAATAGGTATGCCAAAAGAGTGCATACTTTCTACAATTCGAAGTGGCCAATATTGAGGGATGTGGTGTGTCCATTTTGGTGGAGCGCAGGAACACGTAGATCACAAATCCACGGACCGGAGCCTAGTGGGGCTATTGATATTACCATGGTTCGCTGATCTCTCGGACAAAACTCGCTGAGCGGAATAAAACGGGGTTTCCGTCACAATACCATGAATACGAGATTGTGTATTAATTCCATATTAAATATTCAGCCATGTCCCGTGTCTTTGGGCTCTTATGACAACTACAACATAACAACATAGGTGCCCAGGTGGAGCTAGTAGTATAACTTACCCAAATCCTTTGAAACTCTAGTTGTGTTTGAGGTCTTAGGTCTTCCCCGCGGTTGATCCTCCGTGAACGGTTCGCCACTGTCGTGAGTGAAGTCTATACACATATTCCTTCACCATGTGTGTATGGATTTAAACCTTATGAAGTCTGGGGTTTTCTCGGGTTGTATGGTTAGAGTTAAATTTGGATATTTTTCTTGGTCAAGATGACTTCAGCGATCCCCCAAGTGGCCAACAACTAAGGTGGTATTTCGTGTACAAAGTACTCTTCAGTTTGTTAATTAGAAGGATCGTGGAGTTCCTTCGATTACTTTTTAATGGAAAATGAAACACATTAACCATGGACAGCGGCCGATCATTGGACCGGAATTTGGAAGTAGGCCCTTTTAGGCCAACTTGCATAAGGGAAACACGCTGCTGCACGCGCCCCTGTAGAACCGGCGTCGGGGGGAGAAAGTCGGAGGCGGTTCAGTTACCGCAACCGGGTTGAATCCGAAGCCCCTGCGTTTCAACATGTAGCAAAAGTTTATCCCAATCCCCAATCCAGAGCACATGTACTCCGAAAGGGGCGTTAGTTCCGCCATTAAAGCCAACCTACATTCCCATCTTACTCTGTAGATATTTCAACGTCAACCAAAGAGTTGTGGAATGCGGAGTGCGGGGACCGGGAAGATCGGGATCCAACCGTTAAACATAAGAAATGTCCAGTGTCTGCAGGAAGAATCCGGGGCGGGATTAAGCGGTTTTACGGGGTAAAATATATCGCCTCTCAAAATAGTCAAAATAACGGGTCCAATAACGAATCAAGGGTCAAGTGAACAGAGGTACGCAATGAATACCAATTACCACGATACAACGGCGAGTTTATTGGCGCCAGAAGAAGGTCAGCAGTCTCCACTTGAAACTGACTCAGCATTGGCGTGACCCCATCTTCCCGAGGACGCCCCCCCATGTTCTTGGGCTTCTTTCTGCATACATACCTGTCTTATTCAAACTGGAGATTCTCTAGTTCCATTGTCTCAGTATCCAAGAATTCTATACGGAGTGCTGTGCTTACACTTCTGGCGCCTTTCAAATACAACGAACTCAACCCCGGCGGCCCGTGTGCCCCTTCTGCACAACATGCCTGGTATCTTGCCTATGAAAGTGATCAAGGTCGGTGGAACTGGCACAACGAGCCGTATTGCCCAGGCCTGTGACCGGTGCCGAAGTAAGAAAATACGCTGCGACGGTGTTCGACCTTGCTGCTCGCAATGCGCCAACGTGGGCTTCGAGTGCCGCACCAGCGACAAACTGAGCCGCCGCGCCTTCCCACGTGGATATACCGAGTCGCTAGAAGAACGAGTCAGGAGTTTAGAAACCGAAGTTAAAGACTTGAAGGACCTGTTAGACGAGAAGGATGAGAAGATCGATGTTTTGTCCCGGATCCATTCGTTTACGCCGCAACGACCTGCCTCCACGCGGTCTCCCTCTGCTTCTGCGACAGTGAAATCGAGCACTTCGGCTTCATCGGATGGCGTGTTTCATGTAGAGCGATCGACGACCCGACCACAGAAGTTGCAGAACCCTTTTATTGGATTTTCTAGCACCCAGGGCTTTGCTGGTATGTTATACGTCTCCCTTTCCAAATGGCAACAGTTAACTTAAGTTCGCAGATGTCTTTACCAACAAGCTTGTCAGTGAGGGTAAATCAGCAACAAAGGTCCCCACAGGGGCGCTCACTGCCTTACCTACCTTGGTAGTCCAGGGTGTCCCTAACCAGCCCGTGAAAACGCCACCGCGCTTGGTGTCGGACCAGCTGATTAACATCTTCTTCCAAGAATGGGCGCCGCTGTACCCTGTGGTACATCGTCCGACAATTTTGAAGGCTTATGAGCAGTATCTCAACAATTACGAAACTCTCCAGCGCAATCCGCATGTGATGGCGCAGTTGAACCTGATTTTTGGCATTGCTGCTCTTTCATCAATGTCGCGCACCAACCAAGACCCGACTTTCTTCGAAGAGAACTGGTCGGCCACTCTTGATTCGTTCTCGAGTGAAACGTCGATTTCCAGCCTGCAATGCTTTGTGCTTGGTCAAATCTACTGCATGACCAAAGGCGACTACCGTACATTGCTTCGCTACCGTGCCCTTGGTGTGGATATTTGCCATCAGCTAGGCCTGCACGAACAGCAAGAAAGCTCAGGCAACCCACTGGAATATGAGACTCGTAAGAAGGTTTTCTGGTCGCAATATGTGCTTGACCGATTCTGCTCCGCGCTTACTGGACTGCCTGTCCTTTTGCGCGAAGAAGATATCGAGACTGAGTATCCAGTTGATGTGGACGATGAGAATGTCACAGAAACAGGGTTTTTGCCGACCCTTCCAGGTGAATCCACTCGCATTTCCAGTGCTATCGCTCTCTTCGGAGCCGCAAGAATCTTGAACAAGGCTTTGGACGATCTGTTCCCTTCAAGGTCTGGTTACGATGTATGTGTTTCGAAGATGCGCTCGGTGAAAGGGCAATTAGACCAGTGGCTTCACACACTACCGCCACATCTTCGTCTTGAGTTCAGTCAGGATAAGCCTAGCACAAACGTCACGAGTAGTCGATCGCCGCTCCTGGTAAGTCACAACATAGATTTGTTAATGTTTTGCAAACAAATACTGACCCTGCTATAGTCACTTGTGTACTATTTCATTCGATCTTTGATACATCGTCCGGCTGTCTGCTACGCCGACGAGAACATTCGCTCTCCGTCTGTCCTGGCGCTGTCTGATTCAGCAAAGCATATCATTCAAATTCTTGAACTTCTTGATGAAAGGCGTCTGTGTCTGTCTGTTTGTATCAACAGGAAAGAGCTCATATTCTTTTCCGGCCTTGGACTCCTTTGGCAAATGCTTGATGTCAAAAACGATAGCAAACTGGCCAAGGATAGCCAGAAGCTGCTTGGAACCGCCATGAAATACCTCCAATCAGAGTCAAGCGCGGCGGCTGATGAATTTGGCACGCTGTCCAACACTCTAATTTCTCTGGACAGCGGAAGACGCCCGTCGGTGGGCAAGCAGCAACACCAGGAGATGGTGGCGCCAACAGAAAAGCCGAGCAAATCCCCCAAGAAGCACTTGCAGGCCTTAAAATCGCGCCTTATTGCCTGCTCCACCCGTGATAAGCAGCCTCCAACACAGCCCTCCCCACAGTCCTCTCGCCGAAACACCATCTCCGGAGCTACACCCCCACATATCCCCCAGTCGCTCCGCTCCCCAAGCTGGAGCAGCCTGCCCCTTACTCAACCTGACCAGCTCCCAGGCCCACTATACCTCAACGATAAAGGCCACTCCCCCTTGGACCTACCCTCAGACCCCCGCTTAAACGCATCCTTGGGCTACGACCACCCACGTTCCATGTCCTGCTCTACACCCTCCGACCCCACAGCTGGCGCCATCACAATGGCCGATTGGGAATATGTGTTGAGCGACATGGACCGGGGGTACTCCAACATTTTCACAGGCATCTACGGTGGCAAAGAATGCGGCGAAGACCCGGGCCCGTTCGCCTCCATCGCAGCAGAATACATTCGCAAACCCAACGACTCCTCCCTAGTCAATCCCCCGCAGAGTGATATGCACGGCCTCTCGCCCGAGGCGTGGTCCGCCAGTAGTGGCGACTTCGTACATAAGCAAGAACATACCGCGCAGAGCGTTCTGAGCTATTCGAGCGAGAGTATGGGGAGTGCCGAGGAGTCTCTAGCGCCATATTCTGATGCTAAGGTCTTCCCTGAGGATATCAACACCATCGATCCTTTCCATGCCTTTGCCATGCAAGGTGAAGATGAGGTCGATGAGTTCTCCCTGGCCAATGGCTGGGACCGACGACTGGCCGTCTGATTGATTATGTAGCGCTGAGTGTCTTTTTGGGAAGGGGTTTGAAATGGCTTCCCGCTTTTATATTCTATTCATGATACCTATGGATGGGGGCGTTTATTTGCGTTTCTTCTATCTTTAGCTTTTGTCTATAACTTTTTTTTTTATTTGTCTTTGATCTTCTCTTGTGCTTAGAAACATGTTTTTGTCTGCGTGGCTGGTATGCCTAGTACATAGTATAGTTCCTTAGGACAGGCAATGCAATGCCTAGGATATCGCGTATATATGAATTTGATGATCACAACACTCTTTTGGGCCCTACTCCTCGAAGTAGATCTGCATACGGGAAATTATTACTAGGTGCCTTTGCATGGTCCCTCCCGATATACTTTAGCGGGAGAGGGTCGCAAACAAGTATTAACTAAACTACATTTATGCCTCTATGTCTTGGTTGTCAGGCTTCCACTGGTTCACTAACTATTTAGTTAGCTAGCCTCAGTTTGTTTGCAGAGAATAAAGTTTCTTTCTTATTCTTCTTCCTCTTCTTCGTCTCTCTCCTTTCTTGTCGGTATATAGCTACTTCTGCGCCTCACACATCAAGCAGGAGCTGGTTGGACTTCTATCCAAGTTCTTGGAAGGTTAAATCACAACGAAGCATAGCCCCCGAAGTTCAGGTATATTTAATAGATCTTGTAATTAATTCCGTAAAATATTTGAATTGAGGTCCGTTCTGCGGTGTCTTTCAGATGAAGTGGTATGTAATCTTCATTTTCATGTCCACCTGTCTTGCCTTGTACACTTCAGCTCAGCTCTTCAACTCACCACTTACACACTTGCTTGCTAATTCTTTGCTAACTAGGCAACACAGGGAAGACTTACCCTAAGAATCCTATCACTCCCCTTATACCGAAGTCAATCCCCCCAATAAAGACACCGAGCAAAAAAGCCGAAAGTCCAGCGCAAACCGCGGATGACGTCGTCAGCGGCCCCCCTATAGGCTCCAATATTGTGAGCCATTGTATTCCCCAGAACTCCTGACACAAGCCAGAAGAGCCAAGAGTATGGGCCACACAGGCACAGTCCAGTTACTAGACGACATCGAATCTTTTGCACTCTAGATCGACGTCTTACACCCCCGAGCCGTGTTAGAGGATACGCTTCATGTCAGGGATATCGTCCTGAAAAGTCACAACTTTCACACTTCTTCACATCGAGGACGCCGGTTTACTATTCGGAGCGGCAGGTCACCAGTTAGCTAGATGGTCAATCGTCCCATCGTTAGCTTACTTTGTAGTAGCTAGTTAACCTAAAGAGGCATCTTCCTCATATCTGATGAGTTTCCAGTCATATCATATAAGAGTGATCCTTCTATATAGTCCAAACTAATTTTCTTTCTCTGCAATTCTCCCCGATATATCAAAGTCCGACCAATCGTAGTTCGATCCGAGATGTTATGCCGCTGAGTCAGCAGGGAATTGGGACTATCTGGCGAACATGATTGGTGGATTCTTGAGTAATCTGATGCATCCACGGATTTGTACATTGCTGATATACTTCGGATGGTGCAACCAGCTTGGGTGGCCAAGCTCACATACATCTCCATGGATACACAGCCAGTAAGCAATACAGGGATCGGCTTCCGAGACTCCCTATAAATGTCACTCATCAGGGGAACGTCAGTTACCGTTTGCACCTCATCTTCTCGACCCTACATCCTCCAAAGATGAGACGCGAATCAAACTTACATCCCAAAATGGGCACATGGAAGGAGATCCGGCCTCAGTTTTTGCCAGCTGTGATTACCATGTTTCTCCTTCTTCAAGTGCTTTTCTTAGTGAATATGTGCTATCTTTATGCAACGCAATTCCGAAGTACCACCCGTTATCACAACTTCAATCTACTTTACGTGGACTACGATGGAGGTACTATCGGCAAGTCAGTGACAGATGCCTATCACCAGTTACGAGGAGATGGGTTCCCGACCTTGCTGTCGGAATCCCTTGTCGAATATCCCCGACCAGAGGACATTCGAGAAGCCGTGTGCCGCGGTGAGTACTGGGGGGCTATCTACGCAACTGAGCGGGGATCAGCCGGTCTGGCGTCGGCACTAGCAAACGGGTCCAGCCCACCGATCTCACTCACCTATATCTGGAACGGGGTAAGGTACCCGGTTTTCTCGCAAGCCGCGGTCTACTCCAACATTTTGAAACTGATCGAAACAACACGGTCAACATACTATGCCAACAATGGATCTTCAGTCGCCGCGTCCGCTAACCTCTCTAATGCGGCCACCCTCAGAGCGTTCCTCCACCCCATCCAAGCCGAAGAAATCAACATCAAGGGTACGGAACAAGGTACAAGGGTCTTCTACAACACAGTCTCCATGGTGATGCCAATCCTCCAACAGTTCTTTTTCATCTTGGCGCTGAACGGGATATCGACCCATTTTGAAGCGTTCACAAAATTGCCCTGGAAAGCCAACGGTCTGATTCGCGTCATAGCCTCCATCCTCTACACCCTCACCGGATCACTATTAATGGCCGGCTATATCTGGGCCTACAGAGAGTCGTGGGGACAGCGAGGAAGTCGGTTCGTGCTGACTTGGATCACTATGTGGCTTCTAATGCACATAAACTTCCTCTTTTTCGACATCACGACTGCTTTTATCCCGATCCAGTTCATGCCGTTTATTGTTCTGACATGGGTCATTCTCAATGTCGCCAGTACTATCAGCCCATTTGAGTTGAATCCAGGATTCTTTCACTGGGGCTATGCTCTTCCGTCCCACGAAGCATACCAGATCCTGATTCAGATCTGGTCTGGGGGGTGCAATAACCGGCTTTATCGCGCGCTTCCTATTATGTTCTCATGGTGGATCGTTGGTGTCCCTATTGCAGTGTATGCGATGCAACACCGTTGCAGAACTGCCGTGGCTGCTCAAGAAGCCTTGGATTGTGCAGGCCGAGATGGTCAGTCCGAAGCTAAAGATGCGGCAACGAATGAGATAGTGATGCCAGATGGTAGCTCACGTGGCGGAGTTGAGCAAAACGGGGAATCAGTTGAGGCCATTCCTCTTCGCAATATTGCTTAAGTAGAGAGCTACCCCAGTGGAAGTGACTAGGGAGGGTAATCATAATTTTGGGGAAACTGGGAATTGACGGGAAATGAGAAGTATGAAAGATGATTTGCTTAACGATGGTTGGATCACTTTTGGAAGCCACCCAGGTGCATGAACAGTAGATGTATTTTAATCAAGTACACGAATTGAGAGACCCCCACCCTAAATTACATCTACGATGCGTGTCCAAAGCATGGGAATGTTGAGGCCTTTCGTTTCTCTTCGTTTGCCTCGTAGATTCTCTGAGCCGGAGTGCGTCTGGCCAGATAGACCGTTTCTAGCAAGAATGTCCTGCGACGTATCCAACTCAACGCAATACCCAGCATGTCACACTGCAATTAGACCAATGTTATAATTGAGTGAGTCAAGCGGGTTATTAGTTAGTTATTTCCTGGGTTTAAGAGAATAACATACAATTACTGTAATAATGTGAAACAAAAAGACGAAGTATACTTACTCTACTATGGGCGGCCTTAAAAACAATGCCGTCACGGAAATCGCTCCTACAAATTTCTACACTCCCTGATATGTTTAGCTCTCAAGATTACTCAAGGTTTTATTCAGACCCAACAAGTGAACATTGCCATAAAAGTGTGGCCGGTCAACGAATGCCAAGCACCTATTGCATCATTACTTCTCCAGACCCCAGGTCATCGCGTGGTTAATTGCCCCAGAAATCTTATTCGTTTCCAGAAAAAAAGAAATCACGAGGCCTACAGGGCCGAGACTTCCGCGCCACTCAGAAGTCGTGGACGTGGTGTCTGAAGTTGCTATACTGACCAACAGCAACGATCAACCATCCGGACATGCCGCAGCTGAACCGGCCAACCTGCCAAATCCATGTCAAATTCCCCGGAGTATCTCTTTTTTGACGGATATAAGCGCAAACTTGAAGAGCGAATACTCGGGTTCTTGGGTCAACGTGTCATCGGTGTGATGCGTCCTGCCTGAATTGGTATGAGTTCCCGATCACTCGGCTTTCGTCACTGCGGCATATTGCCTAGCCTTGGATTTCTTGGTCAGGGGCTGTATAAGAAGGGTTGATCCAGTACCGCATGGATTTGAGAAAAAAAAAAAATTAGTTGCCAAGTAGCGAAAATATCACAGTTATATAGTACTCGTTGGCACTATGTTCGATAAGACCTTCAAAAAGCGTCCGCAGGACCTCTATGCTGACCCCCAGGTCCCTGGGGGGTCGGTTTCCACGAATGAGCATGAGAAAGGCCCCGGCAATGATGTCGACACGCCTATTCCGCTTCTCACTTGGCGATCATTCATTATGGGAATTCTAGTTTCTATGGGCGGTTTTCTCTTCGGTTACGACACTGGTCAAATCTCCGGCTTCTTGGAGATGGAAAACTTCCTTGAGCGATATGGTGAACTTCAATCGGATGGGACTTACCATTTCACTAATGTCCGTTCGGGTCTCATTGTTGCCTTGGTAAGCGGTGCCCTCTTTGTCATTTCTTGCTCATATCTACATATGCTAACACTCTCCTACAGCTGTCAATTGGTACTCTGATTGGCGCTTTAGTTGCAGCACCGATCGCCGACCGCTTCGGACGAAAGTGGTGTATTAGTTGGTGGTCTCTGATGGTGTGTATTGGAATCACCATCCAGATGTCCTCGCCATTTGGCAAGTGGTACCAGGTCGCCATGGGTCGTTGGGTCGCCGGGCTCGGAGTTGGTGCAGTCTCTCTCCTGGTACCTATGTATCAAGCAGAATCAGGACCTAGGCACATTCGAGGAGCGCTGATTAGGTATGTTAAACACCGAGCCCTGGGGTCATCCCAGAACTAGACTATTGTCTTCTAACTCTTCCCAGTACATATCAGCTATTCATTACACTTGGCATCTTCGTTGCCAACTGTATCAATTTTGGAACGGAAGATCGCCCAGATACCGGTTCATGGCGTATCCCTATGGGTATTACGTATATTTGGGCCGCGATCCTTGGTGTTGGCATGATGTTCTTCCCTGAAAGTCCACGCTACGACTACCGCCATGGCAACGTGGAGAAAGCTATGAACACACTTGCCAAAGTTTATGGTATCCCTCGTAACCACCGCGCTCTTCATATCGAGTTTGAGGAAATCAGAGAGAAACACGAGGAAGAGAAGCGCAACGGGAAGGTGACCTGGATGCAAATGTTCCGTGCTCCGACGATGTCGTACCGGGTCGCTGTTGGCGTCGCCCTGCAAGCTCTCCAGCAACTGACAGGTGCCAATTACTTCTTCTATTATGTGAGTTTCGAGATCTTGGTTTAACAAAGAGAAAAGAGACCTAACTGACACATATCAGGGAACAACGATCTTCAAGGGCGCTGGAATTCAGAACAGTTATGTCACGCAGTTGATTCTAGGCGCCGTCAACTTTGGAACAACGTTCCTTGGTCTCTATCTAATTGAGCACTGGGGCCGACGCCGTTCTCTCATAACCGGTGCGCTATGGATGTTCGTCTGCTTCATGATCTTTGCATCAGTGGGCCATTTCTCTCTGGATCAAGAGTTCCCAGAGAGAACAAAATCTGCCGGCGTGGTTATGGTCGTATTTGCTTGCCTTTTCATTCTCGGCTTTGCCAGTACATGGGGTCCCATGGTGTGGACGATCATCGCCGAGCTGTATCCTTCGCAATACCGTGCCCAAGCCATGTCTCTGGCCACTGCATCCAACTGGCTCTGGAATTTCCTTCTTGCCTTCTTCACTCCCTTCATTACCGGCGCCATTGACTTCCGTTTTGGGTATGTCTTCGCCGGATGTCTTTTCCTTGCTGCGGGCCTGGTTTACTTCGCCGTTATGGAGGGACAGGGCCGTACTCTGGAGGAGATCGATACTATGTACCGGATGAAAGTGAAGCCGTGGAAAAGTTCGAAGTTCCAGTTCCCTGCTGATCCAAGCGTTATTCGGGGCTCGTTTGATAAGGATGCTCCTAGGTCGTCTCATGTTGCCGATCCTGCTACTGAGCTACGGGAGGATGGGTCGTCAGTGCCTGAGACCCGCGCGCAAGCATGAAGATGGTTGTGAATTTGCGAAAGATAGTGCAGTTGTGCATGTACCAACAGTCTTGCTTGATTTCTTTTCTTTTTTTTTCTTTCTTGTTTCGGAACACTATTATGTATTCAGACAGTCAGCCACTTCGAAGCGTATAGCTTGCACCAATTTATGTTTTGAATTTGTCCTTCAGTATTCCTATTGTCCTGTATGATAGTCTCTAGAGGACTTCGTCAACCTCATCTGTCGGCAATTTCTTCACAAGAATTCCATCCAAGTACTGCGTCAAATCCTCCACATCTCCAAGTTCACCCACCCATCCGATATACTGATCTGGGCGAACGACCACCAGCGCCCCAAGGACCCGGTCAACTCCCCACTTCTCATATGCCGTTCCATCACAATATCGGTCAAACATGCAAGCATCGTCACACCAAATCTTGTCATATGCCCATCCATTCACCGGATCAAATGGACGCAGAATTTCTGGGAAATCAAAGAATTCTACCTCTTTCCACGGCGAGGTATGGATGGTGAGGACGTCAATAGGACTCTTGAATCGACCGGGGATCTCCAAGTAGCGGCCCAGGGGGGAAATATCTGAGCTAGTTTGTCCATTCAAAGCCTCGCTCAAGGTCTCAATACGCTGTTTCTGCATTGGGTTCCGTATATCTCCAGCCAAAACTAGAATACGAAAGCGCCCGTCGCTTTCCAAAGCACTTGTTGTCCATCGTGTACCACCATCAGCGTGATTGCGGAGCTTCACCGGCCGAACTCTCTCTCCAGGAATCATGTGCCGCGCAAAAGCAAATTCAACATTATCTTCAGCCTTCTGAACAAGACTGCTAGCGGGGTAAAAGACCTTCCACCCATCAGCGAAGTCCTCAAACTTCCCCGCAACAAGGGCCATATCGGAAGCTTTCGTATCCACCACTCCAGGTTTCTGATCAGTAAACATAGGCGACCAATGGCGATCAAAGTCAAGCAGCATTTCCGCAAGCGGGTGTCTCTCCGAAGCATAAGTATCAAGAATCTCAGGCTTGAGAGTACCCGCGACGGCAAGAGCAATCTTCCATCCAACATTGAACCCATCCTGCATGCTCATATTCATCCCAAGTCCCATCTTAGGTGAGTGCGTGTGCACCGCATCACCAGCAAGGAAGATCCGGTTGTCCTTTGTGGATTGCGTGGCGATCCGCTGTCCGACTTGGTACACCGTCCACCAACTACATTCCTTGAAGTCGAAGGTGAAGGGGGCGAAGATGGCTCGGACGCGCTCTCGTATTAGCTCCGGCGTGATCCTTGAGCGGTCGAATCGGTCGGTTGCACCCGCTTCACAGGTTTGCACCGGGACGTAGAAGCGGACTAAGCCGTGCTCGCGTGGGATCACGAGGATTGTGCCTGCCGCGTTGTTCACGACGCTTACGCGGCGGATATCCGCTAGGATTTGACTTAGTGGATGTTATTGGGAGAGAAGAGTACACAGCGGGTTGTACTTACGGAAGTCGCTGAGGGGTATCACGTCTATCACGCCCCTGTACATTTAGTTATATCAGCTGCTGTAGCGCGGTTGGATAATAAGTATCACTCACCATATGTGGTCCGTGTTAGACCCTTCCACGGGGATGTTTAGCTGTTTTCTTGTCCAGCTGTGGGCACCATCACACCCGATCAGGTACTTGGCTTTAATCACCTCGACCTGCGTCTTCTGTGGCTTCTTACGCGGGACTAGATCGGCCCAGTCATCAGGAAGCAAGTTATTGCGGTTGACCTCGTTGCCAGCCACTTCAGACTCAGCGTCTATTTCCTGTCCGCACGGTTGGTTCAAATCATCTTCGCCAAGAACTCGGACCTTGACGGTGATAGGATAAGAGTTGGGATCAGTACCCAATTCCTCATCATATTCCAAAGAGTCAGCGATCACGCTCCGTTCCACGTCGAGATCAGAGTGTTCCCGAATACTATCGAGAATGAACCGCTCAATGCGTCCCTGGTTCAAGCGTGTATTGTGGAAGGGGGACTCGTCGACTCTAAAAATGTCAATTTGAGCTTGACGGACTAGCTTCCCCTGTGGACCGGGGACCTATTTGTTCGAGGCGTCGTCAGAAAGCCCTAATTTCAGCGGGAAGACAAGGTGATACACACCCAAATGTTCGCCTCGGTGGAGACAGATCCCTCCTGCAGAACACGGTGTTGGAACCCCATGCTATCGAACAACTCAAGCGTGCGTGCACGAAGCCCGTCTGCATGGCCTAGGAATACTTTCGTATCACGGTTGTCGATAATGCGTGCGTTAACTCCACAGCGAGCCATCCAGTAGGCTGCCATCAAGCCAGATGGCCCAGCACCGATGATGAGTCTATGAGAGGAGGTTAGATTACTCTGGGTAAATGTAGTGGGGACTTACACATCGGTTTGGGAGTGGGTAGGTTTTCCCTCCGTGTCCATAGTGTGCAGCAGGATATATATATTTGAGCAGATATGGAATGATGACCCGTGGACAGAAATCTAGAAAATGCCCCCTCAATACAGGTACATTTTATATATACATGAATCTGGGAATTCTGCGCTACAGAATTCTAAAACGAGGGGGCCGGCCCCATGTAAGCTGACTCAAGTCACAGACAATCCGGTGGTTGTAGGAACCCAAAATCGTGCCTCGTCCAAGGGTCTTCCGTGTTAATTTGTACAGTAACTTCCCTCGCAAGCTCGACATACGACGGTGTCTATCACAAGTGCATATCAATATGCTTCGATATCCAGGTCGTATCAGTCAGGTGTCCTGGATTTCTTTCTATTGTGACATGAAGTTCTCTCGGCTGAGTTGGACAATTTTTAATGTATGCATGTAGCGCAGGCTGACCTGACTACGATGTTACTCAACGTAGTCATGGAGGATTGATTTTGAGGCGGGGGGATTTTACCCGGAAGTTTCCTCTCACGCAGTCGTCGGAGTTGAGGTTCCGGGGGTGGCGATTGCATTGGAAGGCCGTGACCCTTTTGAATGCTTACTCATGATATGAATGAAGGCAGCGATATGAATGGTTCGATATACACCTCACCTTCAGAATTTGGTATTGGACTAGGAGGTTCTCATCTTAGTAATCCTGGATAACAATGACTTTATGGGGAAGCACAACAAGGGTCTAGGTTGTAAGTGTATGCGGGCTCAGATGGTATATTGGACGAGGACTGGCTAATAGCAGGCAATAGTAGCTCGTCGTCCATGTTATACAAACATCTAGTATTTTAACAGAAACCACGATGCCTATAAGATGTATCACATAGATGTATAGTTCAGATATGCTTTGCACGTGACTGTATAGTTTCTCCCACGCTACTCTCCTTCCGGCACACCGGGATGTTCACGGTGAATTCCCCAACACGTTTCAGCGACGACATACAATTTTCCCTGTGTGGGGGTCGCGTTAGAAATTCTTTGGAATTGCCATTCCACTTATATTCCAGGTTCGCAATGTCATTGGTGTTTCGATCTTTACTCGGACTGGCTTGATTAGGGCATCCGATGCATGGCCACGTCTGCAGGCGCTGAGTTGTCAAGGAGCTATCAAGGAGCCTTCAAAGCACCAATTCCACTAAAGCAGTTTTTTTTTCTGTTGAACAGCTGATCATCGGCACCGGGTATTGAGGCATAGGAGATTCGGCTAATTTCATACCGTGGAAAAGCTGGTTGTGAGTCGGAGCAGGGTCCTCCGGGCGGCTCCCGGTGTATACTAAAAGAACGTGTGGATGTCGATTCGGAAGAGTGTCGGAAAATGCGGGCCATTAAGATCACAAGCGGAAGACACGGCTATTGATGGATTTCAAGACATACAGGCACAAGAGTAGTAGATATCTAACAAGTATAAATGTCCAAGTGGCATGTAACGTGGCTTTTCATATATAGTTGCAGACCAGCCTTGGGGGTGAATTGATGACTCAGCTCATGATGCAATGGGTGCTATGGATAAGAGATTATACATGTTTTTAAAGCAACTAAAGAGAGCACTTCGATTGATCCCTGTAAGATAGTCCACGGAGTAGATACTCCCGGAAATAGACTTCTGCAATAAATTTCTCTGTTAAATGTGACCTGAACACTGTAAGCTAAGTCGTTGAACTTCCAAGCCACTAATAGTTCCCCACCCTACATCATACCCCCCACCAACAAATACGTTCCCCTCCCTCTTCTCTTCTTCTCTCATCCATCTCTCCCAAATCATTCCATTCACTCAAAAATGTACGTACCTTAATTCTTCCTGTGGTTTTCCTTTCTAACGGTATTAGAATCCGCCATCATGGGTTACACTGATCTGGACCAGTTGGCTATTAACACCATCCGTGTTCTCGCGGTACGTTGAATTCCGGGCAATTGCCACTCCATTTCATGCCTTCAATTGAAACAAGATTGATTGAAGCAGTCGGCCTCATATGAAGCTTCAATACATACAGTTTGGGAAATCTGACTGACATTTCACTATTAGGTTGATGCCACCTCCAAGGCCAACTCCGGTCACCCCGGTGCCCCTATGGGCATGGCTCCCGTTGCCCACGTTCTGTGGAACATGATGAACTTCAACCCCCAGAACCCTGACTGGGCCAACCGTGATCGTTTCGTTCTCTCGTATGTGCTTTTTCCCCGTCATTTGAAGTTGGGCTGGTTCTTTCCACCCGAAACGTCAATGACCGTCTTTTTGGAACATCGGCTAATCTCAAATTGGATAGTAACGGCCACGGCTGCATGTTGCAGTATGCTCTGCTCCACCTGTTCGGATACAAGCTCACCATTGATGACCTGAAGAACTTCCGTGTAAGTCCCACCGAGCCACATATACAGCAACTTCTTTTACTCATTTTAGTAGCAACTCGACAGCATCACCCCCGGTCACCCCGAGGCTCACGACACCCCCGGTATTGAGGTCACCACTGGTCCTCTTGGTCAGGGTTTCGCCAACGCTGTTGGTCTCGCCATGGCTCAGGCTCACTCCGGTGGTGTTTACAACAAGCCCGGCTTCGAGCTTTTCAACAACTACACCTACATGTTCTTCGGTGATGGTTGCGCTATGGAGGGTATTGCCAGCGAGGCTGCCTCCATGGCCGGCCACCTTAAGCTTGGCAACCTGATTGCCATCTACGATGACAACCACATCTCCATTGGTAAGACTGGTCCGAGTACCTCAAGCTAGATATGAAAGGCTGACAGTTTACCTCCACAGATGGTGACACCAAGTGTGCTTTCACTGAGGACGTCACTAAGCGTTTTGAGGCTTACGGCTGGCACACCGAGTGGGTCAAGGATGGTGACAACGACCTCGCGGGTATCGAGGCTGCCATCCGCAAGTGTCAGCAGGTTACTGACAAGCCCTCCATGATCAAGCTGACCACCACCATTGGCTTCGGCTCCAAGCTTGCCGGTACCGGCGGTGTCCACGGAAACCCTCTCAAGGCCGACGATGCCCAGGGCGTTAAGAAGCTTTTCGGCTTCAACCCCGAGGAGAGCTTCGCCGTTCCCCCAGCAGGTCTACGACCTGTACCACAAGCACGCCGCTCAGGGTGCTGCCAAGGAGCAGGAGTGGAACCAGCTCTTCCAGAAGTACCAGGCCGAGCACAAGACCGAGGGTGCTGACCTCGCTCGCCGTCTCTCTGGCAAGCTGCCCGAGGGCTGGGAGAAGAAGCTCCCCGTCTACAAGTCTACTGATCCTGCCATCGCTTCACGCAAGCTTTCCGAGGCCTGCCTCGAGGCTATTCACGACGTCCTTCCCGAGCTGGTCTCTGGTTCCGCTGATCTGACTGGCTCCAACAACACCCGCTGGAAGAACGCCGTTGACTTCCAGCCCCCTGACCTTGGTATCGGCGAGTGGGCCGGTCGCTACATTCGCTACGGTGTGCGTGAGCACGCCATGGCTGCCGTCATGAACGGCCTGGCTGCCTACGGCACCATCATCCCCGCTGGTGGTACTTTCCTGAACTTCGTCTCATACGCCGCCGGTGCCCTCCGCCTGTCGGCTCTGTCCCGCGTCCGTGTCATCCACGTCGCTACCCACGACTCCATCGGTCTGGGTGAGGACGGCCCCACTCACCAGCCTATTGAGACTCTGGCTCACTTCCGTGCCCTGCCCAACTGCATGGTCTGGCGTCCCGCTGACGGCAACGAGACCAGCGCTGCCTACTACTCCGCCATCACCTCCAAGCACACTCCTACCGTCATGGCTCTGACCCGCCAGAACCTGCCCCAGCTTGAGCTCTCCACCCTTGAGAGCGCCCTGAAGGGTGGTTACGTCGCTGTCGACACCCCTAACGCCGCCGTCACCATCGTTTCCACTGGTTCCGAGGTCAGCATCGCCATTGAGGCTGCCACATACCTCCAGGAGAAGCACGGTGTTGCTGCCCGTGTTGTGTCTATTCCTTGCTTCGAGGTCTTCGATGCCCAGACCAAGGAGTACCGTCTCCAGGTTCTTCCCGATGGCATCCCCGTGCTGTCCGTCGAGGCCTGCTGCACCATGGGTTGGGAGCGCTACTCGCACGAGCAGTTCGGTCTCAACCGCTTCGGTGCTTCCGGTCCCTACAAGGAGGTGTACGCCGTAAGTTATCTTCACTCATTGTCCCATGGTCATATACTAATTATCCGCAGAAATTTGAGTTCACTCCCGAGGGCATCAGCAAGCGTGCTCTTGCCACCATCGACTTCTACAAGGGCGTCCCCGTGCGCTCCCCCATTAACCGTGCTTTCCAGCAAATCCTGTAAAGGACGGAACGAATATGACGTAACAAAATGTTTTAGCTTTTTAATAGAGGAGCTATGGCCCTCTAGATATACAAGAATGCGAATAGAGCGCTCTACTGTTCACTTCTCCCAGTAACCTATCCGTAAATTATCTATCCGCTACCTCGCAAGGTTGATCACAACTCTCCCCATTTTTTCTTCTGCATCTCTACAGCATCTCTCAGCATCTCCTCTTTCTTCTTCCTCGTCTCAGGAGTATAAGGCCCATAAGCATCTTCAGTCTGCTTAACAACCAAGTCCTTCCACGCCTGCTCACCCTGAATATCAATCTGTCCCAAATCCGCCCACACATCTTGAATCGTCGGCGCAAGCTTCTGCAAAAATGCCCCAATCCCACCCTCCCCACCACCTGCATGATAACTCTCAAACACACCGCTCCCAGCCCACCGCGGGCCCAAACTAGCCGTAACCAGAGAATCCAAATCCCTCGCCGAAACAACCCCTTCCCCGACAAGATAACACGCCTCCCTCAGTAACGCAAAAGCAAGTCTATTCCCCACAAACCCCGGGATCTCTTTATGCAACGTGATAGGTCGGTAATGCTGCGAAGCCGACTGATCCCCACCCGGAACCGCGGGACCAGGAATATCGCCAAAATACCTCTTCACAAACTCAACCCTCTCAGCTTCCGTCTCCGGCCCAGGCACAATCTCAACAAGCGGCATCAGATGCGGCGGGTTAAACGGGTGCGCGACGAGTAACCGCTCAGCGACACGGTCCGCGGCCGAGCACCCGGATGCTTGTGCCGACGCGGGGATTCCAGATGAACTGCTCCATAGATGTGTATCTGGGCCAGCCAGACCGGCGACTTCCTTCCATAGAGCCTGTTTTGAGGATGTGACCTCCGGGCTTTGTTCTTGGATGATTGTTGAGTTTTGGACGGCTTCGGCGACGGTGGTGGATAGTTTTAGGCGGGATGTGCGGATTAGGTCGTCGATTAGGGTTGTTGATCCTGGGGAATCGAGGAGGGAGGGGAGTGTGCTCCGGATTTGGGATTCATAGTCCGGGCGTGGGTCGTAGACTGTTATGCTGGTGTCTGGGCGTCGGAGGTGCATTGCTAGCATTGAGAGGCCGATTGTGCCGAGGCCAAGCAGGGCGATTTGGTGGGGGTATTCTGTTGCCATGTTTTTTTTTTTGGTCTTTAGGGGATTGGGGCTGTAGAACGGTGGGAAAGGGAGGAGAGAATAGAGAGTTAGCTAAGTATAGATGGTCTCGGAGATGTTCGCCGATTAGTGGGGAATGGAGGGGGTTATGCGGGGAGCGGCGGACCTCGTGGGTATTGTACGATAGTATGGTGTATGCCCTTCAATATAGCCCTGCACTATATAATATAGCTAGCTAAACACATCAATTCAGTTGTCAGAAGCCAAATCCGAGCTAATATCAAAGAGAATTATCAATTTGATCGTTTCAAATTTGAAAGCAGAGAAAAAGAGGAAATTGAAGAGATTGTCGACGAAGAGAAGTTTAGAATAGCGGAACTCGAAAAACTTCTCGATGAACTGAAAATCAAGTTTGACGAGCTTGGTCACCCCGTGTTGGAATTTTTAGAAGGATACTGGCGCATTCGCATGATCGAAGTTCTTTCCCAACGTGATCCCTACGACGAGGAACATGCCATTGAATCAAGACGAATTGGTGTCACACTAGAACTGGACGAATATGTTGTCCCTGACAGGATATCTCTGCTTATTGGCTCAAATATCATGTATGAAATCAGTACATAGAGTCATATATTACGTGTATCTATCTTATAACTTTCTAGATATCCTACTAAATGTAATACTATAAAACTACGACTCTTCGAGTAGGGTTCCCTTACTGTCACTTGACTTGCATTCCGGTCAATCAAGCGAGTGGAGAAGAAATACGACCAACACCCCACGTGGAGTGTGGAGAAAGGAAAAATGTATGGTGTACTGTTGAAGGGCAGAGGAGCCTGAGCAATGAGCCCCAGCAGGATATTTATTTGTCTCCATTTCATGCTCGTCTCACGGAGCGCCATTTTCCAGGTCCGCAAATGCAAGCCCCGTTGCTTGATCGAGTTCCATAAGCTCATCGGCGACAGGTAAAGATTGCCCAAAGATATTGTCCCATTCACTCCAGTCAAAATTGAGACTCGGATCGATCATGAAGGGGGCAGAGGGCTCAGGAGCGGGCAGTATGTTCTGACCGGCGGTGTCCAGGAAGTTCACCGTAGAAGTGTTAACGAGGGATTGTTCAGTCGGGATAGTAGTAGTGGTGGAGGAACGAGCAAAGGCTGAGCCGGGAGCAAATGCTTTGTCGTATGACGAGAGAGCGGTAGTCGCAGCTGCGCTAGTATCAGGCGCGGCCAAAGTTGCAGATGACATGGATTTGAAGTATGGAGCATTTGCAAAATCGGTCTCGGTTGACCAATCCTGCCCTGTCCAGGGCAATTGTGGGTTCAGACCGGCTTTCTGCCAGGCCTTTTGTCGCAGACGACGGATCATGCCCCAGGCCTCACGGCCTCCATTCCTCAATGGACGTTGTGTGAAGATGTCATCTCCGCCACTTACGACGCCCCCGTCTGGTCCAGAAAGTGACAGAATTTGATCAACAAATCCGCGGGACACAGAGGCTTCAGGACTATATGGTCGTTCGTACAAGTCGATGAGAATAATCCTAGATCTAGTTAGCATGGCTACCGAGCTACAAATCCTAGCGTTCAACGTACATCATTGCATGCATGGGTTGGTGGTTCCTTGGCGATCGTTAGTCAAGAATCCCTGTTTGGATAATCGGAATGCTCACCCAGGCCAGCCCCATTGGAACGGTTGAAAGTCAGGATCCGTCGCCAATCGAATGAACTTCTCCATGAATGCGTAACAATGGCGTAGCGCACTATTTGAATTAGACCTAGTAGCTCAATGAGTCGTGGCACTTACCTTTGGCGTGCTACGGGCCAGATTCGACTTCGAGGGTTCCTGAGGAATGGTTGGTATGCAACGCAAAATGCCTACATCCCTGTTAGTGCCAAACGGGATTTCTGCGTAAAGATATCGACCTTATCAATGAACAACGACAAGATAATCCGGGCCCATTTATGAAATGCGACAAGGACTACTGAATGATATTGCTCAGAGCATCCAGATGGACCTTCAATAGGAAGTTCCGCCGCGGTGGAATGAGGAGCTCGTTTTGAAGACGCTGTTGGTTTTTCACTTGCCGCTGTCTCTGGAATTCGACTTATTATGGAGTTGAGCTTGACTTGAAGATCGTGAAGGACAGAGCGGAGTTCCACCATATCCCCTCTTGTTAGAGGTTTCGTGCCCAGCTGAATCTTTAGTATTCTACGAACAGACTCTGTAAAAACGTTAGCCCACGCACCTAATATCTAAGCCCAAGATCACTCACGGGCCATTATACATTTGGCTCTTGCGTTCAAATAATACACGTTCACTATCGACGGCCCACCACAGACAGTCGGGTTGTCTGGATTATCGGGTGGCCGCTGGCCGAGGGCAACCAATTGTTCATACAGTTTGGCTTCAGCGGTACCCACCAAGGTGTCCTTGACCTCGCTCGTCTCGCGAACATCCCAATAAGTCGTATCGGTAAGCAATGGCGGAAGCCCACTCGACATCGCGATAACGGCATCCATATGCATGATATGCCACCACAATCGGCGTCGAAACTCTGCCTCCCATGGGTCAATATTAAAATGGGCGGGATCCCGATGTAACCCCAATGTCTGCGCCACTCTCACTGCTAAACTAACAAACAAACTACTTGCCAAGGGTTCTTCCTCTCTTGACAAAATTGTCTGCGCGATAAGATAGGCTGCCAGACCGTGAAGGGTGACGCTGTGGGGAAACGAGATCTTGGCCAACCAACAAGTGACCTCTTCACTGTACTTTGTCGAGAGCATAGCTCGTGACGATGTATTGAATTCTGTCTCCATTGACCTCATGGAAATTGAAACTGAGCCTCCAAACCATATCGCGTATAGGAGTGGAATAAAAGAAGGACTAGGGCATGGCTCCCCCGTATAGCTTCTGCAGTCATACCAGTCCCAAAAGGCTTTGTAAAGGTTTAAGATCATCGGAGGGTGAATAATAGGACTCAGCGAGTGAACGCCAGACATGAATGCCTTGTAGAGGATGTCACTCTGCCATTTGGTCGGAACATGCTCAAGCATATATGGCTCGACCGCTTTATCATTCGGTGATAAATAGGCCGATGGGATGCAGACAGCTTTCTGAATCGGCTCAGAGAAGCCGAGCGGAAAGGGAGAGCGCGTGGTTTGGCTGGTGGTTTGGCTGCTTATCGATCCTTTGCGCTGTCTTCGCTTGCTAGAAACTTCGGTTGCGGTATCACTACATGCCGCTAAATCTTGCGACTCGTTCTGGTTTCTGAGCAATTGATTGAGCTCCTCCATTTCATGGGAAATGTAAGCCCAATACGTCGTTCCAACGTATCTAACCCCAAAATTAGACACCTCAACGTAGTTTATCTTATTGCGTCGATACTAACCTTGACCTCCCTCCATCCCCCAATGACATATGGCCCAAGTTTGAAGTTTCCAGTGGATCAACCAAATCCGTAGTCTGACCCTTTGGGATGGGAAAATCATCGCTGCTACAATCAGCAGCAGCGCTAAACGGGCTACCCGATCGCTGGACGATCGATTCGGCCCGAAAATTGCCCTCTTTCATCGGCGCCGTTTCCAACTCAGGGTTTGATACAGCCGGTTGCATCTCCGTTGATTCGTGAGCCTGGTTATCCTTCCGTAGCCGCTCAACAAGCGAAACAAGTTGAGCTAGATGGGCTTCAACTGCGGTTAAATCTGTTTTCTGGCCATTTGATAATGATGTCTGCCTCAAAGGGTCATAGGTCGGCAGGCGTTCATCTGTATTTTCCTCCGAGTGCCCATTCTCTCTCCGCCGTTTGGTTCTATTCGCCCGGCGGGTGCGGTTGGGTCGCGTGTCATCCTGGTGTACTTCCGTATCGTAGGCGCACTCGGTACTGTTTTTCGCGCAGTTTCCGCATACTGGAAGTGTCTAAAAACAAATGTTCAGTTCAGCTAACTTTCTCCTAGGCTAAGTAAGATCACCTTGTCGCATTTGACTTTACGCCGACGACACGTTTGACAGCTATATATCACACGTTTCCGGGTAATTTGTGGATTTCCTGTCGCCGAAGGCGACCTTCGCGGTTGGGTGGTGCTAGACGGGTTGGAGGGCCCCGCCACAGGCTGCATGTTCGGCGTTCTTGGTTTGACAGTTTATCCACGTCTTTCCATTTATTCGATTGAGTCCAGTGGCCATAAAAGTGACACGCGCAGACAGTTAAATCGTTACGGCGTGTGGAACAATCCAGCCTACAGATGTCCGGCACTTGCGAGGTTCTCCGCAAAGTTCTATGCATTCCCGGGAAACGATCTTGGCACTCTGACGTCGGGCGGACGGACCAGAGGGATTACTCAGCACCACTACCGATATCGCGGAAATCAACCATCCAACACGCACTACCTAATATGCCACAATTCGCTTTAAAAATCAATAATATCCATTCTGCAAGAGGATATGTCCTTTCTAGCTATTTAATCTGTCCAGAAGCAAAAAGGTTCGCCCAATTCGTCAAACAACAAGAGGGTTTAATGTACCAAACACCAATCGGTTTCATGGCCACACCGATCAATTTGATACGCCAATTGTCATATATAAATAGCTTTGGAGAATGGCTTCTAAAATTGATTTTGGTAATCTATCGACGTGTAGTAATGTCTAGGCCAGCAGCGGTGCACGAAATGGACAATCTTCCACTCAATCGGCTGAGCCTAATCCAACGGCTCGGCTTCTCAGTCAATTTCAATATTAGAAATCTCCAATTTATTACCTACACAATCACATTTCATAGGCGCAGCGCGTTTGTTGTCATTTGTCTCTCTAGTTCTTGCAAAGCCCTAACCGTACCCAAGTCTGTCAGCGGAAAGACATTCCTTGGACAACTTCTCCCATTCTAGAAGACCAAGTCTAATGGGTGCTATTTTGTCCTCCAGACCCCCCAATAGATTTTGGATCCATAACTAGGGAAATGGTTGGATCTGGCCGCCATCGCAGTTAATTGGGTATAGCATAGCATTCGTAATATTGGTATATATATAATCAGAGTGGTCGTGATAAATCGTTTCTCTTATTTTTGCCTCAGAATGTGTGAATCTGTTTGAGTAGATCGCCGACAATATTAGGGATAGTAGGCAGCGAATATCTTGAACCAGTTCTCCGAAATGAAGTACACAGTGGGTTGTTTAGAAGGTAGAACTATTACTACAGGCCCACCGTGAGGATGGCCGTGCTTTGGTAACCTTCGATGGAATAATAATACAGGTCTATCCTAATGTGCTCTCGGCCGAGTGAGTTATTGTCCTCGTGTAGTGTACAGTCATAGTTTGTGCCCACTTCATGGGCCTAAGGACTTTTACAAGGCCTTGGGTCCAGACTCTGCTACGAGGACTCTGTCTTACACGGCGTGTATAATGTAGTCCGTGAGTGGTCGGTGCTGCCAACCCTTGTCGGAGCCATATTAAATCCGTTATAACTTCATCGCAGATCTCTTACTGTCATCGAATCAAAGCCAGGATGATGGATGAAATTTGGACACATCTTTTCAACTGCGAGATTACCCTGGAGCTAACAAGGGGTCCACGGGTGGCCCCACTCTTGGCAATTACATAATCAGATTATGGTTCCAAGGTTAAAATAGC